AAGAAAGGCTCAATGGGCATTATGGGATTGCTGTGTTCATTTTGTCAAATTTCCTCTCTTCTTTCCCATTCTTGGCTGTGATGTCGATTGCAACTGCCAGTATAACTTACTACATGGTGGAATTTCATTCCCAATTTCCTCGTTTCGTATTCATGTGCCTCGATCTTCTCAGTGCCATTGCAGCAGTAGAGAGCTCCATGATGATTATAGCTTCTCTTGTTCCCAACTACTTGATGGGAGTAATAGTTGGAGCAGGATACTTAGTAAGAACAACTGATTATAATTTTTGCAGAGCTTCTCTCATTCATCTTCATCTAAGTTTACTTAAGGTTCTATTTATCACTAACTACCATGCTTATTAAGGGAATCATGATGATGACTGCCGGATTCTTCCGCTTGCCTCCTGACCTTCCCAAACCAGTTTGGCGGTATCCAATTTCATACCTAAATTATGGTGCGTGGGCATTACAGGTACCAGGCAAAACATATTTTAGTTTATAACTAGCAAAAGTTTACCCTTATTTGCAAGAATACCAGTTTTTGTTACTTCCCAAGAATTGTCAAAATTTGGGTGCAGAAATCGGCACCATGCTAAGAATTTTTCTTGCTACGACCGGTTGTGCCTAAGAATTCCAAACCGGAGTTCTTGAGAAGTTTCTTAAAGCTGTTATTGTTGAAAAGAAAGGGTAAACTTTTGCTAGCTTTGGTAACAACTCTACATATATATCAGCCAAAAAATGTCCTATGACACACAATCACTTTTAACAATTTGAACTTACCACTGTTATACTGGCTTATGCAGGGAGAGTACAAGAACACATTGGTTGGCCGAGAATTTGATTCCCGTGAACCAAATGGCCCAAAGCTGAAAGGCGAGTATATCCTTACAACAATTGCAGGAATTAATCTGGATCACTCGAAGTGGTGGGACTTGGCTGCTGTTGTTGCCATTCTTGTATCTTTCAGAATCATCTTTTTCATCATCCTTAAGCTCAAAGAGAGAGCTTCGCCTTATTTCTGGACATATTATGCCAAGCATACTCTGAAGCATCTCAAGAAGCGGCCTTCATTCAGGAAAGAAGCTCCTTTTCCTTCCAAGAGGCACCAACCTCTCCACCCTCTGGCTTTTCAAGAGGGCCTTAACTCTCCACTGCACTAGAAGCAACAATAGAAACACCCCACAGTTTTTTTTTCCAGCAAATCTTGCAAATACAGCTTCCATCAACTATGTAATTTCCTTGCATTATTCTGCACTCTGATATGGTGCAGATTGACTAGTCGTGTGCATGAGAGAGAGAGAGTATTAGGGACACTGAGCCCTATGCAGCATAACAAAACAAGAGCAGTAAAAGTTTTATCATCAGAATCTCAATGGAATAAATGTTTGACACGAGGAAGCATGGGACTTACAAGGTGCCAATTAAAGATTTCTAACATTTCAGAACTGCTCAGGATGGACAAATTTCCAAAATTAAAATGATAACTTAGCAAATGAATAGATTTGAAGTATGAAGCTTTAACTGTAAATGCAAACACGGCTTTTGATAAGTAGGCATTTCATAATAGTCTCTCACCCCCCCGGGCAACCCCCACTGATAGTGGCATAGATGCTTCTCCTCTGTGCACACAGAACTTCACCAAACAGTAAACATCATGTTGTAAAGATTCAGAATTGGACAATTATATTTATCTCCATCGAAGGACACCTCAAGAGCCGATAATAATGAAAGGGGCCAAGTTGTTAATCTCAAATTAGAGATAAATGATGAAAGTAGAAAGGCAGTGTCCCGATCTGCATGACTCTGTGTAAATTCAAAATGTGGTCCAGGAGACTACTTGAGAACTGGATGATTTTTGTTCATCTCCATTGGAGGTATATACAGAACTTGCAAGGCAAAATCAACTAAACTAAGGACAATGATTCCAAAATCAAGCGAATTTCATGGTGATTACAAATTACAATCAATTAAAGCTAAATTTAAGTAAAGCATACATGTACAAAACTTTGAAAAGGCATAACATGAGAACAACAATAAAACACAAGACTTTTATGGTTCAACCGTGCACTAATATGGTTTTAACATAATCCTTCTATGCTCCAATAGTACGCAAATCAGCCTAAAAACAGATATATCTACGTACTTTCGAGTTTCAAGACCAACCATGTTCTTCACAGTTAAACTTAATGAGATCAGGATGATTCAAAATACTTTTGGATAAAATACATAATTGGATTATGCATTTGTGTCTGGGAAAATTTCTAATTATAAGAAATCAGATCTCTTAATTTAGGGAATGCACTGATTAGCAGCCTACACTCAGGACACTCCCCTAAAGCTGGAGAGTAAATATCAATACTTCCCCCTTTCTGTTAATAGAGCTGAAAGCATGCTTAAGAGTTTTTAGAAAAAAAATTGGTCAGCAAGATAGTGAGACGAGAACCAAGAAGAGATCCAGGCAAAGAACAGAGACGAGATCTGAGCAAGACAAGAATCCATCGAGAAAACTGAATGATATATATATATATATATATATATATATTGGATTGTAGCAAGTGATAAGTTGTCCCTTGTTGTCCCCCTTTTTGCTCTTCACCTTCATCATTTCTTTTTCTCCAACTAGCCCCTTAAATCAAGATCAACTTGCCAGGGTGTACACAGACTTTAAGCGCCACATAATTCAAATAGAGATGCAGCATACAAGGACCTGAAAGGCAACTGGATCACTGATCGTAAAACTTAGGATGTGCTTGTCACAAACCATTCTTAGAAAATGACCGAGAAAACCTAAAATACGTCTCCCTTCCTGTTTATTTAGTTGAAGATAGCCTAGGAGGCTCTTCAACCCAAATCCCAGATTCAGAGAAATAAAGTGTAAATCTTTTGATCTAATGGGCGGCAATTTTAGCTAAGCGTGATCAATATGATTCCAGAAAACCTAGCCACTAAATATTCCTCTCTGTTCTGTAGCAAATGTACATGACTTCCTTTGCATCTGTTTCAAGAATAGATAAATGGAATCCATATCCAGAGCTAAACGCAATCCTGATATTACGTGACACCTATAAGGTCTGTAGTTTTTGGTGTAAGATTTCAAGAAATTTTCCACACCATGGCTACCAAAAGCTCATCACCATCCTCTTGTGCATCACCACACCCAAGCTTGTCCACCACTTCACATTATGTGATCCATCAAAATTAGTTTTGTAGAAATGTGGTAGGGCTGTCTCCCATACTTGCCAGTCCCTTACTCCTCTTTATAGCTTGATATACGTTGATCATGGGTTGTCTAAGCCTAAAGTCAGGAAACTAAAGCATGATCTCATCTCCTAACTCTAACCTAGACTACCTGAAGAACTAGATGAAGCCAGGCAAATCTCATGTATCGACTCTACCTCTAGTTTTTAAGCTCCCGCGTCTTCAAGTAACCCCATAGGCTGTCTTCATTGTTGCGCCTTCTCGAATCTCCTATTCGTGATGTCTTCATTTAAGCACAATACAAACATAATGTCATGAAATATGCCAACCTAGTATTCAACAACAAAATGTTAGGTGTGACCCTTTTACATAAGCCATCATATTGAAAACCCCTAGAGTTTATATATTTGTTCAATATTTGTTATGCAATAACCTATTTTGAGTGGTCAAAAGATTAACAATAGATACAGAAAAAGAAAAAGGGTCCCAGGTCATTCTCAAATCACTATTAGTCTAGACATAACCCTCAGTGTAGCTTTGGAACTGGTCATGCCAAGAAAAACCATTGCAATTCTCATGTGGCGAAGTGCAAGCCGTTAATCTACCTAACATTAATATCCACAACAACATGAAAGACTAGAAAAGAAAGCAAGATTTCATTCCAAAAGCAATATGACCAAACAGAGATTTATCATAGGATCTAATCCATCATTTGAGTTGCCTCTACAATACAGTTGAAGTCTACCAATTCTAACAAAGTGCTCATGGGCCAACGAGATACGAACCTCCTGTCACAAGAGGAAATTTCCAATTAGATAATAAGTTAGCCACAAAAGAAACCACCCCTGCTAAGATCTAAACTACAATAATAAAAAGACACCACAATATGCTATGGCCAAAAACAAAAAAAGATGGACAAGAGTCATTATAAGTTATGATTACCTTAACGCTCAACAACTCTATGTGCATTGAGCAGTACATAATTGTTGCAAATTGTTTCATATAATTGGCATAATTGACTTTAAAGAATGTCTGTCCAGGTGTGCGTGTGTGTGTGCGCGCACGCGCAAGTGTGTCTGTGTGTGTGTGCGTGCGTGAGAGAGAGAGACAGAGAGAGAGAGGTCACATTGACGCATGCACTTCCAGTTTAGCTCCCTAGGACCAGAAGAGAAAAATATGAGCACATTCAAGAATACATCTCTTGTCAACCAAAAAGGATCAGTGACTGGCACTAACCAATCCCAAGTTCAGAACAGAAGCAGAAAATCCGAGATGGAGCATTCTAGGAAATGTGCTAGGTACTACAACAGTAAAGTTAAAGTTGGAAGAAAGTAAAATTCCTAAACAGAAAGCAAAGAAATAAAATAATAACAAATAACCATAGACAAGGCATAATTCTGAAACAGGTAGCTAAGCCCTTGAGAATCTGGAAATAAGTGTATCCATTCAACCAATGCAATAGTATCTAGAATCTAAAGCTTAATAACAGTAATTATAATGAACTTACATGAGACAAATGCACAAGCACAAAGAACCAGAGATATTTATCACTCAGAATAATCAGGACAATATCAGGCCATGCAATATCATTATATTTTCCATCAGAACTTGTCAGATAAAGGCCAAGAATACAGTGTTTGTCAATTCATTTTTAATTATACTTTTAGCACAATCAAAATTACAAAGGGAAGTTAAACTCATATCATTCTCCCAAATCCATGAAGGTTTCCTTTTCTTGTTTTTTGTTGGCTTTAGGCAACTCCAGAACACTTAATAATATGGATGAATTGGGCTGCTTGCTGGCTATTGTTTCTTCTCATCGGAGACTCCATTTTCAACTCGGTTTTCAAACGCATGATAAGGAACTTCAACCATGGGCTGGGGCACTGAACGTCCACCAAACTCTTCTGGAAAGAATTCAAATTCAGGACCAAAGTTGAACTTGACCACGCAATTTGGTTGATGGGGAAGGGTATACATTGAAGCAGCAGGATAGTAACGGCCACCATATAGATCCTTAAAAGCAACTCCTTGGCATACCCCGTTTTTGAAGAAGGATATCTCACTTCCTGCACAACAAATCAATAATCACTCCAATGTTACCCTTCCAACAAAACATAGGTTATTATACCTTAGCAATCTAACTTTACAGAATGAGAATATAAGCATTCTTTTAGTTGAACAGAAGTTCAACAAATGCTCATAGAACCCTGAAAAGGCAACAATTAAATAGCAAGATGATGCAAGAGGCAGCGCGGAAGAGGCAGCATTTTTAATTACAACAAACCCAGTAAGTCAAAGATGCTCCCAAATGAAATGTACATGTGGTATGCTATATCCAAAAGCAATTATACTATTGCACACAATATAGGGCTACCAATGAGTTGATAAACCAAAATAAGTAGGACTTGTAATGGAATTGGTTGGAAACACCCTATCAAAATTCTGTACTTATAATCTTGAGAAAAAAAATTAATTAACAAGTTGGTGAAAAGGAAGCATTTTTCAACCATCAAAGCCATTAATCAACCGTGCTCTCAGATACAAAACAATTGTATTTTTTGCACACAATAGAGGCCGGCATTTAGTTGATATACACAGGATAGATAATAAGCGGTGGTTTTGAAATGGGGGTAGGAAAACCCCACTCAAATTCCCTAATTTTAATCTTGGAAAACAAAATACAGAACACAGATATCTTCAACTTCATAATAGCTGAAGCTTTTCAATTGTCATTAAATGGTAGAACTGAAGTCCAATCATGTTTTTTCACCTGGACTCAGACTATGGCAGCCTAGATGCAAAAACTCAATGTCCTGTCTTACACAAAGATTAATATCCTGTGTCATTCAAGTAGAATATGTCCTTCACTATTCTAATTATATTGTAACTGGATTGCACATCCCAAGAGTCAATGCCTGCATGGTTTGTAAGTATCTTATAAACTTAAAATAATCCTAATGTAGTGGAGACTCTCAAAGCCTATAATACCGCTTAGTCAAAACTCCCAACTCTAAAGGGGGTAGACTCATGCATTGCAGTTCAACCCCACATCTGCAGAGTCAATTGTTGAAATTCAAGATCCAAATTCCTCATTAACAAATTTTCCCCTTACCTACTTTTTAACTCACGCTATGACTTCTTGAATGAGGAAGAGGGGGTGGGGGGATGAGATTAAGATTCATAACTAATTTGGCTAAATACTGATATATGAGAAATTATTTCATCACCTTCAGAAGACTGGCCAGATGCCAAAATGCACTAAGATCACTTCTCCCAATATGTAGAGGTTTCTCTCTCTTTCTTCTTCACAAGCACATGAATCTATAAATTCTCTCTCATGAATTTCTTTACAATCACATTAATCAACCTTTGCTATAAACTTTTATAGTCTATCTCACAAAGTAAAACAAACTCAGAATTTCTGTGCATTCTCTTGGCTAATGTGTTCCCCTGAATTTAGATACCCATGAGATGTTAATAGAATTCAGAATTGCAGGTATATGGCTAGAAAGGTCATTCTGAAATAGAGATGTAATAAAGACTTCAAGTGAAAGCATTGTCCTTTCGGCCTCTACAAGCCTCGCTTGAATAGCTCTTCAGTTGTTTTGATTATGTTTTTGTTTGAATAGATGTTAATAGGTCTCTCTTTAAGTTAAAGAATGTTTTATCCTAGGTTGAGTGAGGTCTATCTTCTATTGACTACTGGTCCACTTTGATTGTACCTCTCAGAAAAAAGACTTTCATTCTGTTTCCTATCAAACAAACAGCTGTTCAGTTTAACACATTCACAATGCCTGCCAGCATTTCATATCCTTATTCACAGAGAAATAGTGCCATAGTGGTTGAATTGTGCAAGCATATTCATATTCATATCCATATTCATACAATGAAACAAGAATGTAGATTCAAGAAACACAATGAAACTACAATAAATTTCACACCAAACACAATTACAACCACGAAAGCAATGAAACTAAACACTTGAAAAACATAAACATTACACAAACCAAACAACCACTCACCAGGCACAACTTTAGGAGGATCCTCTTTCGTGTCAGGGGCGCAAGCATACCGCTGCCCCTTATACCAAACTAAGTGAGGCGGTTTCGGGGCATACGACCCCCCATCCGGCAAATTTATATAAAACCCAATAACATCACCTTCCTTATACCCTTCCTCACCATACTTCTCCCTCAAAGCCTTATGCACCTTACTCCCATCAATGTCCCTATACCCAAAACTATTCCCATCATACCCAACTGGCGCCTGCAAGTCCCCTTTCTCAGTGGACCACCCCAGCCTAGTGTGCCCACTCTCTCCCAAATTCACCACCTTTATTTCAAAATACCAAGCACCTTCAACAACTCCCCTAGTGGCCCTAACCATTCTATACCCTTTTGTACTGCCAGCACTCATTCTGTCCTCACTCACCTCGACTTTTTCTGCCTTGTAGACCTTGGAAAGGCAGATTGTCATGTCCGGGGTGTCGTCAGTTTTATCCGGGAACCGCGTCACCGGAGTGATCAAAACGGTGTCGTCTGCAGGGGCATTGTGGTTGTTGTTGTTATTGGCCTTGCTCTTCTTTTTCCCCTTTCGGGTCGACTTGGTGACCCATACATTGTTGTTCTTCTTCTTCGATTTCTTGGAATTCGGGGCGGTTGGGGCCGGGAGGGCGACTCCGTTGGAGCTGGGTTGGGGCAATGGGGTTTGATCTTGGTCTGAAGAGAGCTGGATCGTGAGGGAAGAGAGCTGCTTCTGCTTCTTGGGAGGTGGGTCTTCGTCGTCGTTGTCGTTTTCATTGTCGTTGTCGTTTTCTTGGGATTTCAGGGACTCGGAGAGGTCTTCGGAGGCTTCAGTTTCGGTTTTGTTGCCGTTTTGCAGGTCGTTGGATTGTGGGTTAATGGGGTCGGCGTCGGGCTCGTCGGTGGTGGGTTCGCTTGGGTCAATGGCTTCGCTTGGTTCAATGGGTTGTTCGGTTGTTGTGATTGTGGCGGTGGCGGTGGTGGTGGGTTTCGATTCTTCGTCTTCTTCGTCGTCTTCGTCTCTGTAGCCTTGGAGGTTGTCCATGGCTTGGGGAAGAGAGAGAGACTGGATTTGATTAAAACAGAGTTTCAAAAGGGTTCAAATGTGATTTGGAGGTGGAAAATTTGAAATGGTGAAGAAAGAGTGGGTTGAAGTGGGTTCTGTCGATAACGCAGGTTTCTTGAGTTTCTCTTTACGGGGAGTTGAACTTGACTAGAGAGAGTTTAATCTGGGATTTGGATAGCAGTTTTTGGAATGTCTCAAAGGCACATATGGGATTGAGTTGGGCTATGAATTTTAGCCCTAAAGAAGAGACGCCTGGGCTTGAGGGGCACTGCTAGATGAATTACGTTTGGGCTAAAAACTGTTGACGAATCTTGCTGGCGAAATTCTGTAGTGAGGGCTTGTTTGGTAAGTTGAACTGTACTGACTAATTTATGTTAGATAGTATTAATATGTTCTGAAGAGTACTAATAATTTATTCATAATATTATAAGGTATTTGGTGTTGTTCCAGATAAATAGTCTGACTAAGTTATCCTGTGTTTGGTGATGTTCCGAATAACATCGGATCAGACTATTTAAAATAAAAAATCTTTGATAATTTACATGGAAATTGAAATTCAAATGACACAAAAAAAATTTGGTATGATTCATATGACAAGATTTGTTTTTCAATTGTTTTTGCCAATATTTTTTTTTCATATAACCCATTATCATAATTGTAGTATCTCATAAAAATTCCAATATAATCGCATACGTTAAGAAAAACAGTACTAAACAATGTATAATTCAAAGTGATCATAGACTAAGGTGATAAGAGAAAAAGGAAAAGTTGTTCATAAACTAAACTACATCAACGAGTTAATCACAGCTCCCTCAACCAAGTAAAAGAAGAACAAATGTTTTTCTCGTAACACCATCCAATATCAAGTAGGGGTGGGTGCTGTGGGAGCAAATATTTTCGTCTCCAATCACAGCGCGCCACGTGGAAAAGAAGATTATCTCTTTTAATTAATTAATTGAACCAGTTTATCTGGCCAATTAATTAATTGGGATAAACATCTTAATTAACATTATATTATCTTTATTTAATAAGATAATATCATTAATTAAGGTATTATCCTAATAAAGAGAAGATAATGTCATTATCTCATATATTATCTTCATAAAAAGAGATAATATCGTTTAATTTAGATATTATCTCCATAAAAAGAGATAATATCATTAAATCAGATATTATCTCAGTCCGACTCGATCCCTACGAATTTGGGTAGAGAATAAACTCAGCATATTCTCTACGAAACCCTAGCCCCGAGGCTCCTATAAATAGATGACTTCATTCATCATTCAAGGTACATCTAAACCTACTCCTTATACCCGAGAACAATACCCGAAGCTCTCTCTTTCTCCCTCTCCACTCTCCATATTTTCTCCACACGGCTCCGGCCACCACACACGGCTCCGGCCGCCCGGTTCACACCCTACATAAACACTACTCCGTACCCTTTGCTTAGCTATTGTTTTTCTACAAACACTCGAACTAACTTAGGCATCGGAGGGCCTTTGGCCAACACCCCCCGGGTGTGGTCTATTTACTCCAATCTGTTTTACAGGAATCGAGGAAGAGAGAGAAGGAAGATCGAAGGTTGAAGGATCTAGAAGCGAATATTCTCCCGTGAGATTATTTGCACAAACATTTGGTGCTTTCATTGAGAGCACGAGTTATACTCAACGCGTGCTCAAGGAATCCGTTCCTCATATTTTCCAATCCACCGAAGCCTTCCAAACAACCATGGTTGGAAGCAAGCGCACGAGGAGTAAAACCGCCGCGATGGCTCAATCCGTGACGACCCAAAGCCACTCCACCCACGATCCCGCGATCAACATGGTGGCACCACCACCTCTTGCCACCGTGCCACCTATTGGACCCGCTGTGGTACCTCCCATCAAGGTGGGCTCGTTACCACCACCGACTTAGGCCCGGTCTTGGAGCAACTTCAAGCGTTCCCTCCATTGCCTCCACGCTCGACACACGCTCTCGCATACACCTCCAGTGAAACCCTAGCCCGTGTGCAATTGGGCTCCACACGCTTCTCTCCTCCCGATCCACAAAGTCAAGCAGATCTCAACCTGAGAGTTGACCAGCTAGCTCAGAGAGTGGATGACCAAAACGCTCTTATGAGGCAGCTCCTTAATCAAATAAGCGTGGCTCAAAATCTTGGCCTTGGACAACCAGGCGAAGTGAGAAGAATAGACGAACGCACTGGTGGGCAGCTCAACGGGCACCAAGCGGGTCGAGCAGGAGCGAGCAGACAAGGGGATGCACAACCACGTGATCAGCTCGCCGACATGTCGCGAGCATCTGCAAGCCAAACACAAAGCAACGTGCGAGAAAGGCTCGGCCCACGACTTGACGTCCGTGCTCGCCTGGGCCCGCAGGGGAATGTACTTCAAAGGCTAGGCTCCCAGGGAGATCAAACTGACAATCGCCGCAATGAGGATCGTGAAGAGAGGCGCTCCGCTGCCCACTCACAGAGAAATATTCACGAAAGGCTAGGCTCCCAGGGAGGTCAACCCGGTAACCCTCGCAATGAGGATCGTGAAGAGAGGCACTCCATTGCCCGCTCTCGGAGAACCAACTCTCGCCGTCAAGCTGCAGAAAATCCCTCACAATCGCAGTCCACCAACACGCCTCCTAGGCATCGCGGACGAGAAGACCGACCCTTGCAGACCAACGAGGAGGTCAATCAGCGTCGCTCGAATCGCAAAAGGCGCCAACGTGATCGACCAGCACTACGCGTGGAAGACGTTGAGAAGCTTGTGAATGACCGACTTCGAGACTTGAAGACTAGCGGGAACCTCGAGGATGCACTACGTAAGGAGATGGACCAAGCGATCTTCACTCCTTTCACCCCTGAAATCGAGCAGGCTACTCCCCCGAAGCGATTCTCAACGCCTTCTTTTACACATTTCAAGGGAGATTCCGATCCCGAGAGCCACCTAAAACACTTCAAAAGTGTCATGATCCTCCACAAGGCCGACGACGCACTAATGTGCAAGGCATTTGCAATGACATTGCGAGGAGCAGCTTAGGACTGGTTCCACACCCTGCCATCTGGGTCGATCAACAGTTTCAAGGAGCTTGCCTATGTCTTCACTAAAGAATACACTTCTTATCGGACGATCAAGAAGAACCCAGATCATCTGTTCAACCTGCGCAAGAAGCCCGACGAATCCATTCGAGATTACATCAAGAGGTTCAAAGCAGAAAAAGCCAACATCGTAGGGTGCGACGACCGAATCGCATCATCTGCCTTCAAGAAAGGTCTTCCAGCAGAACACGAGTTATACCGCGAGCTGACTATCACTCCCAGCCAGACTTTAGCAGAGGTCTTCGCGACCGCAGAACACTACGCGCTTTGGGATGACGATCGAATTGCCGCGAAGAAGTCCACTGAGCAGGGAGATCGGCAGACCAAGCGGGTAGGCCTAAGAAGCGATGGATTTAGCAACAAGAACAAGGACAAGCGCAGGTCACACCCACAAGAGGACGCTAAAGCAGGAGGGAACTACACCAAGTTCACTATCCTTATACATCAAATCCTAGCCCAAGTGAAAAACAAACCTTGGGTAAGAAGACCGCCACCCTTGAAAGGAAATCCAGACAGGAGGGATACTAGCAAATACTGTGTCTTCCATGGGACGCATGGACACACTACGAACAACTGCTTCGCTTGGAAAGCACACCTCGAAGAACTCGTGAAGGAAGGTCACTGCACAGAATTCATCGCTAAGCAGGCCATCCAACAGATAGAGGACCGCGACACCGCCAAGGAGCCGCCCCAAAAGGTCATAAGGATTAACACAATCCTAGCCGACTCCGAGGAATCTGGGTTGACCAGCAAGGAAAAAAAAGGAAGATTAAACAAGCCACTATGATCTCTCAAGTCTCAACCGACATTCCGCTAGCAGAAGACGACCCAATAATCGGCTTCCAAAAGAAAGATCTAATTGGCCTTGATCTACCACACAATGACGCTCTTGTCATCAGCATTCAAATCGCTCAGGCCATGGTCGGCCGAATCCATGCAGACGAGGGCAGTGCGGCCAACATCCTACAATTGACAGTTATCCAACAGATGGGCTTAGAGGCAAAGATCAATAAATCAGCCAAGTCACTGACTGGTTTCAATGGAGCAACAACGGTCACCGTAGGCACGATAGAGCTCGACGTCTACGCCCCACCTGTAATCAGCTCTCAAACGTTCATGGTCATTGATGAAATCTCACCCTACAATGGCATTCTAGGCAGGCCATGGATCAGCAAGATCAATGCCATCACCTCCGCCACGCATCAAAAGATTCGCTACCCAATTCCTTGGGGTGGGATCGGCCAAATCAACAGCGATCAGGCGATGGCGAGGAAATGCTCAGCTCAAGGGCTGAAGAAAGGCAAGCAAACACAGTTCCTCCCTGTGAATCAAGCAGATCTAAAGGGAGTAGAACAAGCAGATGAGGAAGCAGATCCCGTTCCTGACGGCCGAGCAGGCCAAAAAGGAAAGGGAATAACTACTCCCCAATAGCAATCAAAGAATCAGGACCAAGTCGAGGGAATCCGTCCGGAGGTCTATCCTGAAGAAGGATGGAAGCCCGAGGAGGACGTTGAGCTAGTACCCCTTGATCCTGACAAGCCAGAGAGAACAGCGCGGATCGGCTCGCGCCTAAGCCAGGAGGAAAAGGCAGAGCTTGTAGCCTTCCTCCAGAACAACAAAGACGTATTTGCATGGTCACCCTCTGACATGCCTGGCATCGATCCCCAGATCATCTGCCATCGCCTACACGTCAACCCAGCCATCAAGCCTGTAGCGCAGAAGAGACGCAACTTCGCCCCCGAGCGAGTCGCCATCATTGAAGCTGAGATCGACAAGCTTCTAGTTGCCGGTTTCATTGAAGAAGTCTCATACGCAGAATGGCTGGCGAACGTTGTTCTAGTAGCAAAAAAAGATAAAGGCCTGTGGAGAGTGTGCGTCGACTATACTGACCTCAACAAGGCATGTCCTAAAGATAACTTTCCACTGCCGAGAATTGACCAGCTCGTCGATTCAACTTCCGGCAATCAACTGCTAAGTTTCATGGACGCCTACTCCGGTTACAACCAGATCATGATGCATGAAGACGACAAGGCAAAGACCTCTTTCATCATCGAAAGAGGTACCCACTGCTACAAGGTCATGCCCTTTGGGCTGAAGAACGCCGGGGCAACCTACCAAAGGTTGGTGAATAAAATTTTCAAGGAGCAAATCGGTAAGACTATGGAGGTCTACGTAGACGACATGCTAGTCAAAGCTCCCGAGCGAGCAGACCACATCGAGAATCTTGCCGAGGCATTCAGCGTACTCCGAAAATACAACATGAAGTTGAACCGAGCAAATGCACATTTGGAGTCTCGTCCGGCCGATTCCTTGGATACTTAGTCACCCAAAGAGGAATTGAGGCACATCCAAATCAAATCAAGGCTATACTCAACATGAAGTCACCTGCCACAACAAAGGAGATACAAAGTCTAACGGGTAGGGCGGCAGCTCTCAACCGATTCCTCTCTAGATCTACCGACAAATGCAGGCCATTTTTCAAAGCCTTGAAGAAGGGACACAAGGATAAGTGGGATGACGAGTGTGAAGTAGCTTTTCAAAACTTGAAAACTTACCTCACTTCACCTCCATTGCTCTCAAAGCCGATACCAGGCGAAGACTTGTACATCTACCTAGCGGTGTCCGACTCAGCTGTCAGCTCAGCTCTCATCCGAGAAGAGCTGGGGGCACAACATCCGGTATTCTACACTTCAAAAGCTCTCCTCGATGCAGAGACTCGCTATCCGAAAATGGAGAAGCTCATTTTTTCGCTTGTGGTTTCTGCGAGAAAGTTAAGGCCATACTATCAAGCACACCGGATAATTGTCATAACAGAATTTCCTTTGAGATCGATCCTTCACAGCCCCGACGCTTCTCAGCGACTCATGAAATGGGCTATCGAACTCAGTCAATACGACCTCCTCTACCGGCCGAAGACTGCTATAAAAGCCCAAGCTTTAGCAGATTTTGTTGTAGAGTTTACTCCGACAGCCGAAGAAAAGAAGATGGTTACGAAAAGCAAGGAAAAAGCGGACGACACCTCCCCCACCGATTCGAACCTACCTAACAACATGTGGCAGTTGCATGTAGACGGAGCATCAAATCACAAGGGAGCGGGAGCGGGAGTCGTCATAATCACCCCAGACGGAACCTTGTTGGAACAAGCTATCACACTAGGCTTTTCTGCTTCAAACAACGAGGCAGAATATGAGGCACTGCTTGCAGGACTACGCCTAGCGAAAGAACTGTCGATCAAGAGACTGGCCGTCTACTCAGACTCCCAACTGATCACGAATCAAGCCTCAGGCGAGTACATGGCAAAGCACCCAAGAATGGTTCAGTACCTCGACAAAGTCCAAGGACTTTTGAAAGAATTTCCTACTTTCACCATCCAACAAATTCCACGGGCAGAGAACACTCATGCAGATGCGTTGGCGAGCCTAGGATCAGCACTGGACACCCAGTTCAGACGCTCCATCCCAGTTGAACACCTTGACCGGCCAAGCATCGAAGAAATAGAGCCGATCGACTCAATGCAGATTGATGAGGACCCCAGCTGGCAAGACCCCATCATCGACTACTTAGTGAATGGAAACCTGCCAATGGATAAGTCCGAAGCTAGGGAGGTCCAGCAGAAGGCCGCGAGATACTATATGCACGGCAGCAAGCTCATCCGTAGATCATACTCCGGCCCTCATCTCACCTGCATAAAGTACCCTCAAACACTTGAAGTCCTCTGCGAAATTCACGACGGCGAGTGTGGCAACCACTCGGGGGGCAGGTCACTCGCCCAGAAAACTCTAAACGTAGGCTATTTCTGGCCTACCATGCGCCACGACTCCGCTGAATATGTCAAAAGATGTGATCGTTGCCAACGATACAAGCCGATCCCTAATCTGCCTGCCGAAGTTTACCATCCACAAAACAGTTCATGGCCATTCATGCAATGGGCCATCGACTTAATGGGTCCCTTGCCACCGGCGCCTGCCAAGAAAGAAATGATGATCGTCGCCACCGACTACTTTACTAAATGGATCGAGGCCGAAGCTCTATCCTCTACTAAAGAAGCCGATGTGGAGCGATTCATCTGGAGAAATATCATCTGCCGGTTCGGCTGCCCACAATCGTTGGTCACTGACAATGGCTCACAGTTCATTGGCAAGCAGATCACCGCCTTCTTTGCGAAATACAAGATCAAACAACACCTGTCCACTCCAAGGTATCCACAAGGAAATGGGCAGGCTGAGGCATCCAACAAAGTCATATTAGACTGCTTGAAGAAAAGGCTAGAAGGCGCCGAAGGGAAATGGGTGGACGAACTCCCCGGAGTACTATGGGCTTATCGCACCACCAAACGAAGGTCGACTGACGAAACCCCATTTTCCCTTGCCTATGGAACTGAAGCGATCATTCCTCCTCACGTCAATGTCCCCTCTATAGGCATTGAAGTCGGCAGTATAGAGCAGAACTCCGAGCAGATGAGACTCAACCTTGACTTACTTGAAGGCGAGCGCGAGAAGGCCATTGTGCGAGTCGCCTCCTATCAACAGCGGTTGAAGTCCTACTACGACAAAAGAGCCAAGATCAGACAGTTTCAACCTGGCGACCTTGTGCTAAGAAAAGCCTTCATCACTGCACAAAGACAAGGGTCTAAGAAAATAAAACCCAATTGGGAAGGCCCTTATGTGATCAGCCGGTCCGGGGGCAGAGGAAGCTACACGCTGGACACCATGGATGGGAAGGAAATTCCACGGCAATGGAATGCCTACCATCTCCGAAAGTATTATCCGTAATGCTTCATCCTGACTGCTAGAAGTTTCAAGTTTTTGTACTCAGTGATTTCCATTTTCGAATAAAGGACTGTAATCTTATGAATATCAATATAAGTTCAGTTTCTCATTCCAAAATGTCTCATCTACCTACAAAACACAACTGTTGTCCATAAGCAGCGTCCTTCGGGAGACGCAGGGCAACGACCAGAAGCGTCCTTCGGGAGACGCAGCCCATAAAAAGCGTCCTAAGGGAGACGCAGGGTGCGCCAGGAATTTCCTATGGGAGGTATCCAGGTTCCTATCCGTTCCCTAAGGGGGGGCAGGATAGTCATATAGTTGCCCATAAGGAGCGTCCTAAAGGAGACGCAGGGTGACGACTAAAAGCGTCCGTTTGGAGACGCAGCCCACTAAAAAAGCGTCCTAAGGGAGACGCAGGGTGCGCCAGGAATTTCTTAAAAGGAGGTCTCCATGCCTCCTGCGGGAAGTATCCAGGTTCCTATCCGTTTCCTAAGGGAGGCAGGATAGTTACACAGTTGCCCATAAGCAGCGTCCTTCGGGAGACGCAGGGTGACGACTAAAAGCGTCCGTTTGGAGACGCAGCCCACTAAAAAAGCGTCCTAAGGGAGACGCAGGGTGCGCCAAGAATTTCTTAAAAGGAGGTCTTCATGCCTCCTGCGGGAAGTATCCAGGTTCCTATCCGTTTCCTAAGGGAGGCAGGATAGTCACACAGTTGCCCATAAGTAGCGTCCTTCGGGAGACGCAGGGCGACGACCAAGCCATCCTAAGGGATATGCAGAACACGTTCGAAGTCCTTCAAGGAGAACCCTAGCACTCATGAATCTCCAAAGGGAGATGTGCAATCAAGACCGGTTACTCAAGCAGTCCACAAGACAATATGCAAATTAAAGTTGAAAAATAAAGACTGAAATTTTCATAGCAAAGCGACCAACCGGCCAAGTTCAAACAAAAAGAAGATGGTCAAACAAGACCAATTATTCTAAACAAAAGCAGACTACAAAAGCTGAAAAGAAATAAAGGAGTCTTCGTCTACTCCGAAGCGCCAGCAGGAGATCCCTGATCTACAACCTCTTCAGCGTCCGCCTGAACAGTCACGCTTTCAGCAGCTCCACATGCCTGATCTATGACGTCTGCCACCACCTTATCGGCTGCATCCTCCTCTGCTCCATCCTCCTCAGCTACCGCCTCTTTAGTCACCTGCTCTTCAGCTCCTTCGATGTTCACAGCATTAGCCTTCTCACTTTGCGCAGGGGGCAAGTCTGGATAGAGCATCTCGATGTCTTCATCTCCAATGGCGTAAAAGGGATCATATCCTCTTGTGCAGTCCAGGTAGCCAAACTTGTACGCGTCCATGGCAACTTCGGACTTGGATTCCTCAGCAGACTCATGGTAGGCGTGAAGTCTAGCTAAAAGCTTGTCATAGCTATGAGAGATGTCGGCATTCTTGCACTCAATGTGGAAATAAGCATCTTTTCGATTTGCCAAGTCAGCAGCAGAAGAGTTAAGCTCGGAATCCTTCTCAGCAAGGGAGCTCTTCAACTCAGATATCATCGCCCGCAAATCAGACGTCTTCTTCTCATAACGGGTCTGCTCGGCGGAAAGTTTGCTAACTAACTCGGCATTCTTCTTCTCCAACTCGCTGAGCTGAACAGAAGATGGGGCAACAGCAGACGAGTTCCGAATGGTCTCAGCAGCAAAAACTATTCCCTTTTGAAGCAGATGAAGTGTCGCTTCCTTTTGCTTTTCAAGGAAAGACTTGAAAAAGTACCAAGATCGCCAGCCTGACGGATTTGGTCAACCAGCTCAGCACAAGAGGATGGACTTGATAGAAATTGCGTCTTTAGCAGATCAGACACGCCTGCATCCCCTGCAGGGCTAGATTTGTCCACCTTTGGATCAGTCGCTGACGTTACAGAAGAACCTTTTGTCCAGGCAGATGACTCTCTTGCTTTCCTAGCCTCCGCCAACCTCACTTCCAAAGGAATTTGCGACGTCGAATCAACTCCATGCTTGACTGCTCATGACTCAACAGTTGAAACATGATGGTTGGATGGATGAGCAGACTGCCCAGATCGACTTCCAATCTTCGACTGGTACAAACGACTCGAATTTCGAAAAGGAGCATCCGCATCTCTTTGCCTCTCAACAAGTGAGCTAGATCGTGCACGGACTACTTTACTGAGCATATCACGATCTCCAAACTCATCAGGCTTGAGCTCTCGAAGACTTGACATCAGCCTTCCTTTTTTAGGGGAGTTTAGCAAAACACTCCTCATGTCCAGCAGGCAGATCATCAAGGCTCGGACCATCCTGCTTCCATCTATCGACATCCTTAGCAGGGGGCAGTCCACCAACTTCCTCCTAATCGTTGCTCAGCAGCCGCCAGCAGCCACCGCCGCTCCAATCGTCTTTGGCTGCCAGTAACGATGACAACCAACCTAGTCCCACCCAACTGGTCCTCGCCTTGAAAAAGAGAAGACGAAGGAAAATTTACGTGCTCGACTTACTTTGGGATGCACGGCAACTCCTCTCTTCGACAAGCAGTACAAAATTCTCCAAGATCTTTCTCAAGCTAGAAAGTAGAGAAGTTAAGTTTGCGATGTAAGAAAGAGTGAAGAGAAGCCCTGTATTTATACAAGTTGGACAACCCGGTCAAGAAGGAATCTCAAGCTCTTTCCTACTGGGAATCCAACTCCAACAACAGTCAAAAGCCTACACCAATTGGAAATCTGATCTGCAAAGGAGTCCAACTTACAGAATAAAGCCCAGACACAGTTGGAGAGCCCGAAAAAAAATATATAAAAATAATTTCATCTCCTACATGCCACACAAGCGCCATGCAGAAGCTGGGGGGCATTTGTGGGAGCAAATATTTTCGTCTCCAATCACAGCGCGCCACGTGGAAAAGAAGATTATCTCTTTTAATTAATTAATTGAACCAGTTTATCTGGCCAATTAATTAATTGGGATAAACATCTTAATTAACATTATATTATCTTTATTTAATAAGATAATATCATTAATTAAGGTATTATCCTAATAAAGAGAAGATAATGTCATTATCTCATATATTATCTTCATAAAAAGAGATAATATCGTTTAATTTAGATATTATCTCCATAAAAAGAGATAATATCATTAAATCAGATATTATCTCAGTCCGACTCGATCCCTACGAATTTGGGTAGAGAATAAACTCAGCATATTCTCTACGAAACCCTAGCCCCGAGGCTCCTATAAATAGATGACTTCATTCATCATTCAAGGTACATCTAAACCTACTCCTTATACCCGAGAACAATACCCGAAGCTCTCTCTTTCTCCCTCTCCACTCTCCATATTTTCTCCACACGGCTCCGGCCACCACACACGGCTCCGGCCGCCCGGTTCACACCCTACATAAACACTACTCCGTACCCTTTGCTTAGCTATTGTTTTTCTACAAACACTCGAACTAACTTAGGCATCGGAGGGCCTTTGGCCAACACCCCCCGGGTGTGGTCTATTTACTCCAATCTGTTTACAGGAATCGAGGAAGAGAGAGAAGGAAGATCGAAGGTTGAAGGATCTAGAAGCGAATATTCTCCCGTGAGATTATTTGCACAAACAGGTGCGATCCGATTTTCACCTCAATTCGGAATCAAAACCGGTATTATTTAACTGGTTTAGTTTTAGTGGAAAAAAAAATTAACCAAATTTTTATTTTTATTTTTTGAAACTTTTTTTATACAAATTCAAACTAAAATTTAATTTTTTGGGCTTGAAAATTAACAACTTATCCAATTTCATAGAAAGAGAGATATAGAGCCTAAAAAAGAGGGATGTTTTAAAGTTGGGCTTGGGAAAATATTAGTTATGAAAACAAAAATGTGGCATTAGGTTTAAATAATTTTGTAAAAAAAAAATTATACACAACCGGTCCGGTCTAGTTTGGTCTGATTTGGTGAGGTGTAAAATTGTAATCAAAACCAGTTGGAACCAGTCCAATCCAGTTCGGTGTCAATTTGTTGACTTTTTTAGTCAACCGATTTTTTTCTGGTTTTTTCCATCCGATTCGATTCGATGTTCCGATTTTCTAGTACCGATGCCACCCCTAATGTCAGGAATATTCTCTCATCACTTGATTTCTCCAAAATTAGTCATAGTGCCTTAATTTGGTCAATAATAGACAAGTGCATCTTTGCCAATTTAGCAGTAATGCCAGGTCTTGGTTTGATCCTTTCATCAAACTATTAGTTATAGTTTTCAATTGGTCAACAGACTCAAAAATCATCTCACCAAATGCTTTAGCCATTTCCTTTTGAATATCAGTATATGCATTTCGTTTGCGGTTTCGATTGTTGAGCCAGTTGAGTTTTGTTGATTTGATCTTGGCAAAGACGCAGAATGATCTGGTTCAACCTCAACTTCCTCATTATCATCATTGACATCATTGCTATGTACAAGCTCATTCATCATTTTAGTGGGAGTTGCAGACCCTCAACCAATTGCTCGGTCCTTCCCAAGTATATTCGTCAACCTATCATATATTAGAAATTGTTTCCCCCATCCAACCATCAGCATCCTTGTTATGCTGCATCAAAATGGAAAAATTATAAATAAAATTGTAAGTATTACAAATATAAGAATTACATATTACTTAACATATGTACTAATCTGCACATAAGTGTTCCATGCTTCATCACTGCCAACCTCAATGCATTTCAAAGAATCATTCCAAGCAAAACCACTTTTGTTAATCATGTCAAATATTATCCCATACATTTTTTTTCCAAAATCTCATCTTGGACTCAATATGTGGGACTACCCTTAAATCAGTATTGGGAAATTTCTCAGCCAATGAATTTTCAATTTGGATCATTGTTCCAGATTTAAAGAAATCATTATCACATTGTAAACCATGGTTGACTACATCCTCAAGTATGGTCAACAATGCTTCTTCCTCATATGCTTTCCACACCCTTCTGCTTCCTTTTGATTAACTAGACTGTCCACTCTCCATTCCTGCAGCCAATATAGAAAATATAATTTGCATATATATAATTAAGAAAAAAAGTTGGAAGATCAAATAAAATAACTACTACTTATCAAAACAAATTGTCTATTACAAGCACATCCAAATAGTCTACTGCAAGAAAATATAGCCACGTATCCATATTTATTATAAAATGCACATCTCAAATTTTGAATAAAATATTATGATAAGATTTTCGGTTGCCACGTGTCCATATTTATTATAAAATTCACATATCAAATTTCGGATAAGATTTTCAGTTGTCACGTGTCCATATTTATTATAAAATTCACATCTTAGATTTCGGACAAGATTTTCGGTTGCCATTATTGTGCCACGTGTCATCTTTATCCTCTAAATCTTATTATAAAACCACACTCTCAACTCACACCAATCATCCATATCCTCTCTATCCTTTCATTTATCAAATTTTATAAAACACATTCTACTTTCAATGGCTTACACGAGGAGGTTGTTGGAGAGAGCCGAGCAAGAAAATGAAGAAAGAATGCACAAACATGCTAAAGAAGAAATGGAGTGGGAAGCACATAATAATCTAGTTGTTTTAGCGAAGGGTATGCTCGATTAACGTGGACAGACGTAGGCACTCTTGAGGTAAGAATCTCTTGGAAGATTACTTTATCTTAAATTCGTTGTACTCTAGTGTTGATTTTCGAGGGTGATATAGAATGCAGCCCCATTAGTTCAGTAAAATCATGCATGATGTTTGCAATTACAACTCATACTTCGTTCAGAAGTGCAATGCTACTGGGGTTTTGGGTTTTTTTCCGGACCAAAAACTTACAACTTCCTTACGGATGCTTGCGAATGGCGCATCTACAGACCAAGTGGATGAGATTACTAGGATGGAGAAATCCACTATTGTAGAATGCTTAGTTCGAATCTGTGAGGCAATCAAAACTCTCTACATGAGAGATTACCTCCGCAAACTTAAGCCTAGGAACCTCCAAAGGCTTATGCAAAAAGCTGAGGCTTGAGGTTTCCCAGACATGATTGGAAGCATCGGTTGCATGCACTGGTAGTGGAAGAATTGCTCAACTGCATGGTAAGGAGATTATGGGAATAGGAAGGGCCAAAAAAGTATCATTCTTGAGGTCGTTGCATCATTTGATACCTGGGTTTGGCATTCCTTTTCCAGAGTCGCAGGATCTCAAAACGACTTTAACATGCTCAGTCAATCTCTAGTGTTCAAAAATGTGTTGAGAGGACCTTCCCTCATATCACATATCAAATCAATAATACCATATATTGGGTGGGTATTATCTAGGAGACGGAATTTACCCAAGGTGGACGACATTCGTCAAAACAACTATGTTAGATATATGCCCTTAAAGCCAACTATTTATGCAATAGTTAATGTTAAGGACATCTTTTGTAATGACTTATTAAGTTATTTTTAGGCAAGACCAGTTGTTTTAATTCATGATTATATATTATCTTATGAAATACAAAATAACTATAGTCCTAGGAATATATGTGGACATGAGAACTATGTATTGAGATTGCAGGCATCGAGACTTGTCTTGATTCCCTAATCCTAAATATGTTCTTGGTCATAGGAGTATCAATTGGGCAATGATATTCCACTAAGACTAGTACAGGCAGTATCTTCTCTATATATAGAGAATGACAAGGTCTTAAGTCATTGAGTGTGGCGACAGCAAGATATGTATTTAGGTGCTTGCAGGAGAACAAGTACACTGAACACGATCAAATACATGAGTTCTAGAATGAAAGTTTTTACTCACATGTCAAAATAGAACTCATATATTGCAATGGTGCAAACTAATCCTTAGACCTAAGACAACATAGATGTCTTGTGGCTATGTTGTTTGTCTTCTAAATTACTATACCATTGTGTTTAAGAAGACATGACTTAAAGGTGTTTATTAAGACTCTCAATGGCCACCTTCACAAAATATGGCAAATGGATGTGAAGGTGGCTTTTCTGAATGGCCATCTTCACGAAGAGATCTACATGGATCAACCTGAAGGCTTCAATTTGAAAATGAAAAAGGGAAAGTATGCAAGCTTCAAAGGTCAATCTATGGATTGAAGCAAGCTTCAAGGAGTTGGAATATTTGTTTTGATGAAGTAGTCAAAACTTTTGTTTTGATCAAAATGGAGATGGACCATGTGTATTCAAGAAGACCAGTACAAGCGTAGTCGTATTCCTCGTTCTATACATAGATGACATATTAATGTTTGGAAACGATGTAGGCATGTTGACCATAGTGAAACTATGGTTATCAAAGACCTTCTTAATGAAGGATATGGGTGATGCATCTTAGTATACATATTAGGTATCAAGATTTATAGGGATAGATCGAGAAGGCTAATTGGATTATCTCAATCCCTATATGTAGATAAGGTGCTCGTAAGGTTCCGTATGGAACAATCCAAGAAGGGTTATTTACCAGTTAGACATGGTATCCACCTATCTAAAATTATGAGTCCTAAAACCCTAGAGGAAGTGAAGCAAATGAGCAACATCCCATATGCCTCTGCAATTGGGAGTCTAATGTATGCCATGCTGTGCACGAGGCATAATATCAGCTATAATGTGAGCATCACAAGCAAATATCAATCAAATCCAGGATCAAAACACTGGATTGTTGTGAAGGCTGCGTTAAAGTAGCTCAAAAGGACCAAGGACATGTTCCTAGTCTATGGAGAGAGCTCAGAGTTGCTAGTGAAATGATACATAGACTCAGCTTTTGAATTTGATGTTGATGACCAGAAATCCACTTCTGGGTATATGTTCACATTGAACGGAGGGCAATCAGTTGGAGATGTTCCAATCAGAGCACTACTGCGGACTTCACAACTAAAGCAGAGTATATAGCTACATTAGAAGCTATTTGAATGAAGAAGTTCATTACTGAACTTGGAGTGGTTCCAAGTATTGAGTCACCCTTTATTTTATATTGTGACAACAGTGGGGCTATAACACAAGCCAAAGAACCAAGGTCTCATCAAATATCCAAACACATTCAGAGGCTTTTTGACCTAGATCTTTGGTCATGGATTGGCTATTATGCCCTTACTCGATATTATGTTTACACATCGACCATTTGCTTATCCATTGGCATCTTGATTTCACATAAGGTTTCTCATGTACATCAGCATGGTATGCATGCAATTAATTCCTTGTATCTAAGACGAGGAATTTCCCTATTAAATTGAGTGATATAATCTATCAACGAGTTACTCTTTAACAATATTGCTTGAAGTTCGCATGTGATAATGATTAACTCTTATCCATTGGCATCCTGATTTCACATAAGGTTTCTCATGTACATCATCATGGCATGCATGCAATTAATTCCTTGTATCTAAGACGAGGAATTGCCCTATTAAATCGAGTGATATAATCTATCAACAAGTTACTCTTTAACAATATTGCTTGAAGTTCGCATGTGATAATGATTAACTCTTTTACTGATGACATCTCTGCAATATTGCAAATTATGCATTAGCATATGAAGGAGCTCATTTGTCATGCAATTCATACCTTGGTTGTAACTACACAAAGCCTCTCAACCTACCACAAAGTTACACATCCTCTCTTTCATTTAATTTCAAGCCTACTTCAATATTCAAATTCAAGCTTAAGCTTATCTCCCCAAATTCAATAGAATCCATAGAAAAATCTTACCTTTTTTTTTTTTTTTTTTTTTTTTTTTTTTTTTTTCTTTCCTTAATTAATCTTATTGTCTCACATACTCAAACACAACAAAAATAGTGGGTTGGAAAACCCTTGTTAAAAGCCTTCTAATTCAAGTTGTTAGCGTCCCAATTGGCCGAGATTCCATATCCAATTAAGGCCAAGGAGTTTCCTAGTTAATCAAGAAGTTTAAAGAAGGTTCACTCCTGAGTAATTAAGGAGACTTGGCGTACAAGTCAATATAAGGAAAGATCGAAGCAAATATGGAAACATGAATCATATTAGGCTTTTGAGATTGAGTTTAATTAGGAATGAAGTTAGGCTTTCCTATCATGAGTGGGAAGTATACCCCGTAAATAATGGTGCCAATGGCATGGGCCATACATAAAAAGTCAATCAAACGAGCCAAATTGCTACAAAAAAGCACCAATACACTCTTCCGAGTTATTCTATCATATTCAAGCCATTAAGCCCTTTGTTGAGATTTTTGTAACATTCATCTCTTATATCACCAAGCTCTTTGTTCTTCACAAAGATCTTGAGCACCATCCCTTTTTTATTTTAGTACATTTTACCAGCTACTTTCAAGGATATTGCTATTTTCGAGATGGTTATACTCACATCATTTTCATGATTTTGAATTAAGTAGTACCACGACGATCCACTTGACCTAAGCCCTTGCGAGCGAGTGTTTGAGTTCACTCATCGGTGTAGTATTACTGAACATGACAACTTTGGTTGATTAAGAATGCCAAATCCTTGTAGTCTAAGGTAAAAAAAACCCAAGGTCGAGAGGTGTTCCTTCCTCAATCGTGATCATTTGAAGAAGACTAGATTCTTCCCACTCACGAACATAACTTGCATGTTCGCCCAACTGTGGCCCAATGTTGGCACGCCCTTCATCCATTAACCCTAGAATGACGTCAGTTGCTATAGTTTTCGACCTAGGCTTGTAATTTACTATTTTATTTGAGTATAAAAAACATATTTGGTCACTCAAGTTAGCCTCAAAAGCAATTTTGGTCACTACAATTCCAACTTTCCCAATTTCGTCATCTCTAGTAAATTATGTCATATCCCTCAATTCTGTCAGTTTGAGTGCATATGTTGTGTGCTTGTATGGGCAAAATTGCGTGCAGCGATTCATGATTGCCTTACATTGGATGAGCTTCTTCCCCTATTAAGTTCATTGCCATTGTTGCCGCCGATAGATGTTGTTTTTCCATTCACCGAAAATGACTTACTTGTGGAAGAATATATATATATATATATATATATGCACGTTTATGAGGATGAAATTGAGAAAATTGGAATTGCAGTGACCAACACTGTTTTTGAGGCTAATCCCAATGACCATAAATGTTTTTTTTACTCTTTATTTTATTATTAATAAAGGCAGAAAAATTATTAGGTTTTTTAGGTTTTAGACATAAAAAAATTTTCACTTTTGGAAAAAGCCAAAGCTTTTTCAAAAAAGACAAAAAAACCGCTCAACTTTCAAATCAAAGACATGCAAATGTATTGGATTCCTTAGGAAATCTAAAAATAAATAAGGGCATTTTTGTCCATTTTTGCTTCTTTTAAAATTTTTCTCTCTCCTTTTGCTTTTTCTAAAATGTCCCAAAATTATTCAGGTCAATGTTTTCATAGTAACATCCATCATACTTCACGTGTCACATGTGTATGATATAATATTTAGTATTAGAACGTAGTATGATGCATCCCTTTGATTTTTGTAAAGAATTAGTCAACAGATTTGTGTTACCTAAGAAAAAAGGACGGAACTGTATTACAATCAAAGTAACACATGACCAAATGATAGGAAGTTGGCATGAACCTCGCTCAAAACATATTACGAAGCATCAAGAAATTTTGTAACAGTATAATATTGTTGTTCTCAGTTCTTTCCATAAAAAAATAAAAAAATAAAAAAATAAAAAAATAAAAAATCGCCCAGAATGGAAGACCACACCCCATAAAGAAAATATAAATTGCCTCGCCACGCCTATGCTTACGTCAAATCGATTAGTTGGACCATCCGGGCCGTCCTTACTTACCACCACGTCCACACCTGTGTGATGCGTCCTGCTTGGAGGGTGATTGGTTGACTAAGTTATGGTAAAGGCCCTTGTGTTGTGGAAGGAGGGAAGGAGATGTAAAGTTTATTACTTTATTTCCTACACCAAGCTTTGACTCGCCACGCGTTGTATGTGGGGCCTACGCCTGATTCCCACTCTTTCTCTCCAGACAGTAGGTGGGTTCTTTGTCTGGGTTGTGGGTTGTGCTTGTGGGGCTGAGAGGAGAGAAGAGGAGAGGAGAGAGGTGGTCAATCTCTGATTCTCTTTGTTTTTCTTTGTGGGTTTTTGTTTTTTGTTTTTTTTGCACTAAAAAGGGAAGGAACCTCTGAATCTCTGTTGAAAACCCAAAGATGGAATAGAATTCTCTCACGCCAACATTTCTGCGTTCTTGTAGAAGGAGAAGAAGAAGAAGAAGAAAATAGGGATCTCTTCCTTTTTCTCAACTCAATTATCTCTTTCAGCTCAGCTATGGCTCCCAGCAAGGTCAATTCTGCTGTAATCACCTCTCTCCCTCTCTCTTTCTCTCTCAATTACACTCTAATTAATCATTATTCACTTGGAAGGTTTTTCTTGAATTTTGTGGACTTCAATTATGTTTTGGTAATTAGCTCTGGGAAATGTTGTGGAAATTTTGAGCTTTGAATTGTAGTGCTATTTTGGGTTCATGTAGCATTTCTAGGTGGAACTAATGTGGAAGAACTTTGGCTTTTTGATAAGAGAGAAAATTTTAAGCTCATATGTAATTCTGAATTTTGTGGGATAATCTGTTATTGTGCCCAATTTTGCTTGATTATTGGTGATCCCCCTTAAAATGAAGACATTTTTTAACTGAATATATTGAATTTGGATCAATCCAGACTTTGAAGTAAACTGATTGATAAGTGTTTTCTTTTTCTTAATTTTTCTCAATTGGCAAGATTTGGATCAATAACCTATCCGAAATCTGAAGAAACTAGATTTGAGTGTATCAAGTAACCAATGTGCTGATGAGGACAGAACTTAAAGATGATACATGCGAATGAGAAAGCCTAATAATTTAGTTTTCCAATTATGCAACTCTTGAAAAATTATAATGTAAATAAATATTAAAATTTAATTGTACCCTTTCCCAAATGGGATTACTTATAGTCATAGCTGCTTCTTGTTCTGAAGCAGTGGTAACATGATTCTTCTCCATTTTTTCATGACTTTATGCTGATGTATTAGTTATTTCTTCATGGCCTGGAAACTAGGACATATTTCCACTGAACTCAATTTGTCGGAAATAATTTTTTGGCTTTCTTCTATTTATCAACTGATGTGCTCTTGTTCTTCTATGATTTTATTGAACTCTACTTACCTCTGCATCATGCAACTAATAACCATGCTAACTATATATTGTTGACAAGATATCTCGTCTTATACCAAGCTGAGCTTGTTATCTGATGTGCTTCTGTGGACAGGGTGATGCAAGTGTATCATGCTCACAGCCAGAGAATGGTTTTCTCAATTCACTTTCTCTCTTAAGTTCAGAGAAAGCAGTGCAGGAACTTCTGCAACAATCTCCTGTACAGAGCACAGATGACCACCTCATAGAGTTCTCAGACGCTATGAGAAGTATGGTCATGTTCTACTCTCGAGTGCTTTCTAAAGTCAGTGAAACTATTTATCATTAGATGCATTGCTTATATTACATTTAACTTTCTCTAGCTGTTGCAAAGGCCCTGAGACGGGCTGCTGAAGGAAAGGCTTCTGCGCAAGCTGAGGCAGCTGAATGGAAGCGTAAATATGAACTGGAGAAGGCCCACAATCTCCATTTGGAACATAAAGGTTTTTTGAATGATTCAACAACATACATTAATTGTCACATGCTGGGTTTGTTCTTTCATATATATATATATCTTCTTTTTTTCCAATTTGTTCTTTATGTGTTTGATAATGTAATTTCTGGTGATGTATAACACAGTTTTTCAGATATTTTCTGATGTTATTTCTAGGGCAATTAGAAGCCTTAAACAAATACTTGAATTCATCTAAAAAAGTGTCGAGCCATGTTATCTGTATACTCCTTCCATTGTTCCCTTTGCAGCTTCATTTTTCCTTTTGACATTTCTTCATATGTTGAACCAATTTATTTATGCAAAAGAAATCCTTCTTCATATGTTGAACCATTTAATTTGACTTTCAGCTTCTTGTATGCCTTTCCATTGCTCGCTATATCCTATGTTCTTATCAATGTCTGCATCTGGTGTAGATTTTGTTTAATTAATAACCATTAGTATAAAAGGTCACAATCCGAAGCCCATCTAGTGAAATTTGGAATTGCTTCCTTCTTGGCATTGTTCCTTCAATTTATACTAGAAGGGCCACACACACTGTGTGTGTGAGGAGTTAAAGAGAGAGAGAGTAGAGGGAGAAGTTTTCTTTTCCCCTTAAAATCTGGAGAGATTTGTGTTCTTTTTTGTTTAAAATGATTGCTATTTTTACTGTTTTTATCCTTTTTTTTTATTTTTTTTTTTTTTTTTTTTTTTTTTTTTTTTTTCTTTTCTTTCTTGTTGAGTTTCACTAAAAACACACCAAAATGGGGGCTGAAATTATAAAAAAACCCAACACCCAAAACACTTTATAAACACACCCAAAACCCATCATTACACACACTCAAAACCCATTTATAAACACACCCAAAAAATATACAATTGTTGATTTTAGGGTTGATTTTGGGTGTGTTTCTATGTTTAAATAGTGCTTGGGTTTTTTTATAAATACATGTCTAGGATTGGGCTAATGTAAGTAGGGGTATAATGTGGCACTTTGGCAAAAGTGGTTGACAAAGTGGTCTCTCTATAATAATAGGATAGATGTGTGCTCGTGTGTTTAGTCCTGTAGGTATCCTATATACTTAAGAAACAGTGTAAAAGCATGCCTTTTCTTTTGTATAGAAAATATCCTTTAATTTCTCTTCTCATTGATGAAAGATACCAAAAGGGGTGATGCACTTTGGATATGCAAGACTAAGCCTAGTGTGCAAACTTTAAGAGTAAATCCTTTTTGGTCCAAAGAGAAATTTAATGGTAGCCTGAGAGTTAGTAAGAAAAAGGTCTCCTTGGCAGTCACGGTGTATGGTATATGGATGGAGCATAATAACAGGATTTTCAAGGATACACAATCTACCCCTTCTATGGCCCTCAAAAATATTATTTCGACTATCCAGTGCAAGTTGTAAGATTCTTTTGGTCTTTTCTTTTCAAAAGGTTTTTCTGGAGTATTTTGATCTTTCATGGAGTTATTAAAAGTCTTTTTGGAGTTCTTTCAAAAGCCTCCAAATGAGGCCCACTCTTGCAGGACTAGAATGGAAGAATATGGTTGAACATTGAAGGCTTGGAGCCTTGCATCCTCTCTCTATTAACTCTTTGTTTGCTTTCTGCATGTCATCCTGCATTTCTATATACTTTGGAATCGCAGCAGGCTTAAATCTTCTTCTTCTTTTCTCAAGTAGTTCATGTGGGAAAAATTGCTGCCATTTATATTTTACCTTGCACTGTCCTATGTTAAGGAGTCATTTTAGAAATCATTTGTTCCTAAGTTATTCCGTTATCACTCTAACCTTTATGTTGATTGAATGAAATCTAACATGTTATTATGATGAATTTTTTTATGTAAAAACCTCTCTATCTTTTAGAAAGTCCACACCATATTATGATGAATTTGTTCCTTTATCATTGTCTAATAATATGGTGTTAACTAGTGACCTAAATTGACATGTAATAGGGCCTTACTCTTATATCTTTTAGAAAGTCCAGACCAAAAGGTATCGGAATTTTCTTTGGTTCTCCTTTTCATGTTTCTAAACAAATTTCATGGACTCAAATTAGACTTCAAAGAAAAGTACTGGAGATTCCATGCTACTATTTTAATCCCTTGGTGGGGAAGGGAAGGAGAATGTGGTTAGGGTTAGGATAGGTCAAGGCTTGATCCTTTCCAATGTAACAAGAAGAAAAGTACCAGAAATTAGAGTGGCTCTCCTCAGTGAAAAAGGTAACTGAAATATTTCTTAGTGAAATACGATCCCTTTAATGGAAAAAATTCCAGAGGTGGACTTGTGTTTCTTCTTTTCCATCGACCTGGATTTTTCTTAGAAAGTTCAAGACTAAAGTCAGTGTTGAAACAAAAGAAAAAAGGAGAAACTCTCCGAGACTAAATTGTCTTTTTCCATCCCCATCTTGTGGTCTTATGGAAGAACTTATCTTTAAATATTAAAGGGGGTTTTATGCTCTCAAAATATGCAAATGAGATTTGGTTGCAAATTTTGAAGAGTGAGACGGGGCTATAGATAACTGGATGGTTCTAAACCAAGTTGCATCTATGGGGTTGAGTGCTTCATGTGGTTTTCTTCGAGCATCAGTATTGGTTTTTTCTTGTCATCCATCAAGCAAACCAAATCCTTAAGCTTTAGGGGCACCTTAGGTGTACATACATTCATACCAACTAAACTACATATATGCACAATAAATGTCATTATGTTTTGAACAAAATAATGCTTTTATTTCATTTGTAATTTAGTTCTATTTAATTCATATATATACATAGATATATATATTCTATTTAATTACTTTCTCTAAACACAATTTATGTGAATGGAATGTTGAATTAATGGTCGGTTCTATGTGAGGATGACTGATGGACCAGAAAATTGTACTAGAAGGGAATGGTTAGAAATACATTAGATATATGCTATAAACAAATATAAGAGAGAAAAACAAAGAATATCAAAACTTTTCTTGTTTTGCCAGAAAAATATCTTAAATATATATGCTTATAAAGTACTTCAAACGTGTAAGAGGCCACCTTTGGCCAGGGGTGTTGGCTCTGCCACTGTATACACCTGGTCCAATTGGGTCATATTAATCCATTTCGTCGTTGAACATATTTTCGCATGTTTGTTCTATAGGAAGCTTTTGTAAGGTCTAAGAATAGATCTTGTCTTAGAGGGGGTCCTTTATATTATACGTTTGCATTATGCAATTTTAACAAAACTATATATATATGTATATATATATTTTCTCTTAATTTCTGGACAGGTTCTCCATTTCTATTTTTGCATTTCTATTTATTAATCTTTATAGAAAAACTCTTCTTATAAAAAGAAAAAGGGAAGGTCGGGATGCTTCTTGTTGTTGACGATTTTATTGGCCATAGTTTTGAGTTGACTTGTTGTTACCTCTGGATATGGTGAAAACTTAGATCAATTGCTTGGTGTTGCTCGTCTTTCTAATCAAATTTGGACTCATTATCATCAGATTGTGGGTATTCCACTATCAGGCTACAACTTTTATGAAAAGCTCAAAAGTTGGTGGACTCAGAGTTCTGTATGTAATGCAATGGGAATGATAAGATTTATGCTTCCATGCCTTTTCTGCTTGGAAAATTGCAAGGAATGGGACAGGAAAATTTCTGAAGGTACTTGCTTTGTCTTATACAAAATAAAGTCACTCCGATACTAACACAAAAGAAATCTGCACATTTTTGACAGAAGAAATTCCCCGTTATAATCCTTTTGGGGTGAATACAAAAAATAAAAGAAAAATATTATGGCTTTCCTTGAAATGCCAAAACAGGAGAATGTTGTTTAAGGTTATTTAAGAAAATTACTGACCGCAAACTAAGGAGTTGTAAATTTAAGTTGAAGGTGCTACAATGACCAGGTGAAGGCCAGCTATGCAGCAAAGGAATTTATAATAACTGTCCCAGAGTAATTTCCGCTAAGCTATTAGGTGTTGGAAAAAAAATAATGAATCTTTATTAGTGTAAACTTTTCCAACAATATACGTGCCAATTAGTTTTTCCTTACTACAAGATAATGTGATTGAATCTATAAGACATTATTTTTTTTGACAGCCTTCAACTGTACTACATTCCTTTTCATTTCAGATGTTTTCCCTTTTAATAATCTCACTGCCATAATAGGATGAATCAAAATTGTTTTGGGAAGGGGCGTCGAGTTCGTAATGATTTGGCTTATATATTGGGAATGCATTTGTGGTTTCGTCGTGCTTAGGAACATCATTCTTTTGGTAAAAAGTATTTAGTTATTGTTAATTGATTGTATTTTCTCCTCCTTCATGATTAAAGTTTAGATGTCCAAGTTGGTGCTTGATGTGGAGATTTCCCCTGATTATTGTATGAGTTGTCTCTCTCTCTCTCTCTCTCTCTCTCTCTCTCTCTCTCTCTCTCTCTCTCTCATTTGGTTTTCAATGCAAAGCTATTACGGTTATAACTTGAGTTTTGTCCTTTTGTGCTTGATACTTTGAGTTGTGTGGTCATTCCTGTAATGCAGTGTGTGCTTTGTTTCACTTTAGTAACGTCGCGCTCAGTTTTTTTTTGTCCTTTTATAATTTTATTCATACCTTAATAGAAGGGATTTTCTGGCTTATGTTATAGAGCAATCACATAGAGAGAATAATGGTGATGATGAGAGGACAGAGAACTTGGCCAGCCGATCAAATGAGCAATCTGAACAGTGTTGTGGGAGTAATGGGATATGCTCCCATGAAGTTCTTCGGGATGGTGACCGTGATTCTGCTTCCAGGGTGGACCCCAATAAATTTGCCAGAAAGGTACCCTTTTCTTGTCCTTCCCCTTCTGTCCGGCTAATCTTTGGCTTGTTCTGTGTACTGTGATTCATTTTATATATTCTAATTTCTGTTTAAAGTGTCACCAAATTTGGATAGTGCAGAAAGTCTAGGTTAGAAAAAATAATTTTCTAATCATCATTCTTCTCCCCATGGCATATTTAAGCTACAGAATCACAATAAAAGGAAGTTTGCAAGAAAAGTAAAGTAATCCTAGTAATTATAGCAAATTACAGCTAAACAATAGCTTTCCCAGACTAATTAGTTAACTATACAGCTCTATACAGTCCAACAGATAGTAACCCATCACTTCTTGTATTGTTTATTACCATTTTGTTACGAACACAATGTAGTGACCCCATGACCTTCTCATTTATTGTTTATTGTTATTACCATTTTGTTATGAACAGAATTTAGCCTTTGATTATTAGCCTAAATAACAATTTTGGCGTATGGTCAAAACTTAAGCCTTACACGGTTTTTTAACCTGATGTAAAAGATTTTCTTGGCAAGATATTCTTGGTTACCATAAAATTTTGGATAAATATTTATATCTATATCACCCTTCTACTGCTATTACCATGCATGCAATTCTCTTTATCTGTCGTAATGGATTGTTCATGTTAACATGTTGGAACATTATTAGTGCAATGAATTCCCAGATTATATCATGACATCCATGTTTCCTGAGACAGGCATCATTTAAACTTTCATGGTGGTGCAAAGGTGACCAAAGTGACCAGCACAAGCATGACATTGTCTCTTTTGAAAGAGGAAACATTACAACTGCAGAGCGCAGCAGTAAACAAGTATACCTGTCCTGTCTATGCATGTTACTTTTGTTTTCCCACTACTTTTGTATCATTGGGGTAGATGCTATTATTCATGTTTTTGACAAAGGTTTGCATATTTCTGTTTGCCTAACTGTTGGGTTCAGTTTACTGGTGGGTCCCATCTTGTCTATTTATAAACTCATTTTTGTTTCAGATTTCTTTGAAGTGGGAATCTCAGCCACAAACTGTGATTATATTGACCAAACCAAATTCAACTTCTGTTCGAATTCTGTGTGCAGAGATGGTCAGGTATGGATTTTAAGAAATCCTTAGTTTGTCACTTCTCAAAGCAGATTTTATGTTTCTGCATGAGCTGCTTTTCCTATCAAGCTCTGGTACCTCAAGACATCATATGGTTCAAGAAATGCCTTATAGATATATCTTATGTACCACATTGTTTCATTATTGCAATTACTAAAATTGGTTTGCTCTGTGCTTTTTAATGGCTAGGTCGTCTTTCAAAATGATTTTGCTTTCTGTAGTAAAAAGAAAAAGACGTTGCCTTTCCTTGTACTTCATCTTTCCTTTCATTACAAGCTTTTTTCTTATCAAAAGGAAAACTGATGCTGCTGAGCAAGGGGGTGGGGGAACAGTTATGTGTGACATTAAGGTAGGCTGGGTAAAAGTAGATTTTGTATGAGAAGGATTTCCACTGAAGAAAAGTATACAAATGTGAATTTATTTGCAATTGTCTCTCATATAGTTATTTAAAATAGCCCTGTCACACATGAAAGAAAGAGCCTGACACAATACGTATCTATTTTCTAAAAGTGACTGTCATTCTTGTTAAGTCCCTCATGCCAAAATTCAGTTAAGGACCTTATAGGGTGCCTAACCTTTACATTTTTGCATGCCTCTGTAACTTTATGCTGGATGTTCGCAAATGTTATTCCTTTCCTCAGTATTTATTTTCTATTTCCAGATGGTTGAGAGAGCAGAAGAAGTTAGATATTTATGTGGAACCGCACGTGAGAGCTGAACTTCTAACAGAGTCGTCTTACTACAACTTCGTCCATACATGGAAAGATGGTAAGAACCACAAAAGATTGCTTCTTTTCTATTATCTATTGGAAGTGACTTCTGTTTTAGAATACATGAAACAAATTCCGAGACTTACTTTCCATGATGCTTTTTACAAAAGATCCTTGTAAAATCTTTGACATACTTTTTTTTGCTACTTGCAGATTCTTATATATGTACTTTTTTCATTGTTATTTTTTTTCGGCTAAATGAGAAACAAATGCCTTATTGATAGTAAAGAGAGAGTACAAAGTAAGGAAAAGACCAGTAGTCTATCCTTAAGCTAACATAACAATGCTAAAGATAACAATACAACGCATGTCAAGGAAGAAACTACAAGATCGTGGATGAAAGAACCTTTGCATTAGGGAAACAATAAAGTCTAGGAAAGCAAAGCATGAAAAGAACATTAATCCATCACCTCTTCCCAAAGTCTAGTCCTTTCACTATTACCAAGAATGAAACTGGTGTGGGAGAAAAAGTCATTAAAGTTTTACAGAATAGCCAACTTTGGTGCTTGGAAGTCATCCTATTGGACTCTAAACAATCCCTCTCGTTTTTGTGTCTCTAATTGATTTTGTCATGTTGGTCAGAGTTATGTATCTGTAACTGCACCAATGTCCGTTTGTTTTGTGATCAACTATTGATTTTGTACAAGATCCGGCCACAAATCAAGTGAAACGATTTGTGCATGCATATTTTCTTCCATTTAATTTCTGACCATGGGCTTATGTGTAAAATTGTTTGCATAATCAATAATCTCAAGTTGTTGCGACTTGTTATTTAATAAATAGCTATGATTTATATAATGATTTACTTGATAATTATGCTCATGATTTTGCTATTTACTGTTTATCATTTCATTTTTTGCTTGACAGAGACCGAAATAATGCTCCTGCACACAAAAGTTGACCTTGTGGTAACTCTTGGTGGAGATGGAACTGTCCTCTGGGTGAGTGCATATACTTTTAAGCTTTAACTTGCATTACTTCAGATTGTTTTAGTGCATTAAAGTATTTGGGTTGAGGGAATATGAAGTGATTCTATGATATACTTTTAATTTGCAGGCAGCATCTATGTTCAAAGGACCAGTTCCTCCTGTTGTGCCGTTTTCTTTAGGGTCTCTGGGATTTATGACCCCTTTTCGTATCCTCTTATCATTTGTTTTAATAGAGCTCCTTTCAACAACAACAAAAAAAAACACTAGAAACGTTCTATATTTAGTCTATATGTTGACTTGTCTTTTATAGGATATCTTATTGGTAACTTGTTACTGTTCCTGTGTCTCATTCAGACGTGATCTTTAACATGCTTCAGACAGTGAACGTTACCGAGAATATCTTGATTCAATTTTAAAAGGTCCCATTAGTATCACGTTGCGACACCGCTTGCAGTGCCATGTTATTAGAGAAGCAGCCAAAAATGAGTATGAAACTGAAGGACCGATACTTGTATTAAATGAGGTTACAATTGACCGTGGGATATCATCATACCTTACAAATTTGGAATGCTATTGTGACAATTCTTTTGTCACTTGTGTCCAAGGAGATGGTTTAATATTATCAACAACATCTGGCAGTACTGCCTATTCATTAGCGGCCGGAGGATCAATGGTTCATCCCCAGGTTTGTTTTTATACTATAATCCATTAGTGCCTCCTGTTCACAGCCACTTGAGATATTATATGGTATTTCTGTACTCTATGGTGCCTCTTGCTTGGTGAATTGATAGATAAGTTGACTAACATCTGGTTCTAATAATCTTGACATTATTGCCTGTGCTGGAGACCCCACTTAAGCAACTCTGATACAGAGCTACCTGGAGCAATTTTTTATTTTTTATTTTTCAAAAATTTGTTTTAATTTTTTACTACTGCTTTAATGTTATGCTTAAGAAGAAGAAAATGTATTAAAACAGTGATAGAAAACCTTAAGTTTATAGAAAAATAATCATTTTCATATAGGGACATCGTGAATTTGAATCCTATAAAATCCAGGCCACGTTCACTTCCGAAAACCATTTGCCACTGTTCTTTTTAATCCTTACGGACATTACCAACTTTGTAATGTAATTTACTTGCTCTATTCACACTTGGACTGTCCTGTGTTTGCGTGGAGTCTTGGAAAGTATATTTGTTTTTTTTGCTAATATGTTCAATTTTACTCTGAAACAAACACAAAACAGATGTGAAGTACAAAGTAGATGACTAGTATAAAAACAGAGATGATCTTTGAATGATTGAATGATTATCTAAAACATAGACAGTTTGGATTAGTGAATACAATACGGAGTGGCCCTACAAAGGTGTCCCTCAAAGGAAGCTCTATGTATATATATTTCTTTGTATGAATTAATTATTTCAAATTTACTAAACCTTAGACTAAATAACTATGTATACTAGTGATATCAAAATATGTTTTAAGAGAAGAATCTTATGCTAAAAGAGATCAGAAAATTAACATCTTGAAGGAGGAACTTGCAATGAATCTGACAATCTTATTCCTAGGATATTCAAAATAATCTCACAAAAAGGCACTCTGGTTGATCTTATCCTAAATAAGAGAAAGCAATAAATCTATTTAAACTGTTATTACCTGTAGCTGTTTCATGTTTTGCAACTATAAAATTGTTATTATGATTTGGTCTTTATAATTTCAGGTTCCTGGAATTCTGTTTACACCTATTTGTCCACATTCCCTATCATTTCGGCCTCTGATATTGCCTGAGCATGTGACGCTGCGAGTACAAGTACCTTTCAACAGCAGGAGCCATGCATGGGCGTCGTTTGATGGCAAGGATAGGAAACGGTTGGCAGCTGGTGATGCACTTGTGTGCAGCATGGCACCTTGGCCTGTCCCAACTGCCTGTCAAGTTGATTCTACTAGTGACTTCCTGAACAGCATTCATGACGGCCTCCACTGGAATCTTCGAAAGACTCAGTCTTTTGATGGCCCTCGGGATACATAGTGCGTAGTTTTTCTTTTGTATATTAGTTCTCTAGTTGGCAGATCTCGTTAGAATCTAAATATAACATGCGTTTTTAAGAGGGGAAAAAAGGGGGCAGTTGGGTGGCTGTAGAAAGTGAAAAGAAACTTTAAAATTCCTGTAATTATGTATTACCCCTCAAACGAGGAGATGATATGTTTTCTCCTACTCCAATAAGGTCAAGGCTTGAAGCAGAGCACTTGTTAAATGGATGTCGAAAGATCAGTGATATTGCTTTTGTGTTAGGAACTTGTAAACTGGATCATAATTACTGATCGAATATATGCAAAAAATTTAGAAATCGCATTTCACTATAAATTCATATTTGATTTGATTTGATTTTTTTCGAAATGATAATTACAAGATACTTTTACAATGGGTCAATATACAACAAATACGCTCACAGCAAGCTTACATCACCATTAACTAGGAATAAATTGAACACAACACATGGAGACCTCCTCCAAACAAATGGAGTCGAACCTGGGATTTCCTCTAACTATATGGAGAAAATTTTGATCAAGTCAAAGAAAAATTTGAATTTGATCAACATGGTCTGGTCTATTCATCTGTTAATCTTTTTCAACTTCTATTTTTTTAATATTGGGGTGGCCAACTTTCTATTAGACGCATGTATACCTAAACTTTAGCCTAATTACAAAGACTTCTACAACAATTATTTTACAAAACTACTATTTCTTTTAATAATGGGGTGGCCAACTTTCTATTAGATACATGTGATCTATGCCTAAACTTTAGCCTAATTACAAAGACTTCTACAACAACAGTTATTTTACAAACTATGTAGGTCATCGCCCCTCTAGCGTTTACTAGAATTTTTTAAGCACCTCTTCTTTGAGAGAGCTCTGGTTGGATTGTTATTGGGAATGTTTTTCTTTCTTCCTTTTATGTAGTTAATCACTTTGCCTTCATCCTTCAAAATGTGTTCTCTACTGTCCATCAACTCTAGCTCATCTCAACCAAAACTAGCTTTATGCAACTCTTTTCTAGCTATTTCAGCACTAATCCTACTATCTTTTTATATATTTTTCTTTGACAAATTACACAAGGGTGGTGCTAGAGGCACCAACTTTGGGCACCAACTTGGGCACCAACTCTCTAATAGAGGTGGAGCCCGTCAATACACCGGGTCCCACGCTCTATTAGAGAGTTGGTGCCCAAGTTGGTGCCCAAAGTTGGTGCCTCTAGCGTACTTGATTACACAATTACCAACCTTCAAATCTCTTGGAAGCCTTCAAGCAAAGCTGTCCGGCAGCTAATACAAGTTGCCCTAGTCCCCCTACCTCCTACCAATCTAAACCACATTGTGGTCGGAATTGTTGGCTCCATGAACACATGGAAGAAGAAGAAAGCATACACTGAAGCATGGTGGAAACCTAATGTTACCCGCGGTTACCTCTTTTTAGATCGAGCTCCTACACTGGAATTTCTACCATGGCCTTCATCTGCTCCTCCTTTTCGAGTCAGTGAGGACATCACAGGATTCGAAGTGTACCCAAAAATTGTGAGGCCAGACCAAGTACGAATAATACGTACAATTTTGGAGACATTCAGAGAGGGTGACAAAGATGTGAGATGGTATGTAATGGCGGATGATGATACCATCCTTTTTGTTGAAAACTTAGTTGAGGTTCTTGCAAAGTATGACCACACTGAGTACTATTACATTGGTTCCAGTTCGGAATGTATTATGTCTAACTTCGATTTTTCCTTCGATATGGCGTTTGGCGGCGGTGGTTATGCTTTGAGCTACCCGTTGGTGGCAACATTGGCAACAAAGTTGGATGAGTGTATTGAGAGATATCCATACTTGCGGGTCAGTGATTTTATGTTACATTCATGTTTGGCTGATTTAGGAGTCGCTCTAACTCAAGAAAAGGGGTTTCACCAGGTAATTAATCACCTCTTACCCGTCAAAAACTAATAAGTAGTCGTATTTTGTCGCAAATTAATAAGTAATCTTCTTGCTGTATTGAGAGAACATAAAACACTAATTATGATATTAATTAACAACCTAGAATTAATAAGTAGTTGTAGTTTAAAACACATGTTCTGAGTCCATTTTTGTGTTTGTAATTACAGATCGATCTCCATGGTGACATATCAGGTCTTCTATCATCTCATCCACAATCTCCTTGTTAGAAAACTCAGACTATGATCTGATTTATTTGGATTATTGGTAGAAGGAGCTCATGTGAGAAGAGAAAACAGAGAGAGAGCTTGGAGAGGAAGATGAGAAAAATTGGGTCTATTCTCTCACTTAGTCATGCACAAGCTGTGCAGTACAATAACCGTTTGGGAATAGTATATTCCCTGTTTACATCATTCAAATCTAACCATCAATTTCACTATCCTATGAGATAGCAACACCTGACATAATTTGATACAACTAAGAATACATCTTAGCTGTCCATTGGACCGTGCTCCAATGGTTCTCACTTAATTCAATACAAATACTCAGCTAATACACTTATACTTTAACACTCCTTTCTAAGTGTTTAGCTGAAATGACTCCAAGCTTGCTCCTTAGATATTCAAACTGATCTCTTGCCAGCGCCTTAGTAAAGATATCTGCATTCTGCTCTCCAGTTCTGCAGTATAACAAATCAATCTCACCATTTTGCAAAGCGTCTCGGATGAAATGAAATCTTCTGTTTATATGCCTTCTATTGTGATGATATACAAGATTCTTTGTTATTGCTATTGCTGAAGTGTTATCATAGAAAATTTGGGTAGCTTCAACTTGTTCCTCACCAAAATCAGATAGAACAAACCTCAGCCAAACTACTTGTGCTCTAGCTTAAGCTACACTAATATGTTCTGCCTCTGCTGTGGATAGAGCTACATTGCTTTGCTTGACTGATGCCCAAGAGAAAACACCTGATCCAAGATGAAAAGTTTGGGAATTGAATTAAATCAAACCTTAGGTCAAATAATTCCTTCCATTTGGGGATTATTTGACCTAATTAGGAATTACTCAACCTAATTGGGAGTTACTCAATTTAATTGAGGATTACCTAATTAAATTGAGAATTGATTTGATTCCTACCCCAATTCCCAATTAAATGAAGAGTTACCTAATTAAATTAGGATTTGATTTGATACCTACCACAATTAGAGATTTGATTTACCATAATAAATCAAATCCCTAATTAAGCAAATCAATTCCAAATCGGGGAGGAATAATTCCTTTCCATCTACGGAATTATTCCTCTGAAACCCTAGCCTCCAGGACCACTATAAAAGGATGGCCACACACAAAGGTGAAGGTACGTCTAAATTCCTACTGAAACTCTGCAGAAATCATTTCTCCAAAACCCTAGCCATCATATTCTCTCTCTCTGACACAAGGCTCCCGGCACCACACACGACTCCGGCCACCAAGTTTTCCTTGAAATACCCTACCTTACTTAGGCATCGGAGGGTCTTTGACCAACACTCCCCGGGTGTGATCCTTTTACCCCGATCTGTTTTGCAGGGAGAAAGATAAGTGGAGAATACGAAGGAATCTTAGGCGAATATTCTTGTGAGAAGAAATTTGCTCCCACAAATTGGTGCTTTCATTGAGAGCACGAGATATATTCAAAGCGTGCTCCAAATCCATCTTTCACACATTTTTTCTAACAACCATAGTTGATACAAGATGTATGAAGAGTAACACCACCACAACGGGCCCATCTCATGGTTTCGTGGTGGAAACCTCAATGCAACCGCACGGAATCGTGGCTGCCAATGCCTTGCAACCGTCTTCTAGTGCTTTGCAGCCGCCTTCAGCTGCTGGAATTGCAGAACAGCCGCCACATGACCTCGGGACCTCCACAGCCTTGCAGTCGCCAGCGCCGATTGCTGAAGCTGCTCTGCCTCACTGTCCTGCCTTCGGAACCCAACATCAGCCACACCACTCAACTGCCGGATTTGCTGCACAGCCCCACGGCTACTCCGACGTCGTTCGAGTCTTGGAGCAGATCCATTCTCTCCCTCCTCTGCGATCACACTTAACATATGCACTTGTGTACGTGTCTAATGGAGCCCTAGCCCATATTTCGTTGGGCCCGATGCACACCACTCTACTTGACCTGCGCAGTCAGGTGGACCTTAACTCACGAGTTGATCAACTCACACAGAAGGTTGATGATCAAAACAACTTGATTGGCCAGCTACTCAGGCAGATCAACTTGGATCAAGGCCCTAACATTGGACCCCGTGATGAGGAGAGGAGGGCGCACGAGCATACTGGCGAGCAGTTCGAGAGGTCCCAGGCTGGTCAGACAGGGGCAAACCGTCAGGTGAGAGAGCGAGATCGTGCATATGAGACGCAAACAGCTGCAAGCTGTACTTTGAGCTGTTCGAGGTTAGGTCCAAGGACCAATGTGCTCGAGAGGCTAGGCCCACAGTCCAATGTCCATGCTCGCTTGGGCCCACAAAGAGCTCGAGTTCGTGAGCGGTCGCGTGACGAGCACAACGATTGACGCCCACCAGCCAGGTTGAGGACCAACACGCGGCGACAAGCTGTAGAGGGATCCTCCCAAACACAACCTTCTCACCTGCCCCACAGGCAGGGCAACCAAAAGGATCAACCCTTGGGAGATGAAGAAGAAGTTAGCAAGTCACGCTCGAGGCACCAAAGATGTCGACCTGAGCGACCCTCCTTGTGAGCAGAGGATGATGATCGACGCCCACCAGCCCGCTCGAGGACCAACACGTGGCGACAAGCTGTAGAGGAATTCTCACAAGCTCAATCTCCTAATCTGCCCCATGGGCAGGGCACCCGGGGATCGACCCTTGGGAACTGAGGAAGAAGTTAGCCAGTCGCCCTCAAGGCACCCAAGACGTCGGCTCGAGACTCCAATCCTGGAGGCAGAGGATGTCGAGAAGCTAGTAAATGACCAACTCCGAGGTCTTCGACTTAAAGGAAGCATGGAGGAGGCCCTGTGCAAGGAAATTGATCGAGTTGACTGCTCGCCCTTTACCGTCGAGGTGGAATGAGCTCCGCCGCCGAAGCAGTTGACAATGCCATCCATCACTCCATTCAAGGGGGACTCTGACCTTGAGAGCCATTTGAGGCAATTCAAAAGCGCCATGATCCTGTACAAGGCAGACGACGCCCTGATGTGCAAAGTGTTCGCGACGACTCTGCGAGGAGCAACTCAAGATTGGTTCCACACTCTACCGTCCGCGTCGATAAGCAACTTCAAGGAGTTCGCCCTCATTTTCACGAAGGAGTACACCTCCTACAAGACGGTCAGAAAGCATGTGGACCACCTGTTCAACCTGAGCAAGAAGCCATACGAGTCTCTACAAGACTACCTGAGACGGTTCAAGGTTGAGAAGGCTAACATCATAGAATGCAATGACCAAGTTGCATCCTCAGCTTTCAAGAAGGGCTTGCCAGCCAAGCACGAGCTATACTGGGAGTTGGCCATAACTCCAAGCCAAACCTTGGCGGAAGTGTTTGCTACGGCAGAGCGCTACGCACTTTGGGATGATGATCGTATCGCTGCAAAGAAAGCCAGCAAGCAAGTTGACCACCCGACAAAGCAGGCAAGCCAAAAGAGCAACAAGTTCGAGCAAAAAGCCCGGGATAAGCGCAGATCGCGACCCCAAGAAGGAAGCTTAGAAACAGGGACCTTCACCAAGTTCGCTATCCCGATCCACCAAATCCTGGCACAAGTGAAGGACAAGCTGTGGGTGAGAAGGCCACCACCCATGAAGGGAGACCTCTAAGAGGGACACCAGTAAGTACTGCTTATTCCACGGGGAGCACGGTCATTACACCAACAACTGCAATGCTTGGAAAAGGCACCTGGAGGAGCTGGTCAGAGAAGGCCATTGCACATAATTCATCGCAAAGAAGGCCATCCAGTAGATCGAGGATCGCGATGCAGTTGCCAAGGAACCTCCCCAAAAGGTCATTCGAATCAACACCATTCTAGCTGACTCCCAGGAGTCCGGGCTGACCACCAAAGAGCACAAGAGAAAGGTCGCGTAGGCGACTTATGTCTCTCAAGTCACAATGGGAGTACCAGTCATTGTGGATACACCCATTATCGGCTTCCAGAAAAAGGACTTGATCGGGCTTGACCTGCCACATAATGACGCCCTAGTCATCTACGTCCAAATTGAACAAGCTGTGATCAAGCGAGTTTATGTAGATGAGGGCAGCACAGCCAACATCTTGCATGGGATTGGAGCCTAAGATGGGATTGGAGCCTAAGATTGGCAAACTTGCCAGATCGCTCACTGGCTTCAATGGGGCCACGTCAATCACTATTGGAATGATTGACCTTGACGTCCACTCACCCCCAGTGGTCTACTCGCAAACCTTCATGGTCAACGACGAGATCTCCTCTTACAATAGAATTTTAGGCCCTACTGTGGATCAGCAAGATCGAGGCCATCTCATCTGCCTTACACCAGAAGATTTGCTACCCCATCCCTAGGGGTAGGATCGGGCAAATCAACAGTGACCAAGCCATGACAAGGAGATGCACAGCCCAAGGGCTCAAGAAGAACAAACAGTTGCAGTTCACACTAGTAATGCAAGCTGCCAAAGAGGCAGGAAGCGCTCCTAGCAGACAAGCAAGCCTGAACGGGAAGGGAGTTGCTACCTCTCAATAGCAATTAAGGAGCCAGGATCAAGGCAAGGGAATCCGCCCGGAAGACTCCCCTGAAAAGGGTTGGAAGTTTGAGGATGACGTCGAGTTAGTACCCCCTGATCTTGACCAGCTAGATAGAGAAGCGCAGATCGGCTCGTCCCAGAATCCAAACAAGAAGGATCGAGACTAGGGAATCCGCTTGGAAGGCTCCCTTGAAGAAGGTTGGAAGCCTAAGGAAGACGTTGAATTAGTACCCTTCGATCTTGAACAGCCAGACAAGAAAGCGCGGATCGGGTCATGCCTAAGCCTAGACGAGAAGGTGGAGCTGACCACCTTCCTCCAGAACAACAAAGACATGTTCGCGTGGTCGCCATCTGACATGCCTGGTATCGACCCAAATATCATCTGCCACCAGCTCCATGTCAACCTTGCTAGCAAGCCCATGGTGCAGAAGATACTCAACTTCGCTCCCGAGCAGGTCGCAATCATTGAAGCCGAGATCGACAAGCTTCTAGCTGCCGGTTTCATTGAAGAGGGTTCTACTCGGAATGGCGGGCCAACGTTGTTTTGGTTGCGAAACAAGAAAAGGGCAAGTGGAGAGTGTGCGTCGATTACACCGACCTCAACAAATCATGCCTTAAAGACAACTTCCCATTGCCGAGGATCTACCAGCTTGTGGATTCAACTTCCGGCAACCAGTTGCTCAGCTTCATGGACGCCTACTCCAGTTATAATCAAATTATGATGTACGACGATGACAAAGTGAAGACCTCTTTCATCATCGAGAGAGGGACTTACTGCTACAAGGTCATGCCCTTTGGGCTGAAAAACGCCGGAGCAACCTACTAAAGGCTCGTGAATAAAATTTTCAAGGAGCAGATCGACAGAACCATGGAAGTCTACGTGGACGATATGCTGGTCAAAGCCTCTAAGCGGGCAGACCACCTCAAAAACCTCACCGAGGCATTCAGCCTGCTCCGCCAGTATCGCATGAAGCTGAATCCAAGTAAATGCATGCTCGGTGTATCGTCCGACCGATTCTTGGGATACTTAGTCACACAACGAGGTATCGAGGCACACCTGCGCTAAATCAAAGCCATTCTCGAGATGAAGTCGCCTTCCACAGTGAAAGAAATACAAAGCCTGACGGGTAGGGCAGCGACCCTCAATCGATTCCTCTCATAATCTACCGACAAGTGCAGACCATTCTTCAAAGCTTTGAAGAAGGGACAAAAAGACAAGTGGGACGAGGAGTACGAAGCAGCTTTCCAGAATCTAAAGACTTACCTCACCTCACCTCCCCTGCTCTCAAAGCCAGTTCCTGGTGAAGACTTGTTCGTGTACCTGGAAGTGTCCATCTCGGCCGTCAGCTCATCTCTCATCGAAGAAGAACTTGGGGCCCAACATCCGATATTCTACACGTCAAAAGCTCTCCTCGATGCAGAGACTCGCTACCCAAAATTGGAGAACCTCATTTTGGCCCTTGTAGTTTCCGCGAGAAAGCTGCAACCCTATTACCAAGCTCACCGAGTCATCGTCATGATCGACTTTCCTTTGAGATCAATCCGCCACATCCTTGATGCTTCTCAGCGACTCATGAAGTGGGCTATAGAGCTAAGCCAATACGACCTCATCTACCGGCTGAAGACTGCAATAAAAGCCCAAGCCTTGTAAGACTTTGTTGCAGAATTCACATCATCGGTCGAAGAAGAGAAGCTGGTCAGTAAAAAGAAGGAAAGTTCGAGAGCAGACAAGACCTTCGCTGAACCTGACCAACCTAGAGACATGTGGCAGTTGCTTGTAGATGGAACGTCAAACCAAAAAGGAGCTGGAGCAGGCGTCGTCATCATCACCCCGGATAGAACCCTGTTAGAGCAAGCTATCACGCTTGGCTTCCCGGCTTCAAACAACTAGGCAGAGTACGAGGCATTGCTCGCTGGCTTGCGCTTGGCGAATGAGCTATCAATAAAAAAACTGGCCATCTACTTAGATTCCCAACTGATCACAAGTCAAGCCTCAAGAGAATACATAGCGAAGCACCCGAGGATGATCTTATACCTTGACAAAGTCCAAGAGCTGTTGAAGGCGTTTCCCACCTTCACCATCCAGCAGGTGCCCCGAGCAGAGAACGCGCACGCAGATGCACTGGCAAGCTTAGGATCATCGCTGGATACCCAATTCTGACGCTTCATCTCGATCGAGCACCTTGACCAACCTAGCATAGAAGAGGCAGAGCAGCCGGACCTGATGCAGATCGATGAGGATCCTAGCTAGCAAGACCCCATCATTGACTACTTAGTGAATGAAAACCTGCCCGATGACAAGTCCGAGGCCAGAAAAATCAAGCAGAAGGCTGCAAGATATTACATGAAAGGCGACATGCTTACCCGCAGATCATACTCCGGGCCTCACCACACTTGCATCAAGTACTCGCAAACGCTCGAGGTTCTTTGCAAAATACACGACAGTGAATGTGGAAATCACGCTAGGGGCAGATCGCTTGCTCAAAAGGCTCTCAGCATCGGCTATTTATGGCCTACCATGCCCCAAGACTCCACGGTGTATGCTTGAAGATATGATTGATTCCAACGCTACAAGCCGGTCCCTGGCCTGCCAGCTGAGGAATACTATTCGCAGAACAGTCCATGGCCATTCATGCAGTGGGCCATTGACTTGGTGGGAGCTGTGCCAACTGCACCTGCCAAGAAGGAGATGATGATCGTTGCCACTTATTACTTCACCAAATGGATCGAGGCCTAATCTTTATCCTCTACCAAGGAAGCCGATGTTGAGCGGTTCATTTGGAAGAACATCATTTGCAGATTCGGTTGCCTGCAATCGATAGTCACCGACAATGGTACACAGCTCTGGGTAGACAGATCACCGCATTCTTTACCGAAGTATGACATCAAACAGCACCTGCCAACTCTCAGATACCGGCAAGGCAATGGCCAAACAGAGGCATCCAACAAGATCGTGCTGGACTACCTGAAGAAAAGACTGGAGGGCGCATAAGGAAAATAGGTCGACGAGCTGCCAGGAGTCCTATGAGCTTATCGCACAACCAAAAGGAGATCGACTGGAGAGACACCATTTTCCCTGGCCTATGGGACAGAAGCAATCATTCCCCCATACGTCACAGTCCCTTCCATAAGCATTGAGGTGGGCATTCTTGACCAAAACTGCAAGCAGATGAAAGTCAACCTTGATCTGCTCGAAGAAGAATGAGAAAAGGCCATTGTTCGAGTCGTAGCCTACCAACAGCAGTTGACATCCTACTACAATAAGAAGGCCAAGATCAGACAATTTCAACCTGGAGACCTTGTGCTCAGGAAAACTTTCGCTACAGCCCCAAGATAATGGTCAAAGAAGATGAAGCCAAACTGGGAAGGCTTCTATGTGATCAGCCGATCTGGGGGCAGAGGAAGTTACACCCTCGACACTCTAGAAGGGAAGGAAATTCCGAGACAATGGAATGCCCACCACCTTCGGAGATACTATCTATGAAACTCTTCGCTTACCAGCTCGGCTCCTAGCAGGCGACAAGCCTTTCCTCCATTGTAGACAAGTTGCTCCTCAAAGCACAAACTCAATGGAGTCTTTTTCAAGCGTTATGTCCCCGACATATGCACACAGGCAACGACCCTTATCTCCATTGCAAACAAGCTGCTCCTTAAAGCACAAACTCAATGGAGTCTTTTTCAAGCGTTATGTCCCCGACATACGCACGCAGGCGACAAGCCTTACCTCCATTGCAGACAAGCTGCTTCTCAAAGCATAAACTCAACGAAGTCTTTTTCAAGCATTATGTCCCCGACATACGCACATAGGCGACGAGCCTTATCCTCATTGCAGACAAGCTGCTTTTCGAAGCACAAACTCAGTGGAGTCTTTTTCAAGCGTTATGTCCCCGACATACGCACACAGGCGACCAGCCTCACCTCCATTGTAGACAAGCTGCTCCTTGAAGCGCAAACTCAATGGAGTCTTTTTCAAGCATTATGTCCCTGACATATGCACACATGCGACGAGCCTTATCTCCATTGCAGACAAGCTGCTCCTTCAAGCACAAACTCAATGGAGTCTTTTTCGAGCATTATGTCCCCGACATACGCTCGCAGGAGATAAGCCTCACCTCCACTGAAGGCAAGCTACTTCTCGAGCACAAACTCGATGAAGTCTTTTTCGAGCATTATGTCCCCGACATACGCTCACAGGCGACAAGCCTCACGTCCACTTAAGGCAAGCTACTTCACGAGTACAAGCTCAATGGAGTCTCTTTCAAGTGTTATGTCTCCGAACATACACTTACGAGATATAACGAGAATTGAAGTTTGAAAGACAACTGAAAATTCAGTAACAAAGCGGCCAACCAGCACCATCTACTCAATGGCCTCACCTACCTGCTTCTTCGCATCTGGTCTAGCCTTATCAGCTACGCCACCTTGGAGTTGTCTTCCTCCATTGCAGCTTCATCTGTTATCTGCTCTTCAACTGCTTCTGCATCCACAACATTGCTCTGCTCACTTTAAGCAGGGGGCAGGTCAAGATAAAGCTGCTTATCGTCTTCATGTTCGAGAGGGCAACAAGGAGAAGCACTATTCTTGCAATTCAAGTATCCCAGCTTGTATGCATTAGCAACAATCTCATGCTTGGATGCCTCTGTGGCTTCAACATGAGTGTCGAACTTGACTAGCGGAGCTATCACCAACTTCTGGATCGGCAGTTCACGCAACTTAAGGACTCTTTGCTCGAGCAGACGACTCTTTAGCTCTCTTGGCCATAACTTGCAACATTGAGTCAACTTCGCGCTTGACTGTTCGTGGCTTTGCAGCCGAGTCGTGATTGCTAGACAGATGTACAGTCCTCTCAGTTTGATCTCATGATCGGCACAAGCAACTCAAACCTTTCTTCTCAACAGCTTCTTCATAGGGTAGATCATGGGTTTTAGGTAGTTCGAGCTGATACCTGAGCAGAATATCCCGGACCTCCTGCATGCCATTAATCTTCTTACTGTTCACGTTGACGAGGCACTTGATCCTAACAGATGAAGAAGCAACTCTCATAGGGACATTCTCAGCAGACGAGACCCCCTTACAGAAGACTTGCTCGTGGAAGAATGAGGAAGCTTGGTCGAGGACTTCTCCCGCTCAACTGGCAGATCATCTAGGTTCGAGCCATGCAGCTCCCATCTTTCAACATCTTCGGCTGAGGCAGACCACCAGCCTCCTTCCGATGTTCACTCAGCAACCAGCGCAATCCACAGAACCTGGCAAGGATGTTCAAAGCTTGATGAACATTGGTCTTGTCCAGGCCGAGATCGAGCTTATTGTGGATGTCATTTTCTACAAGCAGAAGACAGGAGTCAGTCAGACACACATCAAAGAATTCCATGGCAACTGTAGTAGATCAAAGGGATGCAACTTACCATCACAGTAGGTGAGAGGAACGAGCGGACCGTCGTCAACCTCCCCTACCCATCTACCACTGACTTCCAACATGTCCGTGCTCCACACATGATCGCCTAAACTCATACTGTTCCTAGTTCGTGACACAAAAAGAAGAAGGAATTGAAGCAGTTTGGATCAACCACAAATAAGCCGACCCAAACTGCCACCTGCTCCAGCAGCAGGCCGACTTGCCTCCAGCCTAGTTATAGCTAGACAGCCAAAGTCAAAAGACCAAAGTGGCAAGTCAAATACCTCCTCCACTTAAGAGCCCAAGTCTAAGAAGGAAGCCCAGTTACAGCTGGACAGCCCAACAGATAATTCACATCTCCTACATGCCACCACGTGCCCTGCAGAAGCTGGGGGGCATTTGTGGGAACCGAATTAAATCAGACCCTAGGTCAAATAATTCCTTCCATTTGGGGATTATTTGACCTAATTGGGAATTACTCAACCTAATTGGGAGTTACTCAATTTAATTGAGGATTACCTAATTAAATTGAGAATTGATTTGATTCCTACCCCAATTCCCAATTAAATGAAGAATTACCTAATTAAATTAGGATTTGATTTGATACCTACCACAATTAGGGATTTGATTTACCCTAATAAATCAAATCCCTAATTAAGCAAATCAATTCCAAATCGGGGAGGAATAATTCCTTTCCATCTACGGAATTATTCCTCTGAAACCCTAGCCTCCAAGACCACTATAAAAGGATGGCCACACACAAAGGTGAAGGTACCTCTAAATTCCTACTGAAACTCTGCATAAATCATTTCTCCAAAACCCTAGCCACCATATTCTTTCTCTCTCTGACACAAGGCTCCGGGCACCACACACGGCTCCGGCCACCCGGTTTTCCTTGAAATACCCTACCTAACTTAGGCATCGAAGGGCCTTTGGCCAACACCCCCCAAGTGTGGTCCTTTTACCCCAATCTGTTTTGCAGGGAGAAAGAGAAGTGGAGAAGATGAAGGAATCTTAGGCGAATATTCTTGTGGGACGAAATTTGCTCCCACAAAAAGCATAGCCAGACGTACTCCTCATATCATCTTCACATCCTGACCAATCACTATCACAATATCCAACAAGCATTGCTTCTTTTCCCTTCTCATATGTTATGCCATAGTCAAGAGTACCTTGAATGTATCTAAGTACTCTCTTGGCAGTCCCCATATGCTTCCTTGTAGGTCCATGCATATATCTAGCTTAGAGAGTTGCAGCAAACATGATATCTGGCCTTATTGCTGTTAGATATAATAAGCTTCCAACTATCTGTCTGTACACCCTTTCATCAGCCTGTTCACTTCCATCCTCCTTTGATAATTTCTCATTCATAGCAAGTGGAGTTGCAACCAAAATTGTCCAATAATGTTCTTGCATATTTTTTGTGATGCAAGAAGATGTAGGACTCAGCTTGTGTCACACCTAAACTAAAAAAATGGTGCAATAATCTGAGATCAGTCATTTCATATTTCTTCATCATTTCAGTTTTAAAACTCATCACCAATTCTTCAGAACTTCCTGTGTAGATAATATCATCTACATATAGAGAAACTATGAGAATTCCACTTTCAGCAGTTTTCACATATAATGTAGCCTCACTAGGACTTCTCTAAAATCCTGCAGCTATGAAATATGAGTTGATTTCTTCATACCAAGCTCTTGGAGCTTGTTTAAGACCATACAAGGCCTTCTTGAGTATATAAACTCTATCTTCCTTGTCTTTAATCTCAAATCCTAGAGGTTGATTCACATACACTTCCTCATGTAGCACTCCATTTAAGAATGCCGACTTCACATCTAACTGGAACAGCTTCCACCTTCTCTGAGTAGCTAAAGCAATTAATGTTCTAACTATATCAAGTCGAGCAACTGGTCCAAAGGTCTTGTTGAAGTCTATTCCAGGCTTTTGAGTGTAACCTTTAGCTACTAGTCTTGCTTTGTTTTTCTGAACTGACCCATCAAGATTTAGCTTGACTTTATAGATCCATTTGACTCCAACTATTTCAGATGGCATTTTTACCAATTCCCAAGTATCATTCTTCTCAATCATCTCAAGCTCAGTTTCCATGGCCTTTTTCCATGATGCATCTTTGATAGCTTCTTCAAAAGTTTCTAGTTCAATGATACATATATTACATCTCTCATATACCTCTGTAAGACTTTTGTATTTCAATGGAGTATGATCAATATCATGCGACCCTGTGTCAACTGCAAATTCTTCTTCATTGTCTTCTAATAACACATCATTTTCAACTGAGTTTTCTGCTTGCATCACAGTTGTGTCATTGATCCATTTCTCCTTTTCAGACACCATTTCGGTAAGTGGAATGGACACACTGCATTCTTGCTATGCATTCCAATCCCAGCTAGCATCTTCATTGAATACCACATCTCTTGAGATAATCACCTTTCCAGTGGTAATATTATACTGTCTATACCCCTTCTCATAACTGCCATATCCTAGAAACACACACCTTTTGCTTGCCAAGTCCAGTTTCTGCCTCTGTTGGTTTGGAACATGTGCATAGCACAGAGAACCAAACACTCTTAAGTGTTTAAGCCCTGGCTTTCTTCCACTATAGGCTTCAAATGGCTTTTTCTTGTCCAAAGCTTTTGTTGGACATCGATTTAGAATATACACTGCAGTATTAACAGCTTCTACCCAAAACTCAAGTGGCATGCTCTTCTCAAACATCACACACTTAGCCATCTCCACTATGGTTCTGTTCTTTCTCTCAGCCACACCGTTCTGCTGTGGTGAATATGCCACCGTAAGTGCCTCTCCATCCCCATTTCATCACAAAATCTATTAAACTCATTAGAGGTATACTCTCCTCCTCTGTCACTTCTCAATTTCTTAAGCTTATAACCACTTTGCAATTCAATAGTAGCCTTAAACTTCTTAAACATAGTTAATACCTCAGATTTGTATCTCAAGAAATAGATGCAGCACATTCGAGTACAGTCATCTATAAAGGTAAGAAAATACTTGTTTCCTGCTTTTGTAACAATTTGCATTGGTCCACACACATCAGTGTGTACAAATTCTAGTGGAGTTGTGACCCTACTGGTTGCTTCTTTTGGAAAAGACTTCCTGCAATGTTTTCCAAAAGTACACCCCTCACACACTTCACTTGTATTTTTAATTTCTGGCAGACTGAGTACCATATCTTCATTCTGCAATAGTTTCAAGCTTTGGAAGTTTAAGTGTCCCATTCTCCTATGCCAAATCAATGTTGATTGACTTATGCTTGCTTTTAGTGAAAAATGTAAGTCTATTTGAAGTTTCAAAGGAAAACTTCTATTTCCCTTCATTTGCACCCTGGCCACCAGATTAGAGAGTGAGCAATCATCATAAATTTCTGCCTTGTTATCTCCAAAAATCAGGAAATATCTGTGCTCCATCATCTGTCCAACACTGAGTAGATTTTCCTTGAGACCAGATACTAACAACACCTCCTTAATATATCTTTTTCCCATCTTAGTTTCAACCATCAAGCTTCCTTTTCCAATAACATTGACCAACTGTCCTGTCCCAATTGCAACTTTTTCCGTTATACTCCTATCAATATCAGTCAAAACATCTTCTCTGCCAGTCATATGGTTACTACACCCACTATCCAAATACCATACATCTTCCATGGACCTTTTGTCAACTGCATTATTGACATAGAACACAGTTGGTGAAGAGGTTACTTGAGCAGCATACTGAAGTTGCTGCACTGGTTTCTTGCTATAGCAGTCTTTTGCTATGTGGCCAAACTTGTCAGTTATAGCATTTTGGCTTGCCCTTGAATCGACACTCTCCAAAATGCAATTTCCCACAATGCTTGCAAGAATTTTTAGTTCCATCAGCAGGTTTGTTATCCCACTTTTTGCCCTTATCCTTCCAATTCTTTTGATGCTTGCTATTCTGATTTCTAGTGACCTTAGCTAATTAGGAATCTACACTCAGACTAGCAAAAGCCTTCTCAGTCTTGTTCTCATGATGTCTCTCCAACCTTTGTGCAAAGCTCTTCAATGAGGCAACCACCTCTTGAACCTCAATTGCATCTAGATCCCTCGAATGCTCAATTAGAGAACAAATAGGATCATACACAGGCAACAGACTAATTAACATTTTCTGCACAATTCTTTCTCTAGACAACTCTTCTCCATAGCCTCTCATTCAAATTCTAATTCTCTACGGAGACTTTGTAACTTGACACTCCTTACCTGCTTATCACCATGAAATTCTTGCTTCTGAATATTCCAAGCCCCTTGAAACGATTCTTCATGAGAAATCCTAGGGAAGATCCCATCAGAAACTGCTCCCTAAATCAGCCCCAAAGCCTTAGCATCTTTCATCAGTATCTCAGTGAGAATCATCTTCCCAGCACCACTTGATTCCTCTTTTTCTTTCTTCTTCGCATCAGATTCATCGACTCCCTTCGAATCTGAGCTCTCTATCCCTTTCTCAACAAGTTCCCATAACCCATGAGATTTGAAAATAGTTTTCATTCTTATGCTCCAGAACTCATAGTTCTCACCATTGAAGATCGGAGCTTGTGGCTCACCACCTCCAGACCCTGCCATATTAGACACAGATCTCCAAGAAAGCAAGGTCGTCAAAAAACGCAGCTCACTTTCTTCACAAATTCAAACGCCCAACTTAAACAATCGAACCTGGCTCTAGGCCATGTTAGAAAACTCAGACTATGATATGATTTATTTGGATTATTGGTAGAAGGAGCTTAGGTGAGAAGAGAAAACAGAGAGAGAGCTTGGAGAGGAAGATGAGAAAAATTGGGTCTATTCTCTCACTTAGTCACGCACAAGCTGTGCAGTACAATAACCATTTGGGAATAGTATATTCCCTGTTTACATCATTCAAATCTAACCATCAATTTAACTATCCTATGAGATAGCAACACCTGGCATAATTTGATACAACTAAGAATACATCTTAGCTGTCCATTGGATTGTGATCCAATGGTTCTCACTTAATTCAATACAAATACTTAGCTAATACACTTATACTTTAACACCTCTCCTCTCCTTTCCCTCCACCACATTGACACCATAGACACAATCTTCCCCTTCATGAGCCGCTCTGAGTCCATTAACCACCTCATGAGGCCAGCAAAAGTTGACCCTTCTCGTCTTCTTCAACAATCCATATGCTACCACAGACCAAGCAATTGGTCTTTCTCAGTCTCATGGGGCTATTCTGCTCACATTTATGAGAATATAATTCCCCTTAGCATTTTACGGAGACCCCTTGAGACATTTAGGCCTTGGAAGAACACAAGACCGCCATTCTACATGTTCAACACCCGGCTAACTTACAATGATCCATGTCAAGCTCCTCATCTCCTTTGATTCTATTGATGAGAATGTTGAAAATAGAAATAACGTAATCTGTACATCACCACCAACTGAGCAAAGGGGCAATTTGAAGCACCTACAATGGTTTTTCCGATAAAGAGAGGTGCAGCTGCACCTCCTTGCGCCTTAGTAGATCTACCACTGCCCATCGTGGTTCATTTTTTGCTTGATCGTTCTAAGTATATATATGTTTATACTTACTTGTTCGTGTCTTATGTTGTTTATACTTTCTTACTTTTCAGGCCAGGGGGAAAGACTGCTGTGATATAGCATATGAACCTGACATTAACACTACTCAAGTTATATACAGAGCTTGCATGAAGGGTGAAATTATCGCCTAATTGTACAAAAAACGATGTTTATGACAACCAAAAAATGGAAAGGAAAAGAAAATGAATATTTCGACATATACCTTCATTAAAGATTGAATTCTTGAATGAAAATAAGTTAGTTAATTACTCTTGGACATTAGTTTTAGTTTCAATTTTAGATAACAGTAATTCTAAGGGCACCAACTATTATACCAACTTATTGATACTAACTGATGTGGTATGTAACATGACATGAATTTTTTCTAGGATGTTATTAAACGAACCCTAAAATTAACTGAGTGCACCTTATGATCACCCTATTATTTAAATCAAAATGTAATATTAACTAAGTACACCCTATTAATTTAACTACCAAAAATACCCTTAATACATCATAATACACTCTATCACAACACTAAACCAATTCGAAAACTGGCTGCCGAACACTCCATCAGATGGAGGCAGCAGTTGTTTTCAAAGAGGGGACCACACTGACGAACTCTGCAATCATTTATCCGAGGATGCTAGGTAGAAGGACTTATGTCACCCATTGCATTCGTATCAATAATGTATGATTAAGAGTCCTGAGACAGAAAATCATAGTGAAGGCAGTGCGATAAGATTGCTTCATCTTTCAATCTTGGTTAATTGAATCCCCAAATCCCTGTTCACCCATTGCAATTCCTCCCAATAATAATTGGTTAATTGAAAATCATAGCATGTATTTGGTGATCAGCAGTTTTGATCTCTAACGTTTGTATACCAGAATTATATTATACAATCTATTTTTACAAATAAATATTTAGTTGAAGCGTACTTTTTTTGTTTGCTTGCTTGTTCGATCTTGACTGGTTTCATTGCTTCATATCTTTGAGACGGAAAAAATGGGACACCATGGACGAGACAAGAACACAAAGCAGTTACTTGTTGTACGTCTTAGGGCCTGTTTGATAATCATTTCAATTTTAGTTTTTAGTTTTTATTTTTTGTGCTAGAGTATAGAGGAAAAAGAGGGTGAATGGAAGTAAGAATGAGAGTAGAGATGGGATTGAGAGGGAAGATAAGAGGAGAAGATAGGAGGGATGAGTAACAAAAGTGAAAACAAAATCTAAAAACTGAAATCTATTTAAAATTGTTCACTTTTGTTACTCTTACCTCTCATCCTCCCCTCTCATCCTCTATCTCAATCTCATCCTGACTCTCATTTTACTCTATACTCTAGTACAAAAAATGAAAACTAGAAACTAAAATTGAAATGGTTATCAAACAAGCCCTTAGTTATCAATTTTGTACCATATTTTCCTTTTGATGCCTCCAACACCTCTTCGCATAATACTAACCATCCATTGCTATTGCTAATTTGCTATCTTCATAGGTTGAATATGATGAGCATGTTGTACTTATTAAAATTACATTTGTTTCACAATTCAATATATCTTTTTTGGTCATTTTATATTAGGGTAAATTAATAATTCAATAAATAGTTTGGTAATAGGATGTACTCAATTAATTTTAGGATTCGTTTAACAACACTCTTTTTTATCTTCGGAAGTTACCTATTGTCTAGATAATTAAATACCTATTTCAACTTCATACCTTGAATTTGTTAAAGGAAACTTTGTACCCAACAAACAGATATCTTTGATATGCACCTCTACTTTAGGTAATACCTATTGAACCCAATACCAACCAATAGGTAAAGTTGGAAACAATGTCTCTCTACATTACTCGAAAATTGGGCAATAAGGACCTTTTTACAGAGACAGATACACAAACAGTCCCTAAAAAATGCTATTAGAACGAAATATTATATCTCCATCTCTAGTAAGCATCAAGGGACATAAAACAGTCCCTATTGTCATACTAGAGACATAAAATATTGTCATTACTACTCGTATTTTAAACGAAAGTACGTCAACACCACCATATATTGCGAAAAACAAAGTATAAAATTTTTCATTAGGCACGGATATAAGAAGCAGTGCCAAAATTGCTCTACGATTTTGCCACAACATGAGTCACGGAGTTGTAGCTAGGTAGTACCCATCCAAGTAGATACGTGATCTGAGGGACTTCACCTCTCAACACATCATTGAACACCGGGGATTGATCGAGCACGTTAAGGTCGTTTTGAGATCTCATAACTCCGAAAAAAGCATGTCAAACCCAGGTATATCAAATAATGCAACAACTTCCAGAATGATACTTTTTTCGCCTTTCCTATTCCCATAATCTCCTTGACAGGCAGTTGGGCAATTCTTCTACTTCTAGTGCATGCAGTCGATGCTTCTAATCATGTCTGGGAAACCTCGAGCCTCGACTTTTTGTAGAAGCCTTTAGAGGTCCCTAAGCGTAGGTTTGCAGAGGTAATCCCTTGTGTAGAGAATTTCGATTGCATCACAGAATCTGACCAAGCTCTCTAGGTTAGTAGATTTCCCCATTCTTGCAATCTCATACACCTGGTCTACAGATGCACCAAACGCTAGCATCCGTAAAGAAGCTGTAAGTTTTTGCTTTTGAAGAAGACCCAAAACTTAGTAGCATCGTACTTCTGAAAGAAGTATGCATCGTAATTACAAACATCATGCATGGTTTTATTGAAGAAATGGGGCTGCATTCTATATTGCCCTCGAAAATCAAAACTAGAGTACAACGAATTTGGGATAAAATAATCTTCCAAGAGATTCTTACCCTGAAAGTACCTACGTCTGCCCACATTCGGGCCACGGTCGGGTTGTGAACCACAATGGTGTTGGCTTGATTGATGGAGCATACCCACTATCATGACAACTTGATCATCATCTTCTTCCCACTCCCTTTCTTCTTCAGCTCATTTGCGCATTCTTTCTTTATTTTCTCGCTTGGCCTGTCCAACAACCTTTTCGTGTAAGACATTGAGAGTAGAATGTGTTTTCCAAAATCTGAGAAATGAAATGATAGAAAGGATATGGTGTGAAAGGTCTGAGTTGAGGATGTGGTTTTATATAGGGATTTAGAAGACAGAGATGACACGTGGTGCAATTGTAGCAACTGAAAATCTTATCTGAAATATGATATTTGAATTTTATAATAAAATATGGATATGTGGCAACCGAAAATCTTATCCGAAATATGATATATGAATTTTATAATAAATATGGACACGTAGCAACCAAAAATCTTATCCAAATTAATTGTTAGTATAAAAAAATAAAATAATTTAAAGTAAATAGTAATTGCCCTTCGCCATGGCAATGGGTGGAAACACAACTTGCCTTTTGAAAGGACTAGCACTATTCATGTAAATGGTAACAGGCATTGTCTTCCTTTGCCTTTACCGTGGCAAATGGGTGAAAATGCTCTTAATGAATGGATTTGCAATAATGTATCTCTAACTTGTCACATTATGCAAATCTTTCCTTTAATAAAAGAGGAACGTCCTGTAGAGAAACCTAAACCCCACGGACGCATATCATGTCCTTATTGCAAAGAATAAGCTACGCCGAAAACTATTACGACATATAATTGTTCTCAAATAAATCGATGAATGGAAAGTTTTAATATGGCTAAAATTATTAAAATAACTTTTTAAATCAATAAACTTTCATTAATTTATATCTGTTCCTCTTTTTAATCTGTTTCGGATAGAGTTTAAGTTATTAGTGCAATTTGCATGATGTAGTTTCAAAGCTTTTGGTTTTGATCAAACATACAACTCTCTTCCCCTAATTACACAAAACTCCATTAAAAATTTAAAACCCTTTTTTTTCATTATTCGAATTTCAGTAACAAAATCCGCCCAACACCAAGAGAAGTAACAGAAAAAGTTTGCCCAGCCACGAGCGGTATAAATACATGAGGAAAAAACCTAAGTAACCTAGCACCTTATAACTCCCATAACTTCAATTGTCTCAGTTTTTTCCCGATTTATGAAACAGAGTAAAATTCAGCACACCAACAATCACGCCTTCAAGAAACTCTATAAAATAAGAAAATGCAGCAGTTCGTATACTAATGAGCCTTCTGAATTCCTATCATACGAGCATAGTCCACCCACCTGCAAAGTAAAGTAGTCAGCGGTGACTCGTGAGGGTATAACAATCAGTTATATCGGAAAAATTCACAAGGCAAAAGTTCTCACAATAATGAACCCAAGAACGTGTTGCCAGTCCGAACGGCAAAGCAAATTGCACTAAGCATGAGCTTGTGTTTATGCAGTAGCGGTTCCAAACACCTTTGTTCAATAACACCGGCTAATACTTGGTACCTGACAAAGAATTTGAATTTAGGTAAATACATGCAGTTCCCAAGAATTCTGCAATTCCTAATGCCAGTAATTCCATTTACAAAGCATTTGATATAAATCTACCCTTAATATTTTGTCACGCCTTAAGTTATCCTTTATTTTTTCAAATAATTCGATCTATTGGATACCATTTTCAAATAAGTCTTGAGCACTCAGCTCACACATTTACACCTAATGGATTTTGTACACTTACGTACAAAACCAAATATAACATGTTTCACTCAGCTCAAAAGCTTAACGACATATAACATGTTTGTTTATACTTTTTTGAAGAGAACATATCTAAAATGCATAATTTGTTAAATTTGCAACACTATAGAAAGGGTAAAACTGCAAGGAGTTCAGAAAATTAGAAACAGGAAATGCATTGTCCAATAGAAAAATCATGCCCACTATACTCAGCAACTAATCCTGATAAAAATGAAGTACCTGAGATTGCTAGAAACCGCCATGTAGACACCATATGCAACGCTAGTGGATACTATAGGCACATTCTCAATTTCACCTGCTTTGTCCTTATCAACAGCCTTCCTTGCATTGATCAACGCATTTGTCACAGCTGTCCCAACCTAATTAAAAATGAGATGCATTATGTATCATCAAATTTAGAGATACTGGGTCACATCAATTAGCCTGAGTAAGGCAAACACTTTTGCAAAAAGATTGTCATGCAATATTAATAAAAGCTACAATGGAGCAAATACTAGCCATTAAGAAGACCAACATTGCCATCTTTTTAAACTAGTATCATTGAGAGAACTAGTGAAAGCACCCACCAAAAAAAAAATTTAAAACAATCTATTTCAAATTATTTTAAAAAAATATATACATCAAGGAATTAGTAACCCTATAGCATCAACTCCATTAGGATTTAGGTTAACATGCAACAACAGAACAATGGACCAAAAGAAGTAAAGCACATTAAACACATGCAGAACTCCAAATGAGACGTATGTTTGAGTATGTGTCTATGCCCATGCCAGTTGCAGAACGGTGTAGAACAGAAACCCCATGCGTAAGTTATAAAGTTCAAGATTTGATGCAGGCTTAGTCATAAGGTATTTAAGTTCAACCCAGGCATTGGTTATTACTTCAAATTTTATAAATGAATAAATTTGGCTGTTGATATCAATCCAGTCTTTGGATGTAAGGCTCTACAAAGAATAGATTACTCCTAAGACTAATTAAAATCAAATGCTTACTGCTAGATGACCACCGTTAATTTCATAGGGAATTGAACTTTTCAATTGTCTCAGAGAAAATTTTGGTTAACTATGTTGATGTCCAATTCTATAAAACATAAAGGCTATGTTGATATCTAATTCTATAAAACATAAAGGATAATCTATGGAAGTAACAACACAGTAAAAACACACATAGAAAAGGTGGTCAAGAGCACAAGACTCCCACCAAAGGTGACAACATAAAGGATAAAGTAGCCCCTACAGTTGGAATGGTTACCATTGATCTAACCCAACCAGACAAAATTTTAGCCTTAAATTTACATGCTGTTAGGAGCAAAATTATTATCATATTGAGATCTAGGGGGAAAAAAATCAACTGTGCATTCATGTAGAAAGAAAAATGCAAACTTCTAAGGCTCCACACAGATTCTTTTATGCCATTCAGCTCAAACTTCAGTGCTTCACTACATTTTTAACAATCAGATGCTCTCTCACCATTTCCAGCACAAGCCAGTAGAATTGACTTAACTTAACAACTAAAATAAAGGAAAGCACGGACAATTACCACATCACAGATGGGAAAAAGAACTTTGCTCCTTTCTTTAGCAACAATAAGGATGGATGTAAAATGAGAAAAAAAAACAAATTGATGAGAAGAAACACTTTTTTACAATTCTATGAAGAGACCGCACAAAACAAAACCAAAAAAAAATTGCTTCCTTTTATTTTGTCCTATTGAATGTGAAGTTGTGAAGAAATGCACAATTTGCAGAACACGTCTCAGCTGGTAGAAGAAATATGATGCATGAGAATTACTGTCACTTTAAAATAAAACATAAATATACATGCAAACACGTTGAAGTATTAATGCATGGACAAGTGGAGTTACAGAAGTACTAACCAGTGATGAAGCAGTACCAACAGCAAAGAGCTTGGCCCCGTTTCTCTGCACAAACAAATGAGGTGTTACAAAATATTTGATGACTCTTAACCTCAAACTTCAGATTAAATAAAAGCACATTACTAAAAGCCTACTTACCACTACTCCACCAATCCTCTGTAATAATGAGTATGATGTTCCCGAGAGAGCGATCTGCAGGACAGAATTTCAGAATCATATAAGTAACTGTATCTGGCTTTTAATTTGATCTAATAAGGCAAATTGCCAATACAAAAATTCAGTCATTCATAGGAAAGTAACCTGGAAGGCATTATCAGGGCAGCCATGGAAAAACTTAGTGATTGCTCCCGCATTGAGTGCAAGTGGAGGTCGGAGAGAGACAGTTGGGGCTGGAAGATATACAAGCATGAAATCTGCAATGATGGCCATTACCTAACAGAAATACACTACACACATAAATGATAGGAACTGAAAATATTCAAACTAGACATTATTTATGTTAGCTGAAGATTTTCCACCAGAAAAGCTATTCACGTAATCATTTAAATTCGCCAATAACAAAGTCCAGTACCCACAGATAGATTTATAAAGCAAAAAAATATCGCACAGTAGCTTATGGAAGAAAAGTACATTACTCATCTATGATCTCCAATTATTCAAATCATTGGCAAGCACTTGATAAAAAATGGATTGCTTATGACCTCTAGTTGATGCATTTACACGCAAAACTTCTGAAAAAATCTGATTGGCAAGCACCTTTTATTTGGATCATGTGCTTCACCTTAGACTACCATGTCGAATAAAAGGTCATGGGCATAAGCATGCCTAATGGAGACACATAATGCAAGCCAAGAGGCCAACTCTAACTCAAAACATCCCATAGCTATGCAAGCACTATAAAACTACTTCCAAATTGATTTACATGAATTAAAAGTCATTTCCATATCTCTTTCATCAGTCACCACCTTACTACACTCTAATCCTCTCTCTATTTAACAAAAATCATCAATCAAAAATAAAAAGACGGTCACTTTGAACCATCTCTCAATTATTGATTTCCCCTTAAAATCGCTCAACACACGGATACAAAAACAACTATGAACCCAAGAAAGCAACTTTGATAACAATGTGCAATGTGGTTCAAAGTAAAGTGTTTGACAAAAGGCATCCATACCACATCTGCAAAAACAACTTCAAGCTCATTGAAAAAGTTCTCTCCGCGACGCTGGTACTCCGCAGCAGTCTACAAAATCCAAACAAAACTGATTAAAAGAAGAAAAGAAAAAAACCAACTTAATTTAAAAAGAAAAACAGGGAGAAAGAGAGAGAAGGAAAGACCTTAGTGAAGAGACCAACGCCGCATTCCATGAAGACCTTAGCGAAAAATAGATCATCAGCCAGCAGCCTCTCTCTGAACCCAGCGAATTGCATCAACCACTTGAAAAGCCCCGACTTCTCCAGCTCGAAGTACCGGCTCACAACCGACCCGGGGATCCGACCCGCCTGGATCGCGGCGGCCAGGTCCTTGGGCAAGCTCTCCAAGCCCCGCTTAGACTCCGCCAACACCAACAAGGCCTCCGCCAAGTTCTTCCCGCCGGCATTGTCCGAACCTCCGTTGATGTCGCCATCATCCCCGCCGCCGCCGCCACCTCCGGAAGAGTCTCGGCCGTTGATGCCTCCGTCGCCGCCGCCGGTGGAGAATAGGACCTGGCGGAACTGGCGGTGGCGGTGGGTGAGGGAGGGAGGGGTTACAGTGAGGCGGAGGTGGAGGAGGGGCGATGCGGAGGGTAGAGATGGATGGTGTGGGTTGAGTTTGGAGAGAGAGGATGAGGATGAGGAGGTGGAGGCGGGTGTGAAGCACAAGGAGATCGCCATTGGTGGTTTTGGGTTTGGTTAGAGTTTGGGCGGGTGGGCAAAGGACTTTATGTTTGTCTCTCTCTCTCTCTCTCTTGCTCTCAGGCGTGGGCTGTGTGCTCTCTGTCTCTTCGTTTGTTTCTTCTGCAGATGGGCGTGAGTTCCAGAGGCAGAGAGAGGGAGAGAGAGACGAAGAGAGAGGGAAGAAGCGTGTTTTATTTTAAGGGTTTTTGGCAAAGCCATGAAGTCTACAAGAGTCCAAGCGACTTCCTTGCACGGCTTCCAGCGCGTTCAAGTCCCTCGCCTCGACCATGGAGAATCACATTTCTCCATCCAATTTTAACAAATTAGGAACTAGATTCCAACTTTAGAATTTTGGGTTCTTTATAGAGACCCATTTCATGCCAAAAATGTCAGAAAAAACCCTCGTGTCACAGATATTGAATTGAGGCCCAATTTGTATTTATTATTTATTTTTGTGACTATTATGCCCTTAGAGGTAAATAATTAAAAATAATTAAAATCCTTTGATTTAATGCAAATTCCTTGATTTAATACATCTTTTGTTTTATTAACAAATTTTGAATTTTGACTATTGCATTGCACCCTAAAAGAATTTGTGAAAAACAATCAACATATAACACGTTTGAATAAACTTAGTGTGTTGGTAGAAACCAAACAAAAGACACTTTAAGGAAAAGGTATAAACAAACATATTAAGGCATACACAAATAATATAAAATACATATATTTTTTAAGAATTAAAATACTATGTTTGGGAAACAAAATAGTAAACCTAGAACATAGGTTAAAAACATTCTAATAAACTCAATACATATGGTCTACCTACTATATAGGATTTATAAAAATAAAAAATTACACAAAAAACATACCTATACATATGTTAATTTTCATAATAAAATACCTATATGTTTGAGAATAAATAATAAACCTAGAACATAGGTTAAAAATATTTTAATAAACTAAGGCCATGTTTGGTACACCTCACTGGACTAGACTGGGTTAAATAGTACTCGAAACCCATGTTTGGTAAGAGACGAGACTAACTTAAATGAGACTGTATGGTCCAATAGTGAAAAAAATGCCTCACTCGCTCGTCTAATATAATGAGCTTGAAAAGTGGTTCGCTAAATAGCACCCTCACTAAATAAGACACGTGAGTCCAACACCTATCTTTAACAAAAAAATCATAATTTTATTTGTTTTCTTTTAATCATTGTTTTAGATCTTTGAATGGATTTTTTTTCTTTTTTGCATCATTTATTTATTTTTAGATAAAAATCCCCTGATGGAATAGCCTTACCTTCACCAAAAGCAATAGTGTGTGTACAAGGAGTCCTCTTGCAAGATATCAATCATTAAAACAATATAAATTATAATACTTCATATTTGCGCTAAAACTAAACAGATAGAAATAGAGCTAACTTACAAGTGGAATGGGGGTTTGAACCCGAGGAGCCTTCGGTCCGTAGCATCCTTTCTTAGAGCATAGTGCTAGATTCGGCCTAGAGAAAAAAAGGGCAGGTGAGGTCTGGGACACTGATGTGGTGCCAGCCGAAGACCCTCCGATGCCGAAGTTAGTAACTGAGAGCAATTCTATTGACAGAGTGAAAGCACAAGTGAAGTCAAAAACGTCTTACCTCTTAGTTGGGCCAAGGAGCTCTATTTATAGATAGCATTTTGTGGTGCTATTAGTGCTTAGTTTTGATGTGGGACTCATAGGAGTGTCTTCGGCGGTCGACACGTGCCCTGACAGGTTATGGCTGGAATTCTGAGTTTATCTGTCATAATTGGCCGAATGCGCTGACTGGTCGCTCGGTATTGTGCCGAAGGCTGGTGAGGGTGCCAGTTGTAGGTGCTTTTTCGACTTGCCGACCACGTATGAAACGGTGGAGTATGCCTATCGACCTTTCGACATGGCCCACTGAGCTAGTCTCTGCCTTGTTTATGCTCCATGTGCCAGGACGTGAGTGGGGGGGGGTCAGATATGGTACAAACACTTCATACCCAATCGCAATCCTTAAAACTTGAAGGGCCGCTCTTCAATTGCTTACTGCTGTAGACCCAATCTAAAGTGAAGAGGCTCTCACGCCACTGCACCACTCCTCTTGCTTTTTTTGCTTCTTCTGATTTTTATTTTCTTGTGTTTTTCCCTCTGTGTATTTGTTTAATGAGTAGTGACAATTGTAGCTTGATTATAATCTTATTTTGATTAGATTAATTGAGATTGATTTTTGTTATATTAATATATATTAATTAAAGTTGGCAACAATCATAGCTTGATTGTAGTTTTATTTTTATTATTTTTTATGAATAGATAATAATATTGATTAATTATAAGGGCATTTGATTGTCTAGATTTTTTTATGAGCTCTTAGTCTTTAAAATATTACACCTACCCTAAAAAATTTATGAATCTGCCACTGCTTTCAGATCTATATAAAGGATCTACATCTCACTAAAGAAATGCAATCCAATTCATTCAGAAGCATTTATAAGTCACTTGCATATTGTAGAGAGTATGAGTCTTCGTATGAGATAGTATTCAATACAGTTGTGATTCACTAGGGGCTTAGCGCATTTGGAGTGCTACAATCGTAAGGACTAGGTCGTTGTATCTTAGGAGACAAGCACTGGTCAACCATAAGCATTGTAATGAGGCGTAAATTGTCTTAAGGACAGAATACCAAACATAAACCTTGACCAATTTTCAGGTGTTTCTAATCTAATTTATATGTACATTTAGTGTTGGTTGTGCTCAGATCATATGCATTAAGGTCCCATTTGGTTCATGGGAAAGAAGACTTGGGGATAGGAAATCAATTGTTTTCCCATGTTTGGTAAATCTAGGCATGGGAAATCGTTGTCTGACCTATAGGAAAGTAGGGAAAAAAGTGAAGCCATCCTTCCAACTTGATTTTTGTTTTCCCCCCCTCATGGGAAATTTTGGAAAAATGAGCCAATATTAAATAAACATTTTTTATGACCATTTTGTCGCCATTAACAATTTAGAATTACAATATATCATTAAATGCATTCTTTTCTTATTTGATTTAACATGGGTATAATTGAAAATTTATACAAACTTTGTTTTTCATTCCTATTCAAAACAAATATGATAAATGAAATAAAGTGATATCTCTCGGTTACTTTCCCCAGTAATACCAAACGTAGGAAAGTAATCTTCCATTTCCCATCCCTTGGGAAATGACATGGGAAGTGATTTTCACTAAAATTCGTTCAATGAACCAAATGAGGCCTAAATTTGCACATTTAATTGCATGTTTATTACTGAATTTCTCTGTGCTTAAAATATATCAATTAAACTATTTTTTCTTACAATTGATTATTTAATTTGAATATATTTTTCATTTTTATTTCAAGATTGGATGTTCACTTTTCATTCATGTAGGCGTATAAGTACAAAAGACTATATTATGTGCGTTGCATAGACCATAAAACATGTTGATATACTATATTAAATCCGTTGAAATTATAATATATGTAGTAATGTATGCTTTCCTCTTTTCCTTTCTAGAACAGAAAATTATATGCTTTTTGGGTAAAAATAAAGAAAAGAAAGTTGTTCCCATTTTGAGCAGATTTTTTTATATAAAAAGGCATACAAGAAACGGCACAAATAGATAAATTGTAGAAGAGAATATATATATATATATATTTTATAAAAAGAAAGAGCATTTATTTTTTATAAGAAAAAAGGGCATTCATTTTGACCCGACACAAAATGCAAAGCGGCCTCCCAATTAAAAAGGGATTCTAATCACCAGTGCGTGTACACACGGCCCTTACCTCGCGTGCGAAAGTTTGAATTCGGTGGGTTGTTGGGAAATTAACACATAAATCCAACGTGGGCTCGGTTAAGGTTTGGTGTTATTTTCGGTAGCAGAATCAGAAGCTACTTTCCTACATATTATGACAAATATGTTTTTTTTTTAAAATAAAAATAATATAAGAAAGCGATTATAAAGGGGATTCTCCAGATCTTATAATTAAATTAAATTTTATGCTAGAAGGAACAGTGGAAAGAAAATTATATATCACCAACATGTTTGCAGCTGCTTTTTTTTTTAATCAATGTTTGCAGCTACTTGAACACCTAAGCTTTTTATTTTATTTTATTTTTAAATACAAACGATAATAAACTTAAAATTAATCTAAATTACGGGGAGGGGATTTGAATTCATGTACAAAGTGAGAAACATTTAAACTAAGTATGATCAAATCTCACATTACCCCTCAAAGTCAATAAAAAATCCATTCACAAAACATAGAAATGCCTAACATCTTTATTTATACTGTTATGCAAGTTTTTTTTGTTTTTTTTATTTATACTTTTGAACGGATTTGTAACATATATCCTTCAAATGAATCCGTTTTGAACAGATGAACAGCTATATTTCCAACAAATTTAGCACTATATATATATTTATATATTTTCTTTGTTTATGGTCACTTCACACTATAGGGTCTCTCATTATAAAAAAAAAGAAAAAACAAAACAATACAAACAATTTTTATGCATACAAACCTAAATGTGAGCGGGAAATATGATTTACATATGGATATAGATTGGAAAAGGAAAAATGGTCATAGAACGAAAACATGTTATAAAGAGTTCGTTGTATTTTTTGGTGAATTTTATGCAGTTATGATGAATTTTGGTGAATTTTTTTATATAGAGGTCTCGAGGCTCAAACTGGCTCTGCACTCGAACGCAAGAGTCGAGCAGCGGGGTCCAAGTCGAGAGGTCCCAAATATCGAGTTTTGGTAAATGGAGTAAAATGCATGTGTGGCGATGTGAAATTGGTGAATAAGAAAGGATAAAAAAAAAAAATTAAAAACACCTTCAAGTTTAAAATATATATATAAGGGTTATTCAGAAAACTAATTTTCATATTGTTTTAAAACTGAAAACGGAAACTGTTATTGCTGCAATTTTCTTTTTAAAATGAGCTGGAAGCACCGATGTGACTTTGGACCCATTTCCTCAGACTTTGGAAGTCGTACTTATATAAATAAACCGACCCACTGTCGTTTTGAGAATTTCGAATTTCGAGCTTGGATTTTGGACCCAAGTGAGATGCATGACTGCCGGCCAAGCCGATAACACTCCGGTCCAATGGCCCTCAGATGATTTTAATGGCGAGACCTCTTTGCCTCTGTCGCCCAACCACGCAGGTGCAACAATTATCTTGCAATGCCCTCACATAATTTTATTATAATTTAAGTGGTTTTTTTTTTTCCTTCCAAGTTTGCTTAAATGATAATTCAATAATGAGGTCAAATATCAAACTTGCCTGACAAAAACTTCTCAAATAGATTTGAATTCGTTCTTTCAAACACACCTTCAATAAATTTCTTAATTAACTGAAGTTTGAAGCTTTTGATTGTCTAATTTTCTTTTACCAAATGATAGAGTTGGAATTTTAAAGCCGAATAGATAAGTTCACATTACAAACAAGAATATCAAAGAATCAAACCGACATATCTTAAAAACTCCCGACAAAAATAATAATCTCTATTGCGAGTTACAAAAGAAGCAACGATAGCCAACGAGGTTTAGTCTAATGGAAAATTGTATTACCTTGCAGATCACATGTTCGAATCCCCATGACATATTAGTAGTACATGTGAGAAACATCTCTCTCTTTATAGTTTAGACCATCATTTGTAAATTGTATTCCAAAAAGAAAAAGAAAATGGTATACAACTTTACTAGCCAAATTTAAATGTCATAAACCAAACCACCCACCAAAACATATGCAACTTGACCACCCCATTGAAGCATGTCCACCAAACGTTTGGAATCAGTCACAATCTCAACTAATGCATAGCCTCTCTCTCAACACATGCCAGTAAAGCAAGTCCTACAACTTCCTCTGGAACCGTCAAAACGAAGAACACAATGTGTTGAGGTAAGATTATTATTTAAATCCCCTCTACATCTTTTGTCTCTTTTCCTCCATAGATCACTTTTGGTGGGTTGTATAACATTTATCTGAAAGGAAAGAAACGTAAAACCGTGTGCTTATCTTTTTTTGTGTAAACAATAATACTAGTAACGGGTAAGCACTCTTTTTTCCTTTTCTTCTTCCTCTCCCCATCGTTTTGCATGAAAAATGAAAAATAGATTTGGGCATTCTATTGTTTTAAATTTTGTTTTTATTCATCTGATAAAGTGGTACCAGAATTTAACACTGAAGTGATGAGGAAAAGTTGTCGTTTTGAATTAGGAACCACAAAAACTCAACCCTTCTATACAGTATTCATGATGCTTGGTTTGAGGAATATTGTAATCTTTAGTTTGTGCTTTACGGAACTTGGCATGTAGAGGTGGTGTTCTAGAAGGGGTTTGGGTTCATTCTAATTGCTTTGAATGGAGAAAATGTAGGTTTTTTGGTTAGTCCGATGATCAAACCTTTATTTTGTAGCTTCGCTCACCCTAATCCTCTTTGTTTGTTCCAGATACCTCTTGGCTTGTACTCTTTTACTTGCAACAATATCATATTGCTTTTCTAGAAAAAAAAACAAATTTAGATAATTACTCCTCAATTCACCTATATGGTAGGTAGGTGAGAGGCACCTGCCTTCAAATTAGTCTTTGGATATATGTCGAAGTGAAAGGGAGTGACAATTGCAGTTGAAGCATGACAAGCGGTAATTTTCAAAGTAGATCAATGTTGTTAGAAATTTGGTTTTCCTTTTCATACAAAGCAAATGCAAAAACCTTGATCCTTTGTTTGGATGAAGGAGAATAAGTGATGTTGGAGCAGGATTTCTTTCAAGAAGAAATACCTCCACAGGTTCTTGACTGAAGTCCGCACGCTTCCTTGGTTGAAAGAGAACTTCGGATTACGTTCCCAAGGTCGAACGGTGGAAATGGGGTGAGTACCTGCAAAAGTCACTCTGACGCTCAAGTCAGTGTTTGTGCAGCGTACTCTTAGTGTTCAATTCAATTTCTCGTCCATAGCGCTTCGAGTTCTTGGGTTTAGCCATACTTCCTTAGCTTTGCGCGTCCCGTCCTCCACTTCATGGTAGTGGGATCACATGAGTGATTTGCGTCTCCCTCGCTCCGCACTTCTCTAGTGGGAGGGAAGCTTGATCATCCCACGTCTTTTGGTTGTGGCATATGGGTTAAGCCACGGTAAATGAGATTTGGTCCCCACAATGCCCCCATTTTTTCCTCTCTACACGCTTCGTGAGTGGAGAGGGAAAATGATCTAAGTGGGACTTTGGAACAGGATTTGTTCGGGTTGAGTGCATGTCATCCTGATGGGCTCATGGCTGAGCCCCAAATAAGCCATACCTTTTTCCCTTGGGCTTGTTGGTCAAGCCCAAAAGTATGATTCCTATTGGCTTATCACCAACCCATGCATGTTGCTTTCACACCTTGCATGTGAAATATTCAAATATGAATTTTCATGCACATTGCTAACTTCTCAAGTTCCAACTGTGGACTACTACCCTTATGTGGAGTATCCAAGTGCGGACAGCCGATCCCATGCACAAGTGGACTCTTTTCTTTATTTTGAATTTCTACACCTTTACCGATTCGGTGGGCCCATGTGCATTTTCCTCTTTGCTAATCGGCCCCCATTGGGGTGCGCTTGGTTTCTAGCTTTTGCTGACCCGATAGGCCCCATGATCCTTGCTTTCTCTTTGCTAGCCGATCCCAACTCCACTCGGGGTGCGCTTGGTTTTGAGCTTTTGCCAATCCGGTGGGTCCCATGCCTTTTGGTTTTTCTTTCCTAGCCGATCCCAAATGGATTAGGGTGCGCCTGGTTTTAAGCTTTTGCCGATCCGGTGGGGCCCATGCCTCTTAGTTTCTCTTTGCTAGCCGATCCCAACCCCAGCTGGGGTGCGCTTGGTTTTGAGCTTTTGCCAATCCGGTGTGTCCCATGTCTCTTAGTTTCTCTTTGCTAAGTTGGGGTGCGTTGGATTTTGTGGTTTTGCCAATCCGGTGGGTCCCATGCCTCTTGGTTTCTCTTTGCTAGCCGATCCCAACCCCAGTCAGGGTGCGCTTGGTTTGAGCCTTTGCCAATCCGATGGGTCCCATGTCTCTTGGTTTTTCTCTTTGCTAGCTGATCCCAACCCCATTTGAGGTGCACTTGATTTTGAGCTTTTGCCAATCCTTTTGGGTCCCATGCCTCTTGGTTTCTCTTTGCTAGCCGATCCCAACCCCAGTAGGGGTGCGCTTGGTTTTTAGCCTTTGCCAATTCGGTGGGTACCATGTCTCTTGGTTTTTATCTTTTGCTAGCCGATCCCAACCCCAGTTGGGGTGCGCTTGATTTTGAGATTTTGCCAATCTGGTGGTCCCATGCCTCTTGGTTTCTCATTGCTAGCCGATCCCAAATGGATTCCAATACCCCTGAGCTGTCCTTCCGAACCCATGCGCCTTCGATTCTTCAACTAATCCAAGGTGTCCATGTTTTTTTTTTTTTTTTTTTTTTCCTTTTTCCTTGCACTTGCCGTCCATGCTGGCCCCAAAACCCCTTAGCTGTCCTTCCGGACCCGTGTGCCTTTGGTTTCTCAACCGATCCAAGGTGTTCACGAACCTTTTTTTTTTCTCGCACTTGATCTGTTCACGCAGGCCCCAAAACCCCTTAGCTATTCTTTCAGACCCGTGCGCCTTCAGTTTCTCAACCGATCCAAGATGTTCAAGAACCTTTTTTTTTCTTCTTTTTTTTTCTCGCACTTGAGCCGTTCACGCGGGCCCCCAAACCCCTTAGTTGTCCTTCCGGACCCGTGCGCCTTCGGTTTCTCAACCGATCCAAGATGTTCACGAACCTTTTTTTTTCTCGCACTTGAGTCATTCACGCGGGCCCCCAAACCCCTTAGTTGTCCTTCCAGACCCGTGCGCCTTCGGTTTCTCAACCGATCCAAGATGTTCACGAACCTTTTTTTTTTTTGTCTCGCACTCGAGCCGTCCACGCGGGCCCCTAAACCCCTTAGCTGTCCTTCTAGACCCGTGCGCCTTCGGTTTCTCAACCGATCCAAGGTGGTCATGAACCTTTTTTCTTTTTTTTTCTCCTTTTTTTCTTCTCTTTTTTTTTCTCGCACTTGGGCCATCCACGCGGGCCCCGAAACCCCTTAGCTGTCCTTCCAGACCCGTGCGCCTTCGGTTTCTCAACCGATCCAATATGTTTACAAACCTCCTTTTTTTTTTTCCTTTCACTTGAGCCATCCACGCGGACCCCAAAACCCCTTAGTTGTCCTTCTGGACCCGTGCGCCTTCGGTTTCTCCTTTTCATTTTCACCGACTCCCAAGCGGTCTATGATGTAGTCTTTGCTTGAGGGGGTGAACAAGCCTTGCTTCGTAGGTGTACTTACTACATTGCATCACTTATTTCTTACATCTGTTACTCTTATTTGTCTTTTGTCGAAGCGCATGCAGCTTTCTATCAGGGAAGCGCATGTGTTGGATAGAAATAATTTTGATTGGTCATATTAGACGAGGCTTTGTTACCAGAGCCTAAGGCAAATATTCGAGCCAGCCACATCGAACCTTATCTTTGCTTTTTAAAAACTTCTTCCTGTGACTTCTGTGAATTATTTTCCCAATCTTCACCCCCTGTTATAAAAGGTCGGTCGATAGAGATACATTCACTCGTAAAACCGTTTATACTTTGCTTTTATTCTTCATATATAAGCTCTAGGCACGAAGGAAGAGGAAAGTGTTATGTGTGTTTGAGAACTCCGCCGAAGGGTTCTTGTTCTTCCCACCACCTAGTAAGTAATATTTTCATGTCGAGCCACAAGATGTGGCCCAAGTCCGGTGGTGTCCCACCGAACTACAAGATACGTAAGGCTCGCACTAAAGGATGTGTTCCCGACAACGTGGGGATCCTTCGCCTTTGGGGTCAGATATATACATTGGTGCCGGCATCCCTCGGGGTTCCTTAATTCTCTCGCCAACCCACTTAGAACATGTTAGGTTTTCACTCCATCCCCTCTTTCATATGCTCATGTTCTTCCTGGGCCTTCACCCCATGCAACTAAACCCGAATTCTTACATTCTCATATCTGGGTTTCTAGCCGTCGGTTTGAAATGGGGTGTGACCCTTAGCTTTAAGGATTTCATTTACCTCTACGACTTGGCTTGTGTTAAGGGGGAAAGTCACTATTTCTTTTTTACTTTTGGGTCTGGTAAAAAGGTATTTAGTTGTAAGCCCACTTCCAGCAAGTACTGGAAAAACCAACCTCCCTTAATCACTGGGGAGTGGGCGGCGCCTAAGATGTTTAACATGCCTATCTCGTTGGCGTTTGGCCGAAAACCTGGTATACATATTTATGTCTTTGAAATACAGCTTATTATGTTTTTGCAGGTCTAACAAACCTCTTTTTTGGCAGTACTTCCTTCGGACAAAAGGTATCTCCTTTCTGAGGACCGGATCGCTTGATTGGAGGAGAACTTGGTTGGTCGGGGGTGGGTTATCACACGCTTCCTCGATCTTGCTTCTCTCACTCGTCTCTACACTGCTTGTCGTTCGGTGACTTATCTCCCGTTCATTTTGGTTGATCCAAACATGCGTGAAATAGACTTGTTCAAAGACATTTGTTCCGTCGACGTTGAACTTTGTTGCAGAGGATTCAACGTCTCTTATCCAGGCCAGCTTTCAAGAAAGGGAGGTTGAGTTAGCTCAACACAACAGCTCTGAGCACTGCGTATCCGGGTTTGAGTCTGATCAGTCAGATATGTCAGCGCCATGCTCATTGTCGATCCCGGGCCATAGGGAAAGGAGACCGGGAAAAGAGCCCAAGCTCTCCGGGTTTGCGAAGAAGTCTCGCCATGCTTCACAGGTCGTTTTGGGTTTGGGCTCACCCAATGTATTCGCTTCGAGTACTCTGTCCCGACCTCAGCAAGTCCCTCGTGCCCCCACTCCTGTTAGCTCACTAGGCGAGAACGACTTCACGACCATAATTGACGAACATATGTGGGGCTACCAATCACAGTGCTTGAACGCGGTATTTGGGATTTGTATTGGTGTCATTCAATTGCCATGTCTTATCATAGTTGCCTGTTTAATTCTCACTTTTTATTTCTCGTAGATGATTGGAATTCGCAAAGCGCAAATGGCGAGGTTTCAGGCTATGAGCCGCGAGATATGCGAAAAAAGGGCAACCATCGAACTTAGTGAGAATCGCATCAAGGAATGTGAGACTGAGCTTGAATGAATCCTTCCTCGAGCAATCGGTCCACTTCATTGCTAATAATTTGGTTCCGCTGAGGTGCGAACCTCCTCTGCTTCTGTTGGTACGGGGGTGGTTTGAGTCAACATTCAACCGATGACACGTGATCTCCGGGTCGATCCCTGACATGTCTATATGTGACCATGAGAACACGTCCTTATTCTCTCTTAATAACTTCATTAGTTGGTCTACCTCATCTTCAGATAGGAGGGAGCCCACCAACACTTTTCTATCAGGATAAGAGGGATCCAAAACTTCTTCCTTGAGTGGTTCGATCGTCTGAAGCTCTGAGTTATCCTCCTCCTCTTGTTCTGGTGGGTCCTCCGTTACTGCTATAAATCCTCGCTTTGCTGCAAAGTCGCAGCCTTAAGGTTAGTTGCTATGCTGTAACATCTTCTGGCCTCCACTAGATCCCCCTTGATATAAACTGTGTTTCTCCCATCTTCGGATATGCACCTCATCACCTGGAAATGTGTCGATGCTTCTCCATCCATTTGATGAATCCAATTCCTTCCCATTATAGCATTATACGTGCTTGGCGCATCTACAACTACAAAAGTAACGAATAGGGTCTTACCTGCTGCAATGACCGGCAGGGTCACGTCTCCGATCGGTTGCACTTTCGTCCCTTCAAATGCACAGATCGATGTTGGGTTTGGTTGAATCTCCGTTTCATCCAGCTTCATTCTTTTGAAGGTGCTCCAGAATAGCACGTCTACGCTACTTCCCCCGTCAATCATCACTCTTTTTACCATCAAATTGGCAACGGAGAGGGTTACCACTAATGTGTCTTTGTGAGGGAACTCAATTCCTTCCATGTCTTTTTGTGTGAATGAGATGACTCTAATCTTTTCCAGGGCTTTGGCAGATTCAGAGGCAGATGTTATCCCGTTTATGCTTCTCACCTTTTCGGCTCGTCTTTTTTCAAACTGGGATCGAGGCTCTTTTCCTTTCACAAGATTCGGTCGACCATGGATGGTGTTGATCTCCAGCAGTTCTTCATTTGCGATATTGCCGGTCATTGTTTTTGACCCACCATCTTCACTTGCCATATTCTCAGGTTCAGCGCGGTACTGGGATAACATTCCCTTTCTCAGCATTGCCTCCACCTGATACCTGAGACTTCGGCACTCACCAGTAGCATGTCCAAAGTCGTTATGATGGGCGCACATCTTGTTCCTGTCTTGCTTTTCTGGGGATTCGCGGATAGCAGGTAGTGTTCGAAATATACCTTTGCCCTTATTCTCGTGAAAAAGTTTGGCTAAACTCATCGTAAGCCTGGTGAAGGGTCGGCTTTGCTTAGGTACGTTGCTAGGTTCTTTTCTCGAGGAATATCACTTCGTCTCCACCTTTTGCTCTGGTGGAGGCTTTGGGATCGCAATGGTGGAAGTGGCGCGTTTTCACTAGGTGAGCTCTTCCTCTTCCAGTCTGATGATTCCATCCTCCCTGGCCATCACTTCCCTCATATCCACTAGTGGGGTCTTCACTAAAGACCTGTGCATTTTTGTTCTAGGTATAACCCCCTCACGGAACGCCAACGAAGTAGTATGAGAATCACATTCCTCAATAGTAGACATTTCCTCCGTAAAACGCCTCAAGTAGTCTTTAAGGCTCTATTCGGCACTTTGCTTCGTGCTGAATAGGATCGTGACATCCTTTCTCCTCTTTTGATTGCAAATGTACTTAGATATGAACATTTCACAGAGTTGGATGAAACTGTCAATAGACCTTGGTTTCAGCTGTCTAAACCAAATCAAGGCCGACCCTGACAAGCTTGAGGGGAACAACTTACATAACAGGGTCTCCGTCGAGCACCATCTGTTGTTGGAAATGATAAATATCCTTAATGGGATCGGTCGTGCCCTCGAACAGCTTAAACTTAGGTTGGGTGAACTTAACTGGCTTTTTAGCTTTCAGGATGTCTTCCGTGAATGGCGACTTGCAAATTCCTTTCGCCGCCTCCAAAGCTAGTTCTGCGGGCGTTTGTGGCTTGTACTGAAACGACCCGACCCAAATTCCACTTTAAAATCCGGGCCGAATCCTGTTAAAACTGACACTTGGTAACCGTGGGTCGTAAAAGAACAAAATACCTTGAAAACAGTAACATAAACCCTGAGCCCCTAACTCGTGGCTGCGCTTGATAATTGTAGGCTGCCTACGTACCCTTACCGAGGGATCAAGCTACACGTAGTTCTTTCCTCTGTCCCTGATCTGCAACTGGTTTGTTTATCTGTAACTAGTTTATTTATCCGTAAAACTCGTTCTAGGGCTGACATTCCTGGAGTAACCGAGACTCTGTTTTACAATCCGTCAAATACTATACGATCCTGGCCAAGTCTAGATTAACATACTTGGAATTAACTAAGATCCAACGGTTCAAACGTATTGAACCCGGAAATCGCACAGTATGCGAGATCCGTTCGGGGTTCAAACGATATTCGAATTAAGTTCCGCGAAATCCTATGCGCCCGTGAGGACTAGGAGATCATTCTAGGACTGACTGTGGTCCGCACCCTGCTGCCCACGCGCCGCCACACGCATTGGCATTGCGTTGTGCCTAAAGCGATAACGCCTCGCTGGAAAAACTCAACATCTTGGCTCAAGACTTCTACCCTATGTATAATACCCTATTTGGAGCCACTTTTGTTCTTGGACCTATCCCAAAAAGTGGCCGGAAGTGGCCGAAAACGTGATCTCAAAACTGGCCGAACCCTAGGTTCGAAATTAACCCTCTCACGCTAGAAATTCCTCAAATCCTACTCAATCATCAGCTAGAGCATGAAAAATAACTAGAAATCCATACCTTACTCGACTGATTTGGTGGCCGGAGGAGGGAGAACGGAAGCTCGAAAATTTTGCTAAAAACCGGTTATTCTTGGGCTAATTCCGGCAGCTCCTGGCGGTTTCGACGGTAGGGTTTGACTGGAAAGGGAAGGGGGAAGCAGCCGGTCCGTTTGGGTCCGGTCCCATGGCCCGCTGTGGCCTGTGGTGGCGGCGGTGGCTCTTGGAAGCCACCGGCTGGAGGGAAATCAGCGGGGGGGGGGGGGGGGGGGGGGGGGGGGGGGGGGGGGTGGCGCGGGGTGAGAGAGAGAGAGATGAAGGTTTTAAAAAAAAACTGACCTTCCAAATTTACTATTTTTCCCTTGAACTTACTTTGACTGTATCTCCTTCAATACAACTCGAATTTCGGCCCACTATGTGTCTACGAATTCATCTCGTTGCGCTCTACACAACGGTATAACTGAAATCCCCAAATTCCTTCCCGGTCAAAAAGTAAAATTTTAAACCTAATAAAATATTCTAGGGGTATAATGGTCTTTTACTGGAATAAATTAATAATTAAATATTAATTAAGGACCGGGTTGCTACATGTACCCTCCGACAATCTTCTCAATCTGATTGCGTAAATCGGTGTCCTTTGCCCTTTTTGCCATTTTATGCAGGTCAAGATCTCTGTCTTGATCTTATGTCGTGGCCTTGTCCCAGACGTTCGAGTGTGTTCTGCTGGAGGAGTCTCCCTCAGAGATCTCATGTCTCTGCTTCCTCTTGCCCTCCTTCAAGCCCTCACGGCAAGCAGTGTTTTGTGCCTTCTCTAGAGCTTTCTCCACTACCTTTCTCGTTTCGCACAATTCTTTCATGATTTCCCTTAGCTGGATAATAGCAAGGCTTGGTTCCCCATCCTGAGTGTTGGACCTTGCGCTTCCAGGTCAAGGAGTGGATGTCGCATTCCCCGGGATGGAGGTGTTTGGAGTTCCCTATGCAGGTTCAGTCATATTTATGATCAACTTTGCGAGATTCCCACAGACGGCGCCAACTTTTAGAGCAAGATTTCTTTCAAGAAGAAATGCCTCCACAGGTTCTTGACTGAAGTCAGCACGCTTCCTTGGTTGAAAGAGAACTCCGGATTACGTTCCTGAGGTCGAACGGTGGAAATGAGGTGAGTACTTGCAAAAGTCACTCCGACGCTCAAGTCAGTGTTTGTGCAGCGTACTTTTAGTGTTCAATTGAATTTCTTGTCCATTGGCTGGAGGTTTAGTCAGGTTTTTATAGCTCTTCGAGTTCTTGGGTTTGGCCATACTTCCCTAGCTTTGCACATCCCGTCCTCCACTTCATGGTAGTGGGATCAGATGAGTGATTTGCGTCTCCCTCGCTCCGCACTTCTCTAGTGGGAGGGAAGCTCGATCATCCCACGTCTTTTGGTTGTGGCATATGGGTTAAGTCACGATAAATGAGATTTGGTCCCCACAAGTGAGGATTTAGCTCTAAGTTGAGAATTAAGGAGAAATTGATATTTTCATTGTTTAGCAACTTAAACATGGAACTTATTAACGACTTAATTATCGATGTGCCCTCTGTGTTTTACCGAAAATCTCACTTTGCCCTCTACTATTCAAACTGGGTCATTATGGCCCATGTGCTTTGGTTTCGCGTCCCTTGTTTTCCCATTCCATCAATTTAGTCATTAAGAGCTCATTTGGTACATCATATTAGACTCTGGATAGGAGTAAATAGTCCATGTCAGTTGTTTGTATAAAAAAACCCAAACACTATTTAAACATAGAAACACACCCAAAATCAACCCCAAAATCAACAATTGTATATTTTTTGGGTGTGTTTATCAATGGATTTTGAGTGTGTAATGAAGGGTTTTGGGTGTGTTTATAAAGTGTCTTGGGTGTTGGGTTTTTTTTATAATTTCAGCTCCCATTTTGGTGTTTTAGTGAAACTCCCTTATTTTAATTACCTAACTATTATAAATGGTTTGGACTTTTAATACTCTCCTTTCCTGACTAACTAATACAACCCACACACCCCGGTTTAGATAATATACTTAATTATAAGGCTAGCAAAAAAAGAAAACACATTCTACGTGAAAAATCATACATTATTTTTATCTTCTTCTCCCTAGGTTTCTTCTTTGCTATCTTCTACAATGGTTATTCTCTTCACTCTTCTCCAGGTATCCATCTCTCTTTCTCATACTCTCTCCAATATGCTTCTCTTCTTCACTCTTCATCTTCTTCTCTGCTATCTTCTTCAGAGGCTATTTGGTGATTGTTTGTAGAAAACACAAATCAATAATTTGCTTGTGGTGGTTTTTTTGTTTGAATTTCGAACACCCAAGTTTGTGTTATAAAAAAATATAGTTTTCCTTTTTTGGTAAAGCCAAATACAATGACCTTTATATTATAAATAACATATAAACAAATTGGAAAGCTTTTAAGGTACAATGAAACTAAAGAAAAACAAATTTATAGGTAAGTAAAAGCAAAATAGATTATAAGTAAGAAGGTGAGCATGGTACGGTGAAGCACATCAAAGACGCTATCCTAAAACCTTTGTAGCCTCCCTACGTGTATGTACTGACGATCTACAAGATTCCAAGATACGACCCCTAATACACAAGCTCAAGGACTACTATGAGCATGTTCATAGACGGATATGTCTCCAGGTCACATAACCATTGCCCAAAAATACTAATAGAAAGTAGAGTATATATATAAAGGTAGGAGAAGCGATAATTAAATTTTGTTGTGTGATCTTCTTTTTCAAATGTGAAAGAGGAGTGGCCTTTTATATGCATCCAAAATCGTGTAACATTCATCACATTAAACCAGAAAATTAAGTCATTTAATATTGAAATAAAACCTGAAAATAAATATTTATAACCCCCACAATAAATAAAATAAAACAGCCAAATAATTAAGACAAAATTTAAAACTTATAATGGTAAATTTTTTTAAAAGCTTTTAAACATGTCAAAAGTTTGTAGCTTTGCTTAGTGTTGAAATTCATTCTTTCCCATTTATGTTGTCTTCATTCAAAGCTTAGCCAACACAAATTTGGTTCTCAATCATGTTTTAATTTTTTAATTGGCGGGTCAGTATAATTGGCTCTCAATTCAAAGCTCAACTAGATTCCAGATTTTGTATATATTAATTGTTTGATAAAAACCCTATATTCCAAATTTAACTTGGGGGTTTTTGCATCAATGATGTGGTGGGTCGACGAGGAAGACAATGAAGGAAACAAATAAAGGGAATAGAGAATCGGGAGAGAGGTTTCTTGTTTTAGTATTAAGCAGTCGTTGGATATATCTAATGGCTAAAATGATTTGTCAATAATTTGACCAAAAAAATAAAAATTGTCATATGAATCTTACCAAAAAATAATGTGTTATTTGAATTTGAATTTCCAATTAAATTATTAAAGAATTAAAAAAAATAGTATGGTCTGATGTTATCCGGCAGAGCATCAAACACATTATAACTTAGTCAAACTATTTATCCAGAACAACACCAAACACCTTATAATATTACGGATAAACAGTCAGTACTCTCTGAAACAGATTAATACTATCCGACAGAAATTAGTCAGTACAGTTCAACATACCAAACGAGCCCTAAGACTATTAACATGATGGCGTGACATGACCTATTTTAATAATGTTAGCATTTAAAGGTTTTAAAATTTTAAATTAAATATAAAAAATAGTTAAAAATATGTTTAATTAATATACAAAACAAGTAAAAATAGTTTTAATTTCATTTTACTTTTTATAATCCAAACAAACAATTCTTAGTTTTATAAATTAGTTATAAATCAATGAACAAAATAAAATAAAATAACATTATCGCAACTAATTTTAAAGAAGCCAACAACTTACCATTTCCCAATAGCCTCGACCTCTCCACCCAGCCACCTCCACCTAGGGATGGCAAAAATCCCCGCCAGGGCTGGTCCCCATCGGGTCCTTGACCCTAACGGGGGGCAATTTCGGGGCCAAATGGATATCGGGTACGGGGATCCCCGAACTTGAAAAATCCTCGATGGGTATGGGGAGGGGATGGTATTGGCGTCCCCATCCCTGAACCCGACCCGAAAATTTATATGTTTATATTTAAATAAATAAATATATAATTATAATACTTATGTTTAGCCCTAAGTTAACCTCCATCTCCTAATTCTTCATAATCTTCTTTGGAATTTCATATTGAAGTGATTTTGAATAGTTGAGTTGAACTTTATAGTTAATTTGGATGTGTTGAATGGTAAATTAATATGAAACTTAATGTTAAAATATATGATAAATTTTATTTATGTAAAAAAAAATCGGGGATTCAAGGCGGGTATGGGGGATAGTCCCCCAACGAGGACAGGGATGGGTTCAGGGACAGGGGCGGGGATGGGAATGGTATTGTCATACCCGGCCCCTACCTGACCCGTTGCCATCCCTACTTCAACCTTCTTCGCCAACACAACCCAGCACCTTCACCCCAAACCCCAATCAGATCTGGACTTGATCTCCACCAACTACAACCAATCATTCCTTCAATCCCATTAGCTCTGGACTTGAGTTCAATCCCAGTTAGTCCTTCGACCAGATCTGAACTTATCTCTTTCATTAGTGAGTTGGGGAGGGACGGAAGGAGGGGTTGCACGGGTGGAGAGGTGGATGGGGGAAAGCTGGCTGCGGCGGGTGGTTGGGGAGAGGTGGGAGGAGTTTTCAAGTTATGGGTAGAGAGAGTTAGAGAGATAGGAGGAGAGAGAGCGAGAGAGAGAGAGTGGGGAATAAATATATATTTTCTATTTTTAAAATCTAATTTAATAATATTTTTAAAGAGTTTATTATTATTATTTTTGTTCACACATCTACATCAAAGTGGGTACCACAATTGCCACGTCACCAATTTAACAGAAAAGCTAACGATGAACTTGACAGACAGTGTAAATTGGCCGAATTTGAAAACTATGGGGTGTAAAATGATGAAATTAAAACCCAGTGACCCCTATTAAGAATGACCCCAAACCTTGAGGGGGCCTTTTGATGTTTATCCTATAGAAAACTTCTTTTTTATTAGATTTTGTTTTTTTGGTTGACCAAAATTATTATTTTTTATTTTCTTTATGAAATAAAATTAATCTTATTTTAATAAAAGAAATCAAACATTCAGAAAAAGGTGCAAATTCTGGATAGGAAACGAGATGTGAAGATCTTTAATAAAAAAGGAAAAACAAAGAATTTGTTTTTTCTTTTCAGATATCAAAGGAAATCAAACCAAAAAAAAAAAAAAAAAAAAAAAAAAAAAAAAAAAAAAAAAAACAAAAAACCAAAACAGAAAGCCAAACAGAACTGCCGCTTTCTTGGTCTATTGCCAAAAGAATTAAAACAAAACTTAAAAGTCAAAACGATAAATTTTTTAAAACCTTTTAAATGTCAACAATCAAGAAAAACAAGTCCTTCCATTTTTGACATAATAATGATTCTGAGCAAAGCACAAAATGAAAACGGGACCAAAGATATAGACTAAGCAGAGTGGATGTGACATGTGAGCATATTACATCACATTGTTTCAATGCTTTTGATGAAGCATGTTACACAAGTCTTCCCCTATAGGTCCCCATTGCACACCATCCACACTATTACAACATATTTTCTTCTTCTGTCTGTTGTATTTTTTTGTCGAACATTTTTAACATGGACACCAAGAAAACAATTCCTTCATTTGGATGTAATAATGAGAGTTATAGCTCAGCACCAAATGAAAACGAGACCAAGGATATAGATCACTAAGCACAATGGATGAGATATGTTAGTGGTTCAAGTCAAAATCACGGTGCTTCCAATTGAGTGCTACACATATTGAGCACTTGCTGAAGGTGGTGTGCTGTATCTGGCGGGTGGGCCTCAACTTTGGGCCGCTCCGGCAGCACCCACCGCCCATCCTTACTCCTCACCATCCCCTTATTCTCGTCTTGCCGCCAGTGCGGCGGCACCCCATACTCCGCCCTCAAGAAATCGCAACTCTTGTTCACAAGTGCAATGTCCCTCTTGGTCACCAAGCAGAACTTCTGGCCCTTCCCATGGTACCCATCCACCAAATGCAAATGGGCCTCGAGATTATGTGCGCACCCAAAATCATTAGTGGGCTTTAGAAATGGACTTTGATTGTGGTCCAGCTCAAGCTCCACTCCCACATGAGCATAACTCCAAGGAAATGCAATAGTGTCTTCTATGTACTTTTGAAACCTAAACTTCTCATTCGTAATGATGCCTGGCACCCTAGGCACTTTATCGTGCACATTAACCACTCTCAGCACCTTAACTCCAAGCTCGTCACATCTTTCCTTGAATCTCAGATTCCCAACTCGAGGACCTGAAAAGGAGTACACGGTGATCGGAATTTTTGTGCTCTCCAACTCATGGTGACCTTCATGTACAATATTGAGTCCCATTTCTGCTATGTCATAAGCGCTCAAAATAGCTAAAGCAGCGCCAAGACTATGCCCTGTGATTGTAATGCTAATTTCTTCACCTTGGTATAGCTCACGAAGCCTCTTGACCTCCGCAAGAAGTTGCTCCCGGGCAGAAAATGAGCAAAACCTACATTCATCTTCCTTCTTGGTGTACAAGTCATAGAACCCGGATTCGATTTTGATGGACGGGTCGTTGCGAAACTGAGCTGGGTGGAGGATGTCTTTGAGGTCGTAAATCCATTCAAGATACGTGACTGTTCCTCGCCATGCAATCACAATGTCTCTTCTACCAAGCCTTTTGATCTGGTAGGGGTCCGTGGCCACAGCCACGAAACCCATCCAGTTTGCGTGGCGGCTCCACACGCTGCCGAGCTTTGATTTTTGGAAGAAATTGGGGAGGTTGATGTTTGAAGTCGCGTAGAGGTATCGGCTGATTTGGTAGCCACGGTCGGCCATGTCGAGGTTTTCGAAGAAATGAGCGCCTTGGTACTTGCATGTGCCGCAGTACTTGGAGTGAGGATCGAAGTCGAAGGAATCATAACATGCTTGAGCGAATTCTCCGTAGCGGATGATTTCTTGCCGGAGATGGGAGTTGAGTGTTGGATCTAGAAGCCCTTCCCAGTTGTTAAGGCCTTGAATTTCCTTCCAGATTTCATGGAGTGGCCTATGGTCGTCTTCAAGGAAGACTAGGGTTTGTGGTTCAATGTTTTCGTGATCTAATTGTACTTTAAGGCTTAGGCTTGATGATGAGCATTTGGTGGTTGTTTCTGGCTTTCGTGAAGTATAGGGTTTACTTGGAAAGATGAGAATTTTGGTTTTGTTGAGATTATGTCTTGGGGAGAGGCATTGAAGGAGAAGGGGTGGAGTAGCATTAATGGGTTTGTTGGGAGATAATAGAAGAGAAGCCATGAAAGAGTTTTCTATTCTCTTGCTTAAGGGGGGAGAGAGAGAGAGAGAGAGAATGGAGAAGAATGGTGCAAGATATGAATTTGTTATTGTAGATTGTGTGATTGGCGTGAGGAGAAGTGTGAGAAGAAATGGTTGAAGTCAAGCAATTAATATATTGTTGAGTTGTTCTTGTATCAACCACCAGTGGTGGACCAAATTTAAGAACCTTTATGATCACAAAGGGATTTGGTCCTTAAAAGTAAAAGATTGATTTGGTATTTTTTTTACTTGTTTGCTCGTTTTAGCGTTTGGCTAAATGAGCAGGTGCATGATGGCACTAGGACGGTGCATGTGGTGCTATTTTTGTGTACACTCATGATGATTTTTAGGTCGAAGCTACTTGGTTACCTCGTGATGATATTTTCTGTACACTCATGATAATTTTTTGTTCTAAAATTTTGTTTTATAACAATTCATGATAAATGTTTTTTTTTAAATTTAGTGTTTTCGTTTTATGTGAAAACAGGCAATAGTAGTCTCAATTTAAATTTTGCATAACGACTTCAAAATCTCTAATCCGGCTATTGTAGATTGATATTTATAATTGGTACTTTGATACGAACATTCTTGTCATCATTGTGGATATCAGGATTTTGATTTATCATTACCATTAGATTGTATTTGCATGGAATGTGAATTCACACTCAAGACTTACTCCTTGGTTAAGTTAGATGCTTATTCTAGCATTTTCGATAGTGCTGTTTTCGGTGTCCCAATCTCAAAATGTATTTTGCAATAGCGTGCTGGGTGAAAACGTCACCGGCAATCTCTTTTGGTAGGTGGTGTCTTTGTCACTTTTGCTTTCGAGTTCCCACTAAGCTATAAAGTTGGAGATGCGTTCTGATTGGAAATAAATTTATCAAGGCTTTGTTCTCTCCAAAATATCAACTAAAAAAAAAAAACAAAAATCAACAAAAAAAAAAAATTAAATACTTATCTAGAAGCAAAAAACATATGTTTCATTCCAATTGGATATTTAAGTTATCATCATGATTTTGTTTAGACTCTAGAGCATCTTTAAAGGAATGTGCAAAATGAGTAGAAGTTGGAAGATTGAAAGTATATTTCTCAGGCACCACTTGTCAAGTCTGCTCCAGCACTCGTACACCTTTTATTACATCTTCCTAAACCATTGGCAAATTAAAGGAAGTTTTTATGGCATCTAGGAGTTGTCATCATCATTGTATTAAATATTGATCGTTTCTGAAATATCGAGACTTCCAAAATGCGAAAATTTCAATGAAAATATCTGTATCAGTAAAAATTGAATAAAAATTATGAAAATTTTGAATGAAACTTTGAAACATGTTTATTTAATCAATTATCTACTAAATTATAAAACATATTTACATGGTGGGCTTATGTGACTAAGGTCACTGGCGGATCCATTGAAGGACGAGTGTAGGCACTTGCCCTCACTCAAGATGGGATTCACCCTTGTTTTCTTGAAGCATGCAAAGCCTGCAAGGTGTTAGACTAAATTCCCCAACGAGGTGACTATGCTGGAATTGGGGCAAAGCGTTTGATAAAAGTCCTCTGAGAGAACATGGAGTGTGAAGGTAGTTGAGTCTAAGTCTGTCAGTGATTTGAACTTCTACATTTTGCCCCTAAAACCAAAAGTTTCTTGATCCACTAGTGACTAAAGTTGGATATAATGTGTGATCACAAACACAAATGCTCACATAATATGCTAACTAATTACTAAATTTTGAGTATATGTTATATTATTTTATTTTTTATGAATGAACAAAAAAAATTGAGATTTTCATGAGAAAATAATAAGAAATTAAGTATTTAAGAACATAAACAAAATAATAGTTGTTGTACAAATAGCAACCTAAGAATTAAGCAACTATATGCACATTTTAAACTCGCAAGTGCACACAAGATCAGACAAATAGTATAGAAAGCAAATACGAGATCATTCCCACGAGGATTGGATTAATATGTGTTTAAAATTAATTTATATTATATTGTGGTGTTCTAGTATTTCTTTTAAGCATGACCATTTTTCAGGGTTCTTAAATGCTTCACTTTTAAGGCATTCTGCCTTTATATATATAGATGACAAGATAGTCTTCGGTTCAGTTGGAGAGGGAGCTGTCCACTTCTCTTTAAGCAATGGAAAGAGGTTCGAAGCACCCCAACGTCAAAAATGTTGTTTTTTTTTTAATGCATGTTGTAGGGACTTTTTCGTTCCGGCAGTTACTACGGGCCTGGGCTGCCGTAAATAGCAAAAATGGATGAAATTGCCCCTTGAGCCTGAGTTCAAAGATCAAGCCCCAATAATGCTTTGAAAGGACAGTAGGGCCTTAGGAAACACCTTGGTTACCTTCACCAACAAAAATAACAACAGCTTACAGATAAATTTTCTAGCTTGGCATAAGAAGCTTGTGGCATGAGAGCAAAATTGTCATGAGTTTGGCACTGAAGAGAAAACTAAGTGTTCCTGGGGAAAAAAAGGGGTATTAAGGTAGGAGATGAAGAGCTTGCAGAGAGGTTTGGCTGAGAATAAGGAAAAAGAGAGGAATGGGTGGCTTGAGTATTATTTCCGGCAGCTTGATAGTGACTCTGTCAAATGCTAGAGCAGCCTGCCAGAAGAGGGAAAAATGGGGAGGAGGATGAACAGAGCACGAATTTGTTGGGTGTTGCAGGTGAGAGAGGAAGCTTGCTCTCTGAAATGTGGGTTGTTCTTGATTGGGTAGAAGAGGCCCCTTTTATAGCCGCTGGAAGCCATCATTTTTCAAGAAACTGTTTGGGCCAAAAATTGGCATACCCAGCCCAGCGAAAATTTGGGCCCAGAATAAAACTACAAAAAAGAAAGATGGAAGCCCAAAAAACCAGAAGAGACCAGCCCAAGGCTCATCAGAGCAAGCAAAACTAATCTGGGCCTCACAGGCCCAAAGAAAGAAGGAGCCCAGAAGTAGGAACAATCCCACGTGACATCTCTGGAAGAAGAAAAGTCAGCAATGGCAACTGTCATAGGAGAAGGGATTGAAGGGTTCATGACATCAAGATCGATTCTGGAAAAAACTGAAGATCAAATCCCTCTTACACATATATATATATATATATATATATACTCAGAGATTTTTTCTCCTGTCTTTTCAGAGAAGGTAATTCTCCCAAGAAGATAAGCAAGTTACAATCTCAGAGAGGGATAAGCAGGAAAGCAGGAAGCTGTCCAGAAAAGGAGTCAAACTAACCATCACGGGCAAAATATCGCAGGGGGCAGTTGAAATTAGGAAAGAGATTTCAAGAAAATCAGGGAAGTGATTGCCTATCTGTTGAGAACCTATCTACCAAAAACTGATGAAATCCCCTTTTTCCCTTTTCCATTTTTAAAGGAAGATCTTTTGAAAGGATTTGCCGCCCATTATTAAAAGAATTACCCTACTCCAGAAGACATTTCTTATAAATACAAGAAGAAGTGAACAGGGCAAAGGACAATCAATCTTACAACAAAAATTTCATCACTCAACCAAACAAAGGTCCTACACAGGTAAACCGTCACATAAACAAGCTCAGAGTCAACCAACAAGTCCACTTGAATTTCAAGTGAAAAACCAGCCCCAGATCAGAATGCCCAGAATCCAGATTTAGGAAGCAAGTCATTCAAAACGAGATTTCTCTCGTTACAAATTTGGTTCAGCAAAAACCAACACAAGCAGAGTTTGAACCTCCTCCAAGTATGGAAAACCCCAGCCAAATTCACGGAATAGCCTCTAGCTCACCAACGTCCTCAAAGAACAGCCACTTCTGCCCTTTCAGACTGAAGAAACCGCAGTTCTGCCTACTCAGAAGCTTCACAAAAGCTTGAGGTACATTAAAGCTCTGCCAGAATCAACCTTTGGCATCGATTTGTAGTTGAAAATCGGGCAATCAGAGTTGTCTACGATCCAGTCCAGCCCAGACATTCCCAGTCCAGCCTATCACAGAGCCTCCCATCCAGGCAGAAATGGAGATCTAGCTATCTTTTTATCTTTTTGGCATCGACATATATTTTTGTAGTCTTGTAAAAGGCACTTCCGCCCAAAAACAGCTTAAATTTCATCAACTGTTCTGGCCAGAACAACCTCTTTATACTGAGATAAATTACTAAAATCCTCACCAGTCTGAGGCAAGAAAAGAACTTACTTGGGAGATATTCCTCACCCAAATTCACAATCGTTTGTTTAAGAAATCAGTAACTTGGGGCGCAAGTTATCCATTCCAGACTAAGTCTGCTAGACTTTTCATTACTAGCAGTGGCACGCTCGCACACCAAAGAAAGCTGACTCGTGGACCAGTCTATGGTTCTCAAGGCAGTGGGGAACTTTGCCCTTCCATCATAGGAGTAAACACGAAACGGGTGAACAGAAACCCTAATGGTTTCTATCAAATTTGGCCAAGTCTTTCCCATCCTTTCTCCCTTCATCTCTTCAATCATCCTATTTTGGTGAAATTCACTCTGCCTATTTGCACAAAATCAGGGATTTTTAGGAGCTCAAGGCCCCTTTCCCGCAGCTGCTTCAAAACTCCCATTTTTAGCCATCTCCTTCCTTTCCTTTCTTCCTTTTTTTTTTATGGCCAGGACTGATGAGGGAAAGAGAATGGGTATGCATGCTGGTTCAAAGGGTGATCTGCGCTCCAATATCCCTTGGTCCTTTGGGTGTCTTTTGCTTGAAACTTGCTCCCTTCCCGTGTGCTGGAACCTCCCAGCAGCTCTGCATATGTGGACATCTTGCTCCCTTCGTGGCTTCTATTTTTTCAGCAAGGGGTTGAGGCTTTTGCTGCTTCTCATTTCTAATTTTATGGGCTTTCTAAGATAGGAAGTCAACCTACCAAACAAATGGGCCACCTTCATCAAATATTGGGTTATAGGGGTTAATTTTAGTGGACCATTTTGATTGGGCTTTTTGGTTGGGTTATTTTGGTTGGGTTATTTTCCCTTTTGTGCTTACCCATATATTTGGGCCTAAGAAATGGGCTTGGGTTCCAAGGCTCCCAAGCAACCCGAAACCTCCATTTCTCGACCCATTAATGGGCTTCATGACAACTTATTACCATCCATACCACAACCCACTCAAGCAAGCCCCTAGCATCTTGCGTGGCTTAGGCCCACTTAAGCTTGTAGTGTGGCATGTTGCTTATTTGCTTGGCGTGACATGTGTGCAAAGCGTATATGACGAACTTTCGCGTGCCCAAATCGAGTTTCTTCTTGATAAGGTATCGCATTGGGCCAATAATTTATTTGGGTCGAACCATGGATATTTTGGGCCTCAACACATGCATATAAATCCATATTTTCACTAGTGAAAAAGCAAATCGATAATACCACAGTGAAAAGACTAGGCACCTAAACTAAGGGTGTTGAGGCTTCAAAGGACTATTCGTTCGATGCATCCTATTGAGGCCGAAACAATTTAAGAAAGCTCCAAATATATTCAAGGCCCAATGTATCAATTTGCTGCCAGAAAACCTTAGCTTGGACACACGCATGCATCTCAAACACGTAGGGCTAGTTTCGCATTGCTGTGCTATGAAAATAATCGCTGTCAAATTTTTTATGAGAGAAATTAGATGTGAGATAAAGCAGTTTGGCGTTTGGTAAAATTTTTGTTAAAAATGTTGTTGGTACTGATTCCCACATAATCAGAAAATGATTGTCGCATAATCATTAAACCCAGCGTCTCTTCGAAACTGGTTCCTGCATAATTAGAAAATGAAAGCACCTCATTAACAGTTTTCCCTTATAGCTTTCTCTCACAATAATTTTTAACAATAAGTGATTTTATCATAGTTTACCAAACTGGTTGGGCTTCCTAAAAATTTTAAAAAATCACTTATCACCCCAAATAAGTAATGTCAAACTGGCACGTAATGTAACTTCAAGAATTTACTATGCAAGCTTTCATAGTCATGCCATGCCAAGTGTGACTCTAATTCAACATGTGGGGATATCACACTAAACCTGTATGATTTACAAATTTCATGCACACCAAGCCCATGAGGAAGATTCTATCGAAAATATAAGCTATGTGATGATCAAATTTGTATCAAGTTCATGCACTTCAAGCCCACTCTTCTGCCAAGCATAAGCACATAAAAGCTTTTAGCCTTTGCAATATAAACTTGTGGCCACTGCACTTCAAGCTTCCAAGCCTCCCATACACTTCCAAAGCATGGTAAACACACGCTTGCATACATCCTTGCAATACCAAGCGGCTTCCTTTTGTGACACCATCCAACAAACTCACGTAGGCTCAAGCCACATAAACTCTTAGGGTTTACTGAGTAGGCTGTGATGTGGATGGTGATAAGGGTTCACTAGGCCCTTGGTAGACGTAGAGAATGGAGGTTTTGGGCTACACCAAAACTCAAGCTCATTTGCTAGAGCTCAACCATATGTGTAAGCATCAAAGAAAGTTAATGTCCATTTACAAACCAACTAGACCTTCCCGAACTCAAACCAAAACCCAATAAAAAGCAACTAAACTAGTTCAAAACCCAAAATCCCATTAAGGAAGTAAAAAATGTTTAATATCTTGTTGGCATGAATTTTACCCTAAAAAACTTTTGGAAATAAAAAAGGAAAGAAAGTAGAACTAGTCTTTTGCCAATGAAGGAAGCCCTAGCAAAGCTAGCTACATGGAGATGTTGGGTATCAATTTCTTTTGTCGAGCACCTATTGGACCATCCAGTTTTCAAATTACTTCCCTAAGAAGACTGAATAGGGGAAGACTTTGCAAAAAGGGAAAAGTCCAAGCAAAGTGAGCAACTACTAGGGTTTGACACATTAGAAGATCTCCAGCCTCTGTACAATATAATGCTTAACATTTAGGTAAAGACCAACCCTGGAAGCCACGGGAAATACCACTTTCAATGTTGTTGTAAACATTGTAAACATTGTCATTTCAAATCACGAGATCCATCCAAGGAAAGCAATCAAAGAAATTGATGTTAATCTGGAACATTCCTAAGGAGGAGAGAATCAAGTGCTCATATTTATAATCTGACAATCTCATTCAATTCAATTCTACAGATTTAGGAAGCCACACAAGGAAAGATTTTGAACAAAGTTGACCTTCAAGCCATTTGATGGCTAATCTATGGGTTGACAGATGCCCCTATATAAACCTCATCAGACAACGGGAGGAAGACCTGATTTCAGATAGAAAAAACTATTTTTTATCTTTCACTTTTCTATCCCTAGACTAGGTTTTATTTTCCAAGAAAGTAGACTAGATCAGTTCTTCATTCTCGTTAGTGTAATCGCCTTTTAATTAAATTTGCGTCTTTATCATTAAATTCTTTAAAAAATACTAAAAATAGTCATATGAAACCTAACCATCCTCAACCTTGAGGAAGTGAAAGAACTTAGGCCAAGAAGAGGTTCCTTGCTTGGTCGATCAATTGGCTGGTTAGAAGTCAGAAGCACGAAAACAACAATCCAACGTTTTTCAATCAAGCCAATTAGTGGCTTGGTGGTGGCATGTGTACACAATCCAAGAGAAGAATGACCAATAGTTTCTTTCGTCGATCACCTCGACCGAAAAGAGGGAAACAGCTAGCCAAAGCTAATGACTTGGTGACAACTTAGTATGAGGGTAGGATTACAAATTTTATTTTATCCAAAGGACAATAAATAGTAAATATGGATGTAGCCAAGAGGATGTGTTCCTCACTTTGCACCCAAGTTCGAATCCCCCTCCTCGTAGTTTTAAATTACATTAAAATAGATTATCGCTTGTATAAATAAAATGAAAAAAAAAGAGAACAAATATTTAAAGAGAAAAAGATAAAAAAAAAGACCCAGTAATTTGGTAATTTCATTCCTTTCTTCTTTTTTGTTTTCCTAATCTTGTGGCAAACACCATAATCAGCAGCTACGAATGCCATGAATCAATTCAGCTACAAAATGCCTTGACACATCCATTAAGGGCATCCCCAATCATAGTCTCTAATGGGCCTCTAAAAATGTGTAGAGAGACCCATTTAAAGTCCCGTTGGAATATTTTGTGATCTAAAAGTATCTTTCCCATGATGGAGGGCTCTACATCCGAAGCTCTATATGAATTTTTTTTATGATATAATTTGGTTTACGTGTTAATTTTTGTTGTTATTAACTTTTTTTGTTTTATTGTATGTTTATGTCATGCTAGATTTTTTATATAGAACATTTCTATAATAAAAAAAAATCAAAATATGGAGTAATAATTCTAAAGATAAATTATAATTTAAAAAATCAAAAATCAACATTTCTACCCCATTTATAATTAACAAAAATTAAAAGAAACATAGAAAATTGAAGTAGTAATTCTAAAGGTAAATTATAACAATTGAAAGCAAAAAGAAAGAAAAAAAAAGGAGAGAGAAGGAAATATCGAACCAAAAAAAGAAAAAAAGAAGAAGAAGAAAATAGAAAACAAAAAACAAAAGGGGTAGACAAAGCCTTTTATTTGGCTGCTGTTAGAAAAAAGACATTAAACAAAACCTGATGCATGCTGCAACTTTTCAAAATGAGGGACCCTCTTAGACTCTACGGGCTATATTTGAGTCCACAAATTTAGGGCTTCAAGAAGTTTGAGCCCCATTTAAGGCTCCATTGGGGATGGCGTCGGAAATTGAAAGAAACTTCCAATTCCAATTTCCAGATCCAGAGTCCAGAGTAGGCCCATAAACAAGTCTAGGTTGTCAACAAGCCTCTTCACTTTTTTTTTGTTTTGTTTTGTTTTTTGTTTTTTTGTTTTGTTTTTTTTTCTGTTTTTGTTTTTTTTTGTGGTCGGAGGTCACTTGAGCTTAATGTTTGGATAACTCATATGTATGTAACGCAAGAGCGCAACATGTGTGAGTATATAGGATTACGGGTTTTTGTGGCTATAACTTTAAATTTACTTTTTAATATAAAGAAGAAAAATATGTATAAAAACAAAAAAAAAGACCCAGTAATTTGGTAATCTCCTTCCTTTTTTTTCTTTTTGCAATGGGTAATTTTGGTATCCTAAAATGAGTGAATCACGCCATAATCATCATCAGCTACGAATGCCGTGACGCAACCATTCAGCTACAAAAGCCATTACGCATCCATTCAGAAACGGTCAAAGATTGATTTATAAAAGGAGCTTCCAATTTCCAAACTCCGAAACGTAAACCGAGCCCAATCTTCAGAGTCCAGAGTAGGAGGCACAGACTACAGAAAATGAGCAGCGGGGCTGGTAAGGTCGTCTGCGTCACCGGTGCGTCCGGTTACATTGCTTCATGGCTCGTGAAGCTTCTTCTTCAAGGCGGTTACACTGTCAAGGCCTCTGTTCGCGACCCAAGTCAGTACATTTCCCCTTCTTCTTGGTCTTCATAAGTTTTGGTTTTTCTTGTTCGTTATGGTTTCTGATCTTTTGATGCTTGTGATTTAGATTAATGAATGCAATGTTGGGGCATACATATTTCAGATTATTGTTATAATTGATTATTCTTCATCTTGATTGAAAATTTTATGGTTATCTACGCTTTTGAGAAGCTGGTTGTGGGTATTGGTTTGATGGGTCAGATTCTTTATCTCTTTGAGGTGTGGAAGTAATGCAATCGCATCTGAGACATGTGCTTTAAGCTTTTATGGGTTTTATTTTCGTATATTGATTAAGGCTTTACGTTATTAGCTACGTCAGGAATGAATGGAGAAGTCGAGTCATGGAAATGGGGCCGAATGGCTATCTGGTTTTTCCCTTTCATGTACATTTGCCCTTGTTTGTGCATGATATTCAACCTTCAATGAAGGATTTGCTTTTTTTTCTCGTTTGCCTTCATGATTATACATGTTAATTTCAGTTTGATACTAAAAGAACCCTTAATACTTTATTGTAGAAACAGATGAAGTACTCTAATTTTGGAAGCTCGATAAAACATTGGTTTAAATTAAATGTATTCAGGACGAGCTGAAAGGTTTCCGTCCTTTCTATTCCTGTTCTGTGGACGTGTAGTGCTTATGAGCTCTTGGGCACTGTTTCCTTGTAAGCTAGATTTGCAAGGCTAAGTTCTACCCATGGGGCAGGATATTTGGCATAGGATTTCACAGTGATATTTGGTATGGTATTTCACCACGAGGTAGGTGTGATCTGTTGGTTGCGTTAAAATCCATTTTGGTATTATTTATGAACATAATATCAAGTCATTGTATACTGGTAGGTAGATGGTAGGTGCATGAACCCCACTTGGAAATGGCTACAATCGAGCTATCAGGGGAGTAGGTGAGTGAAAGCCACCTCAATGGAATTTAAGAGTTACCGTTGAGCTTTTCTGGCCAGTGTATGTAGAGTGGGCTGATGAGGAGGTGGGGTGCGGAAGAGTGTTAGGTTGACATGTGCCAAATGTCATACGTTTTATGGATAAAATATCTTTGTAGGCTCTTGGGTATCCTACCCTTGCAAACTGGTTTAGCAATGGCAAGTTCTACCCATGGGTCGTGACATATTTCTGTTTCTGTGGTAGAATTGGTTTCAAAGGACAGGTACACGTCACTATAAAAACTTATTTGGGTGCTTAACCAATAAAATGTTTGTTGGTTTCAGGTAGGATCGCGTTAAATGCATGTTTCATATAAAATGACAGGCATAACTTGATTCTGACATCAAATTGTGGGTGGTTTTGATCCTTCTAATTTACATGTATTTCTTCAGTCAACGCTTATTCTCCTTTTCTGGGATGTTTTCTGCCGTCATATGAATGATTTAATGTTTTATTACTCCTATCTGTGCCATTATCATTTAATTTTGACAGAAAAATAATGCATGTATAAGTACGTAGATACGTGATGTCCATTATTGCAAATACAGATGTGTCTCTAAGCTTTGACATTTGTTTATACATTCGGATCCTATTTTACATTATCCTAACACTGAATGCAATCTTATTCCTGTATATACATAGAAGTAGCATTATACATTTTTTTTCCCTTTTTCTTTTATCTCCCAGGACAACTTGTATGCTCTAGATTGATGAGTCTTGCGTTTTCATTGTTTCCGTCAATGAGTTCTCAGAATAGTTTTAATTTTTGGATCAACTCCGTAATTTAATAGATGCGGCTAGTATTAAGAGAATGATTTACTGAGTTCATTTTTCATTTTTCACATAGATGATCCAACTAAGACAGAGCACTTGCTCGGGCTTGATGGAGCTCAAGAGAGACTTCAACTCTTCAAAGCAAATCTATTGGAGGAAGGTTCTTTTGACTCTGCTGTTGACGGTTGTGAAGGGGTTTTCCATACTGCTTCTCCCTTTTATCATGATGTCACAGATCCAAAGGTTCATCAACTTGTACCCTTCCTTTATGAATATTAGATAGTTTTTGCATGTGCTTCCGATTTCTGTTTTGTTAATAAAGGTACTAAGGATCTCTTTTTAGGTTATAAAAATTTTAAATTACCAAAGAGCCATGTAATTTTCAATATCTCCTTCAGAAATCAAGGGATTAGAGCATTGGCTGTTGGGAAAAAGCGGATGCATATAATTAGTTCCAACTCATCATGTTAATGCAATCAAATATGTTTGCCTGATAAATCCATTACTGGTGCAATAACATATGCTATTTTTTTCCTTCAATCTACATGATCAAGTTATGATTCCGAAATTTTATTTCATGATATTCGTGGCCAAAAGAATTCTCTTGGGATGTTTAAGTCTATGTTGGTGGACAAGAAAACTAGTAGATGTAGCCTATTCATTTTTGTGTCACCCATTTTTTCTCTTAGATTAAGATTAATCTCTTCCAATCTATAAAAGTCACTACTAAAGCACACATTAAGTACATAAGTATAAGTTCATCATCATGTATCTACTTGTTGAAAACATAGAATGATGCACTAGAAATGTTAGGAACAATCGTGACTGTCCAATTTTTGCTGCCTGTACATGCAACGCACGGGTTCTTTGTTTTCTCGGCAAAGTGCAATGCACAGGTTAAGTTGTCAAGATTAGGATTATAGCAATTGTCTTTCGCATTCATTAATTGATTTCTGATAGCTTTTTGAATTCAACCTTAAAATGCAGGACCCTTTTTTCATATAATAATAACACTAGATTTTTGTTTTTTTTTTTTTTTTTTTTGCTAGGTATAATAGGGGTGGTTGTATGGCTTCTAACTGTTAAATAGTTGTTGCCTCATTTCAGGCAGAAACTACTTGACCCTGCAGTAAAGGGAACCCTTAATGTTCTTAATTCGTGTGCAAAATCCCAGTCTATCAGACGGGTGGTCTTGACATCTTCTATAGCTGCAGTTGCATATAACGGAAAACCTCGAACTCCTGATGTAGTTGTTGATGAGACTTGGTTTACTGATGCAGATTTTTGTAAGGAATCAAAGGTATGCATGTGCTATCATCATTATTCATACTCTTTTGAAAATAAAATATGGTTGTGCACTTTGAGTCGTTACATTGTAATGGTAGTATATCAGCTAAATTTAGTTTTGATTTCCTGAGAGTTGAACAAACCAAAATAATATGATTGCAAGTCTGCTTGTTCATGAATGAACAATGGATTTGTTAATGGATGATGAAAGTTTAGCAATGAAGAAGAAGATAGGAAATGTTTTAAGTGACAAGAGAAGCCGGTTCCTTTTTCCCATGCACATTTTCTAAAACCAAGTTGTAGTTTGAGTATATTTTCTAAAATATTTAACCTTGTGAATTATTTATAGGTTAGTACATATGTATTCATATGTGTGTACGTGAAATTACTGACAAGATGGTTTGCAGGGGCCTAATTAATTGTGCCTGGGAAGAGAACACAATCTTCTCTTCCTTCTTACCCAATAGGATTTTAGTATCATAGAACACTTTTTGGGAGAAATTTCCAGTTTCCTTATTGTAAGTTCAGAAAGCATGTATGGTGAACATGAAAGTAGTTTGTACGTGGCAATATCTTGCCATCTTAATCTCTCAATCTGTGATGTTAACTTTTTATGTGCTTTTATTATAAACTCTGAAAACTTAAAAGTTGCTCTGACTTGCGTTTTAGAAATGAAATTTCTTCAGTGCTTAATGGTTACTTAAGATTTTATGTTATTTTATTAAGTTGCTAAAACCAGGGTTTTGTTTTGTTTTTTTTTGTTTTTGGTTTTTTGTGATTGAGGGGTTCCCATGCCCATAATGTAGTCACCAAACATGTAGGTCGTTTGTTGTGTCCTTTAAGCCATTCTCAGTTGCTTCATGTTTAATGATGTTGTTCACCAGACAATATCATGTCAAGCCTTTAAGGCTTTAAATGCTTTGTCAAAGATTAATTTTTTTGGCTTGTGCATTCAATAAAATATGGTATCTTTACTATTGTAACAAAACATATTTTCATTTCTTTTTATGTTCCCTTAATTTTCTCCAGCTATGGTATGTGCTTTCAAAGACTTTGGCTGAGGACGCTGCCTGGAAATTTGTAAAGGAGAAGGGTATTGACATGGTTACAATTAACCCTGCAATGGTGATTGGTCCTCTGTTACAGCCAACACTTAATACAAGTGCTGCAGCAGTTTTGAATGTTATTAAAGGTAACGTTTCTTCATTGTTGTATCTGGTATTTCTTGATTTCAACAAGTAAAATGTTTCCTGCTTAACATGATTGGAAAAATGTCTCATGAAAACATTAGATAATTATTTTAAATAAGGATATTTCTTCATATTGAGTCAAGATGCTGCTCTATGGTTCCTTTTATTTGTCTAACACTCGGTGCTTTCTTTCTCCGTGAAGTACCTGATTGTTTCTTTACTTTGTTTGATGCAGGAGCTCGAACATTTCCCAATGCAAGTTTTGGATGGATTAATGTTAAAGATGTTGCCAATGCACATATTCAAGCATTTGAGATTCCTTCAGCTAGTGGCAGATATTGTTTGGTTGAGAGAGTTGCACACTTCTCGGAAGTTGTGAGAATTTTACAGGAGCTCTACCCTGGTTTGCAACTTCCAGAGAAGTAAGTCTTTGTTTCCTACACAATTTAAATTTTGGTATAGCTTTGTGATTGGCAATAGATAATTTCCACATTAACACTGTCCCATGATTCTGATAGTAATTAATTATTTGTTTTCTTTTAAATTCGAATCGCTGTTATAACTAAACTCAGCATTGCTGTTTTTCACACTTTTCTGGTGTATTTTGGTTTTAGTGGTTATTTTGTATTCAAAATGAGAATAGATTGTGGTTCAGAACTACAATATCTGATCCTCATTTTGCATCCTTCTAACCTTTCAGTCACGCTAAAATACAACTAGACTGCCTAGGAAACAAATGTCGTAACTGGGAAAGCTAGCTATCATCATCTGTCCTCTTAGTTCAATTTCATGTGAAGTTGAAGTTGGTGCACTTTGTCAGCCTATAGATGCTCTTCAATTAGTATTGCAAAGATTATGCAACTAAGTGCTCATGATTGTAGTACATGGAACTGTTGCTAAAAAAATTCACCATATAAAGGGGCTTAAGCCAATAGAAATTACAGATAATGTAGAAGACTCTTTGTTGGCAGACTTGTTTGTACTCCCTCATTTATTGCAATCTGCAGGTTCACAACTTCCTCTATTTTTTATTTATTAAAAAAGCAAAGAACATACCGAGCATGACCTGTTATTTTGCTTGATAGTGCATGTCGATGCCAAACTCTCTCTCTCTCTCTCTCTCTCTCTCTCTCTCTCAGTTTCCTGTTGTTTTCCTATAGTTCATGGAAATTAACTTTGTAATTTTACCTTTCAAATGGTATTTCCAGGTGTGCGGATGATAAGCCTTTTGTGCCAACATATCAGGTGTCCAAGGAGAAGGCAAAGAAGTTGGGTGTTGAATTCATTCCATTAGAAGTTAGCCTCAAGGAAACAGTTGAAAGCCTGAAGGAAAAGAATTTCGTCAATTTCTGAGTCTTCTTGTTTCAGTACTGTGACGGTCTTTGCAATAAATTCAGTCTGTGCTATGTTTCGGTTGGTGTTTTTGGTTTAGTGACTTAGTCTACTTGGACCCAAAACAGAAAAACGGGACTTTAGTCTCCGGCTTGTTGATTCCTATATATTTACCCACGTGTCTTCTGAATACAGAAGAAATTAACTATTGAATAAGATATTGGATTACTGAGAGTCAAGTGTATTCATGGAACTTTTATTCTCTTTGATATTAATAGTGATCTCCCTGTATTTCTTGTACTGTAAGTTTCGATGTGTTCTTTATTTTCTGGCATTTTTTTAATACATAATTTGGGATTTTTGCGCGTAATTCTTTTAAATTTTGAGCTCGAAATTGACCTTAAAGCATAAAAAAGAATGAGATATTTAGTCATATATCTATTATAGCATTAAAACTATAAATAAATCCTACACTATTTAATTTCTATAAACAAACTCAAAATAAACCCAAAAAATGACAGCTGATTATATTGAATTTAATTTTAATTATTAAATTACTTTGATACCCCATTGAATGTTTTGGGCTTTTTTTATGAGGTTTTTGGGTTGGGTTTGATTTAAGAAATCAATGGCAGTTTTGTAATTTAAAAGAAATTAAAAGCCCTTTTGTTATGTAGTAAATGAGTTTTAGGTATGTTTCTAAAGTCCATTTCATATAGGGTTTTTATTTATTTATAATTTGGGCTCCTATATTGGGTATTATAATGAATCTCCCAAAAAACAATTGAGCTATTTTCCTTGCCACAAGAACTTTCATGAGAACAAATTTTCCTTGCAGAACAAGTCATAGAATAGCCATGTGTTAAAACTAGGCTCGATTTTTGGACTCATCGAATTCTAATTAAGGTGTTCTAAATTCAATTCAAAATTTCGGACTGAAAGTTTCCTTTCAATTTTGTTGCAATTTTCCGAAATTTTTTGGAAGTATATATTTCAAAATCTTTTAAACCACAATGGTTAAGAATACTGTTGAGGTCCAAAAAATCCATGGATTGGGCCCGAACAATTATCAGCCCAATACAATATTTCATAAGGGAAAAGAAAAAAGGATCTATTGCATGCAAATTATAAACCACACGCCACGCTAAATAAACAAATTATCATGCTATGATAAAATATAATCATGCTAAAAAATTAAAACAATCCTTCAAAAGGGCGATAAAGTAAAATATGCCGAGCAACATGCCGTGCCGTTATCTCGCACCCAACCACGCTACAAGCCTAAGTGGGCCCAAGCCACTCAAAAAGACCCGGGGCTTGCTTGAGTGGGTTGTGGCATGGATGGTAATAAATCAACATGAGGCCCATTGATGGACCAAGAAATGGAAAGTCTCGGGTTGCTTGGGAGCCTCGAGACTCAAGCCCATTTCTTAGGTCCAAACATGTGGGTAAGCACAAGAGAGAAAAATAGCCCAAAAACCCAAGCAAAATAACCTAGCCAAGAGATAACCCAACCAAAAATAATAATAAGCCCAAATCAAGCCCAATAAGCCCATTTGCTTAGAAAGCCATCTTGGCCCTTAGAAAAACCCAAAAAAAGGCCCACAAGAGCTTCAGCCTTTTTTGAAAAACAGAGAACACGTGAAGTAGATGGCAGGCTCCTTAAGTAAGCTGCTGGAAACCAGTCCCAAGCCAGAGACATCCAAAGAACCGATGAATACCATCCTGCATGCTGTCAGAAGCATCCCTTGGACCAGCATACATTTGCACCACCTTTCCTTCATCATATTCAGCCAAGGAAGAGGAAAGAAAAGGAAGAAAAACAGCAAACTAAGAGTGGAAGCCCTCATTGCACAGCCGCGGGAAAGAGGGATGTTGAGCCCCCAAATCTCCCAAATTCATGAAGATAGACAGAAGCCATCTTTGCCAAGAAAGGGAAGTCAGAGAAGGGGAGGAGAAAGGAAGAAAATCTCAGCCAAAGTAAGAAGGAGCCATTAGGGTTTCTTGAAAAATGGTGATTTCCGGCAGCTATAAATTGAGCCTTCCCCTACCCAACAAACACAACTCACAACCTGCAGAGAGCAAGCTTTTCTCTCTATCTTGCAAAACTTAGATTCGTGCACTGTTCATCTTCTTCTCCAATTTGTTCTTCTGGTAGCTGCTGGAAGAACCCTGCCTCTCTCTTTCTTTTTCTCTAGTCAAAATCCCTCACAAAACACCCCATTCCTTACTTAAACACTTTCATTTCTCATAAACCAAGCCTCATTTCTCTCTTAGTGCTAAACCCACGCTGGTTTTGCTCTCCATGCCTCATGCCACTCATGCTGAGTCTAAAAACCATCTGTAAGCATGCCAAAATTATCTGTAAGTCACTATTATTCTCATTGGTGAAGATCATCCAAAATATCTCCTAAGGTTTCGCTGCCCTTTCGAGGTATTTTGGGGCTTAATTTTCGAACCTAAACAAAAGGGGGCAATCTCCTCAGTCCACCTTTTGCAGCAGCCCAGCCCGTTAGCTGCAGGAAGAAAAAGACCCCTACATAAATTGGCGACTCTGCTGGGGATTAAGCCATTATCTTCATCAATGCCTCCAAGAAAGAAGACCAGAAGCAACAACATAACTTCCCAGGATGGGCCAAGCCATGCTGACTCAGAGTCAAGGCAACATGCCTCTTCTAGAGAAGAAGAACGTGCAAGTGAGGGAACTTTTACCCTCACAGATCTTGTTGCAGCCATTCGTGCTATGGGTGACACCCAGAGGGAGATGGCAGAGATGATAAAAGAACTCAAAAATTCGGCTCCAAAGCCAAGTGAAGTGAATGAGAAGCACCCACAGGAGGAATCTGCGGCTGCCGGAAAGGAGTCTGAGCAGAAGGGACCATCTTTTGTCACTCAGGAGGACGTTGTTGCCATGCTGGAAAAGGAGCTGAGTCGAAGTCAGGAAGATTGGAAGTATCTTCCTCAGCCGCCATATCCATCAAGCTTACTCCAGCAGCCATATCCTAAAGGCTATGAAGCACCGACCTTTGTCCTCTTTGATGGACGAAAGGGGAGCCCGAAGGAGCATGTCAATCGCTTCATCGATGCCTTGGGACCATATGCTGGTGATCATAATCTTCGACTTAGAGAATTTTCAAAGAGTCTCACCGATCGTGCTTACACATGGTATACAACGTTGGCACCGGGTTCTATTCATTCCTGGGAAAGTCTGGCAAGCAGGTTCTGTAAGAAGTATTTCCAGCATGAAGAACGAGTCACCACCACTCAACTCAACAACACTCGCCAAAAGCATGGTGAGGATCCCGTGGACTTTGTACGCAGGTTCCGGGACCTCGCATTGGATTGCTATGATGAGAAGGACGAGGAGGCGCTTGTTGAAATTTGCATCAGCAATATCGTGGCAGATTATAGAGTGTATTTGGAGAATATTGGCATTAGTCAATTTTCTCGGCTGCTGGAAGCTGTAAGGAAGACGAGCATGTCCGTCAGGCCACCAGGACAAAGGACTTGGAGGAATGAGAAGAAGGAAGCGCATCAAACATTAGCAATAGATGACAAGCCATCCAACGACTACAATTCACGCAAACGCAAGGATAGAGAGACGTATCCACCACTACCATGCAAAGATGAAGAATTTCATGCTATCCTTGACACAATGATTGCTGATGGCGTGATCAAACCTGTCAGACCCTACAAAGTTCCTACTCGAGAGGAAAAGAATGATCCTAGGTACTGCCGTTACCATCAATTTGTGGGGCATCCGACCACTGCCTGTCAAAGTCTGAGGAGGATTCTACATGCCAAAATACATGAGGGAGTCCTTGAACTTCCCTCTAGGAAGCAAACGATTGATGAAGACCCCTTGCCAAAACGAAGGGGAAAGGAGGTAGCCGCTGTCATTACATGTTCTGATGATTTACTTGATGATGATGAATTGTGCCACCCTTGGAGGAATGACCCAAAGCCGCCGGAAGCCATATGGGAACCTTGCGGAAACATGGAAAAGGCATATTGGTGTAAATATTCGAGGCCTTCAAGTTACGACACACCATGGCCACTTGCTGATGGATGGGGTGACAACTCAGGCAGCGAAATTTTTGTTTTGGACATGCCGGAAGAGCGCTACTCGGGGGCTTTATCGGAGCAGCAGGAAGCAGCTGCCGTGACATTTCATAATATCACGGAAGCTGAAACAAGTGTGATGGAGCGTTATTTAAGCATGAAACAGGGGCCCACAGCTTCACAGGTCCTTCAAAGAAATCCAAAGTTCAAATCACTTTTTGACCAACTTGGCTTCGGGCCTCAAGCAAGAGAAGCAGCTGCTGTAGCCCTGATGAATATCTCTGAGGAGTCCAATTCTCAATGCTTTACAACTCAACCACAGGGGTCATTCTTGGGAAATGACAATGCTATTGTCTTTACGGACGAAGACATGGAAGTTCCATACCCGGACCATAGGAGGCCGCTTTACTTGGAGGGACAGATCAATGATGTGTTCATAAGGAGAGCTTTGGTGGACACGGGTTCCTCTGTCAACATATTACCTCTGTCTGTGCTTACGGCAGCTGGTATCCCATTGTCCAAAATTGTCCAATCACAAACAAACATCAGTGGTTTCGGGAATAAGAGTGAGGTCACAGTCGGGCATCTACAAGTACACTTAAAGGTTGGGCCAATTCGGTCACTTACTAAGTTCTATGTCGTGGATGTGGATGTGGCTTACCATGCTTTGCTTGGAAGGCCGTGGCTCAACAAGCATAAGCTTGTGGTCTCCACCTATCATCAATGTGTAAAAGGAAGGATTGGGCTGAGGCCGCTACGCATACCTGGAAACCAAGCACCTTTCAACAAAGATGAAGCTCACTACTCTGAAGCAGAGTTCTACACTGAATGCACAGGTGCTGGAAGCAATCCATCCAAGGATTTCGGGACCTACCTTCCTTCATGGACTGAAATTCGTGATTTAAGCAATGAGGAGCTCATCACCATTGTCGATCGAGAGAGAAAGAGGCACTCGGAAGTCAACAACCATGCCTATGATCATCCCCAATGCTCAAAGGTGACGCTGCCCGATGGACGTATCGTGTACCGCTTATGACGGGGTTGGGGGCTTGACCGTGTCTTACGGGAAAGCCCCGAGTATGGAGGAAAAGTAATGCAAACAAATAGCTGTGGGAGTTCCAACGACAAGGCACCCTTGCCTTGTGCTTTCCAGGAGCCAATGGCAGCACCCAGACACATGCAAGATGGATCGTCAGCAGTAGCTGAGCAGCTGGAAACAATTGATTTGAGTGAGGATCCCTCTGCCCCAAGGCCCATTTCCATAAGTGTTCATTTAACAAATGAGGAGAGGGCGGCCTTGATATCTTTGCTAAAGGAATTTCGAGATGTGTTCGCTTGGAGCTATGAGGAAATGCCTGGTCTGAACCCAAGCTTAGTAAGTCATACTCTGAATATTGAGCTTGGTACAAAACCTGTCGTGCAGGCAAGAAGGAATTTTCATCCTGAAGTTGAGAAGCAAATCAAGGTGGAAATTGAAAAGTTGTTAGCTGCTGGATTTATTAAACCAATCAAGCATCCTACGTGGTTAGCAAATATTGTTCCTGTGAAGAAGAAAACCGGTGTGATCAGAATATGCACGGATTATCGAGATCTCAACCGAGCATGCCCAAAGGATGAGTTCCCGCTGCCAAACATGGATATCTTAATTGATTCGACCTCGGGTCAAGGCTTGTTGTCATTCATGGATGGGTTTAGCGGCTACAATCAGATCAAGATGTCTCCCAAGGATGCTGAAAAGACAGCCTTTCGAACACCGTATGGGAATTTTTATTATACGGTCATGCCATTCGGCCTCAAAAATGCTGGCGCCACCTACCAAAGAGCTATGACAGCAGTGTTTCACGACATGATGGGAAAAGAAGTTGAAGATTATGTGGATGACCTTGTGGTGAAGTCCAAAACCAGAGAAGGCCATCAAGAAGTTTTAAGAAGAGTGCTGGAAAGGTGTCGGCTGTACAGTTTGAAGATGAATCCAAAGAAGTGTGCGTTCGGGGTTTCATCTGGTAAATTCTTGGGGTTTCAAGTACATCAGCGTGGCATAGATGTGGATCCTGAGAAGACTAAAGCCATAAATTCTCTTGCACCGCCTAAAAGCCCAAAAGAATTGAAAAGCTTTATGGGAAGATTATCATATATTCGGCGCTTTATCCCAGGTCTTGCTGCCACCATGAGTGCTTTTACTCCATTGCTCAAGAAAGGCAAGAGGTATGAATGGAGTGAGAAGTGCCAAGAAGCTTACAAGAAGGTGCAACAAATAATCGCCAAGCTGCCCACTATGAAAGCACCTATTCCGGGGCTTCCTCTCAAGCTTTATTTGGCTGCAACAAACACAGCGGTTGGAGCCTTACTTGCTCAAGATGATCACAGTGGGGAAGAAAGTCCTATTTATTACGTAAGTAGGCAACTAAGGGGGTCTGAAGTGAGATATCCGAAAACTGAACTTTTGTGCCTTGCTCTTGTCTATGCTGCACAGCGCTTGCGACATTACTTCCTTGCTCACAAGCTACATCTCATGGTGAAGTCTGATCCCGTAAGATATTTGCTTACAAGGCCGATATTATCCGGGACGCCTTGCACGTTGGTTGCTACAGCTGTCCGAGTTCGATATCACCTGCACCACTCCAAAAGCCATCAAAGGGCAGGCCGTTATTGACATGTTGGCTCTATTTCCTGAAGTTGAAGAATCAACAATCTCTAAGGAAGTTCTGGGGGAGCTGCCGGAAATGGTTGCTGTTGTCACGGAGGCAGAACCATGGACCCTCTACTTCGATGGGTCTTCTACATCGAAGAGTGGAGGGGCAGGTGTGGTGCTTATCAATCCCGAGGGGCAAGCCACGGCCCTCTCGTTTAAGCTAAATTTCCCATGCACAAATAATACGGCAGAGTACGAAGCTTTTATTGCAGGGATGTCTACAGCAAGGGAAATGGGTGTCGAAAGAATTAAAATTATTGGGGATTCAAACTTGGTGCTGAGTCAATTACAAGGAAATTTCGCCGTGAAGGAACCAGCATTGGCACCATATCGTACAGCTGCTGAAAGGCTTGTTCGTTCGTTCAAACAAGTTGTGTTGGAACATATCCCGGGAGTCACTAATAGATATGCTGATGCGTTGGCCACTTTGGGGTCAAGGCTCTCATTTATTGACGAACAGCCCAATATTGCAGTAATCAAGAAGGACACGCCAGTTGTTGAAGCAATGGCTCAAGAGGAGCGGCTGGAAGAGGATGACTGGAGGAAGCTTGTGAAAGAAAAAATAGGCAAAGGAAGCAACATCAAAGAATTGAAGGATTATGCGATCATCTTTGGGGAACTGTACAGACGCCTTCCGGGAGGTATTTTGACACGCTGCATAGGGATAACAGAAGCACAGGAGAAGCTTCAAGAGGTACATGAGGTCACTTGCAATTTGGAGCCAATAATCAGCTTGTACCGGCGCCTGCAGCGCAAGGGTTATTACTGGCCAGAAATGAGGAAACAAGCAGCTGAAATACAAGCCAATTGTCCCAAGTGTGCAAAAATACCTTCCACCGAGGAATCATTCACCGTCTCATTTGCGGAGGATTGGAGGGCTCCATACTTGGCATCCTTCGTCAATGGAGTCCTGCCAACCAATCCCAAGCATGCACGCAAGCTCAAAAGGACAATGAAAAGATACTTCATAGATGGGTCAACTCTTTACCGTAAGGGGTTTAATGGTGAGCCATTAAAATGCTTGGGAAAGTCTGAGGCACAGCAAGTCATGCAAGAGATTCATGCTGGAGAATGTGGTGAACACCAAGGAATGAAGAAGCTTTACCGGCAGCTGCTGAGTGTTGGGTATTATTGGCCTACAATGAAGAATGATGCATACGACTTTGTGAAGAGGTGTCACACATGTCAAGTTCATGCCAATTTAAGCCATAAGCCTCCCACGCTGCTGCAAGACATGCGCACCCCTTGGCCCTTCCATACTTGGGGGCTTGATTTGATCGGGACTATTCATCCACCATCCGACAGCTACATATGGATCCTCACGGCCACCGAATATTTTACAAAGTGGGTAGAAGCGGTTCCCTTGCGGAAGGCCACGGGAGCTGCCGTTGCCAATTTCATCCGTGAAAATATTGTATGCAGATTTGGGATCCCATACAAGATTGTCACTGACAATGGCACCCCGTTTGTCAATAAGCAAGTAAGCTCGACACTTAGTGGTTATGGTATCAAGCATCGCCGCTCCACGCCTTATTATCCACAAGGAAATGGTCAAGCGGAAGCCACAAACAAGACTTTATTGAGGATCCTAAGCAAAATGGTTTATGAGTATGAAGGAGGTTGGAGTGTTCACCTGCCGGATGCTTTATGGGCTTACCGCACCTCTTCAAGAAGTGCCACAGGTTTCTCGCCATATTCACTCGTGTACGGGTCCGATGCCATTTCACCAGTAGAGATTACCATCCCCACTGCCAGAACAGCAGCTGTTAACGACCTCGAATGGGATACAAAGTCATGCTCGGAATGGCGCCTGCTGGACCTTGAAGCTTTGGATGAAAAAAGAGCGGTAGCCGAAAAGAAGACAGCATTGTACCACAGAACCGTAGCTCAAGCCTATAACAGGACAGTCAAGCCTCGCGCCTTCAAGCAAGGAGACCTCGTGCTAAAAGTTGCGGAGCATGTAAGAAGACAAGTGTCGGGACCTTCCAAGTTTGCGCCACAATGGGAAGGCCCGTTTGCAGTCAAAGAGGTTCACAGCAGCGGCTATTATCGCTTGGTCTCTGTCAAAGAAGGCACGCTAACCGACCCCGTCAATGGGAAGTGGCTCAAGCTCTATTACTGCTAAGTTAACTTTATGCCTAGTACTTTTGTATTTTCTTTCTGTCAAAAAAAAAGACTCCTTCTGTCTTATTTTCACGTTTTGGAAAAAAAAAGACACTTTTGTATGATGCACCATTATGGTAGCAAGGGCTTTTGCAATGAAGATGAAGGAATATTTTGAAAAATATATTGTGTCTCCAAAACCTTACTATTATTAATCCTTTATCAAATTTTCCATATATGTATATATAAACATGCTACTTAGCAGTAAAATATGCCGGGCAAAGTCACTTAGATGGGGTCCCCAAACATCACGCTTAAGCCAAAAAAAAATAATAACAGCATAAGGCATGTTACAAAGAAACATGCAATTCTGAGATGCTGGAACAATACGATACAACACCTGGAAGCTTTATGGAGCCCGAGTAGAAATCATGCATATATTGGTTCGACCCTTTGGAAAAGATGGGAAGCTATTTTGTCAAGCTTAGAATCTAGATAAGCCATGCAAAAGAAGCTTTCGAGAATTTGGGTTTCTAAAAAAAAATTTTGACAGCATATACCCTGTTTTCAATGATATCCAACCTGTCAAAAAAAAATTTCAAGCAGTCCATAAAGACAATTCTGGCCAACAAAGCAGTACATATACATATCTACACAGGAAATATGCAACATGCCTCAAGCATCCGGAAATTCATACAAGCTTCAGTAGTTTAATATCAAAATTACAAAGGCATAACGACGTAGTCGTTAGAGTCTCAAAAGAAAAAAAAACAACACTACAAACAAAGCAAAATAAAGCTGCATCTGCTGAAGGTTCACGCGCCCTTAAGTCACGAAGAAAAGCAGGATCACGAGCCAAGCTAAATGGTCACTAAGCCAAGGATGGGCAATCTGCAAAAGATAAAAGAAAATGTGTGTCAAAAAATAGCTGCTGCTGGAATACGTAATATAAAAAAAAATATAATGGAGGAGATGAGTACCTGTAAGCTATGGGGAATGTCCGAAAAGAACAAAGGAAGCCCCAGGAGATAATCTGGCTGCTGCCTCCGTCACGCACTCAGCGCTGTCAACAGAAACACCCTTAGCAAGGAGAAGGGCATGCATCTCCCGGCGCTGGTTTTCCAACTCTTGCTGTTTAATATTCAAAGCGTCTGCAGCGGCTTTTACTTCATCGGAATCATGCGATAATTGCATACTACGAATGGCCCGTGCTCCAAAGACGGCACGTGCCAAGCTCTTCACGAGTTTAAGGAGAAATTCCACAGGAAAGCCCAGAATCATGGCCTCGCATATTGCATCTCGCCAACAGAGCAGTTTATGATCTGTAATATCAAGGAGTTGCATGGTGTCCATCCCATGAAGTACTAAGCCAAGCGCTCGAAGGGCAGTACCCCTTGAGAAAGAGGAGGTGACATCTGTAGCTTCCAGCAAACTCCCGTATTTGTCCATGAACTTTCTCAAGGCTCCAACCGTCTCTGGATACACAAGGGCACCTTGGAATGTCGCATAACCATCAAATCTGTGGCAAAGCGGAAGAAGTTCATCAATGGATCTAAGAATGGTGACACCACCATCAAAGAAGGCTTTGAATGCCGTGTAGGAATTCTCCCAATCTTGCCAAGACATGCCTTTCTCGAATGAAGGCCCTTTTGAGGAACCTGCGATAAAAGCATCAACATTCTTATCACAGGGATGTGCTGCTGGAAGAGGTGGAGCGGTGCCGGAAGTTATGTCAGGAGTGCTCGAGATTGGAGGAGTAAGGGGATGTACTGCTGGAAGGAGTTGAGCGGTGCCGGAAGCTATGTCAGGTGCGTTCGGAATTGGAGAAATAGGAGGAGGAACTGTTGAGAGTGGCGGAGAGACGTCAGCAGCCATGTCAGGAGTACATGGGTTAGGAGAAGGAGGAGGTTGCACTGCCGGAAGGCTCAGGACAACTTCAGCGACAGTAGTGGGAAGGGCAAAATCAGCCTCTGATGAAGCACCTATTGTGCCTTCAATGGCGGGCACGACCTGCAGAAGAAAGACGGAGTATGAACTAGAGGACACAACGGGCAGCATGCAATGTCAATATTCCAAGCAAAACAAGCAAGAAGGATATTTGATACCAGTTCAATATCGACACGCTGTCCATGATCGCCAGTCAAAGCGGGAGTCGTATCTGGGTCATCGAACTCCCCCAAGCTAGTGCCGAAAGCCGGATAGGTGTCTTCGTCGTGACTATCGTATTGGCCTTCATCAAAGTCCTCGTCCATGCCACTCGTATCGTGAGCACTCTCTTGCTCATGAATGTTAGCCTCAGTTCCCGCAGCGCCATCGCCATCACTATCATCATCACTGTTATCATCAACAGTCACCACTACTTTGGGTCCCGAGTCTTCACCCTTATTCTTTCGGGTATTAGCAAACCGCGTTTCAAGAATACGCATGCTTCGACGTTTCGGGGTCGCGGAAAACCCCTTACCCTTGCCTTTACTTTGGGAAGTACCTGCAAAATAAGATGAAAGGGATACTTATATATACGCAAAGAGCGGGGAACAAAGGGAGCAAACAAATAGCAATACTTACTGTGAGGAGATGAAGCTTTGGGAGCTGCTAGCTCGCTGCTGCCGGAAGCTGTAGGCTGCTGCTGTAAGGACTCGGGCAAGGCAACCTTTCTTGAGCTGGGAGGACCACCTGCCGCTACCTTGGGGATGAACCTTTTCGGTTCTTTTACAGCTTGCCTTTTCTCGGCGCTGCAGCTTTCCTCACGCTTCCGTTTCCCATGTGCAACACTCTTCCCGGCACTATGAGAACCCGACTTTTCCAACTTCCGCTTTAGCTTCGAAAAGTCACCAACAATCTCTCCGCTTTTGGAGATAAAAGGCAGATTTCGCTTCTCGCTCAAGGAAATCGCTTTCTCTTCCGACACTAAACGGGCATGATGAATGACGGTGGGAATCAAGCTATCACAATGGGCAGCATGGAATCGGCTGAACGAGGCAAAGCAGCGGTTCCAATAATTTTGGTAGGCCTTTGAGAGACCACCAACGCGCTTCCGGCTGGCCAGAGCAAGGGCGAGAGGCCTGCCGTCTCCCGGCACGCTGTCACCAGTCCAGAAAACCCTGTGCAAGCTCAAGGAATCTCCATGGTTGGGGACAAGAGGGCACACCTTGGTCAAACCCAAGCTGTCGTCTAACCCGGTAAGGGGAATAATGTACAGAAGTCTCCAAGTGGTCATCACCGAATGTGGGCAGAGGGAGGCATGCGGCACTCAACAATGCCTCTCTGCGTAACCAACAACCTTGTGTTGGCATGGCCAGGGCCTCCATTAAAGCAGCAGAATCAGCATAGAAGGGCATACTTCTAAAGCCCTCTGATGAGGCACAATAGGGGCGAAAAATAAATTGCTCAACATCGTCCAGCAGCTCTAAAAAATTTTGGCCCTTCCGTTGCATGCGACGGAACCATCTACAGATCAGAGGAAGACTACCCGGCACGTAGGAATCCTCGTCCGAAGCAACCAGTGACTCAGCCTTTGAATAAGGGAGTGGAGATACCTCTATCCCTTTGAAGCGTTCCCATAAAAAGATCTGCAGAAAACTGGAGTTTACAAAAGTCTCCACAGCCATGGTTCCGGCCGCCCCCTTCTCAAGAAATTGAATCTGGTCAAGCAAGCGATATAAGTGCCCCAAGAACATGGGGGCTAAAGGGATCATGCTACCCCGTGCTATTGCCAAAGCCAACGGAAACACTCTCCCATGCAAGCAGTCCTGAGAAAAATCACAAAAGAGGAACCTCCCGAGCCACAAGGACACAAACGCAGCAAGGCGACACGGCTCGTCTCGATCACTGTTCCCAAAAAACTGAATCCAATTACTGAATCTTAGAGAGGTACTAGGAGAGGTCGGGGCACCTTTTCGCAAAATCTCAAGCTTTGGCCCATCTTCCGCGGTTAATGCAATATGGAAAGGATCTTGGCTGCCGCAAAGTGGGAGATGGAAGATATTAGCTACATCCTCAAGCGTGGGAGTGAACTCTCCCCACGAACAAATAAAAGTGTGCGTCTCAGTGCTCCACCGTCTAACCAAGTGTCGAAGCGTCTTGACTTCAATATGGATGTCGCAAGCCTTAGAAGCAAAGATGGCTTCCAACACGCCTGCCCGGCTTAGGATATCACGGGTAGATGGGTTCTTCAGTTCAGCATCAACCCACTCCGACCAACCCTTGCTGGTGCTGCAGGGATATTGAAAGAACAAAGGAACTGCCGGAAACAGACCCCTTTCTATGCAGCACCTTGATACGGACGCAGGGTCAATCACTGAAGTAGCTTCTGGCGCTGGTTCTTCATCAATAATTACATCCTCGGTACCCTTAAGCAAAGGAGAGGTCTCCCTCTCTTCAACTTGTCATCTACGGAGTAAAGATGATCCCTTATGATAAATGGTGGATTACCGGATGCCATAATGGGTACCTGCGCATAGAAACATGGAAAGAAGCAAAATAGAATCAGCACACGCAAAATACGGGGCTAGTTGAGTTTATCCAAGCAAACATGCAATTTAAAATTCAAGCTCATGACAAGTAAGAGTCTCGCTTTGTGATCAACAAGCAGGACAAGCAAGTCCCTTCTCAGAATAAAAATAAAAATAAAAATAAAAAAAAATTCAGCCAGGCAGTACAAAACATGCACTCTGTCTTCCTCCACAGGCAACACACGCAGAATTCCATAATCGATCAAGCATGTGTTCTCAAGAAAAGAAAAAAAAAGAGAGCCTAGGCCAAGCATCAGTCTACACCTATTCTAAAATACTCAGAGTTAGCAGAGTTATTGCCAAGGTCTAAGTTAGAAGACTGAAGGGTTTGAAGGTTCCAGCAGCAAAATGTCAAGGGTTTCCAGCACCTACCTATGCCCAAGATGCGTGTACCTGCACAAAAAATAAAAGCACGTCATGCCAAGTCAGCCTTTTACACACAAAAGGGGAGGCCCGTGCAAAATAAAAAGAAGGGGGAGAAACCCAAGCCAACAAGAAAGAAAAAAAAAGTTACCTTTCCAGCAGCTCGAGCAAAATCAACGAAGGAAGAAACCTAGACAATGGCACGGGCCCTTCCTTGCTAGCACCCACTCCGTGAGCACTATTGGTGCAGTGGAAACAAGATGGGTAGAAAAGGGGTTTTGGTATTTGGCTGCCAAAACAAAAGGCAACATCTATGGGTATGAGAAACCCAACAAATTCTCCAATCAATCTAAGGGGAAATTGGAAGAAAAAGAGGATACCTTGTTAAATCTTCCAAGGGAGGACGTTGAATGCACCAAAAATAGAAGAAAACCAGGGATTTGAAGGCAAAATTCGCACAAAGAAGGACCTTTCCAGCAGCGACGAACGGGCTCCTTTGGAACGAAGATGGAACGACGGGGCTGGGTTCGACTTGGGTCTTCTTCCCAGCAGCTGGAGATGGGTGATTCCTACCCGATTGCACTTTCTTCCTTGGTCTGGCTTTGTGGAAGGGCAAGAGAGAACGCAAGAAAAAAAATAGTTGGAGAGAAGTTTTGGTCTGGAGCGTGAAAAGGAGAAGGAAATTTTGGAAACCGATGTCTGGTGCAAGAAAAGAGAAAGAAAAGGGAGGAAAATAATAAAATAACGAGAGGAAGGCAGTTGGCGTTGGAAACTGCAAGTAACCACCGGGATCAATCATGGCACGCCGTCATTTTGCACGCGGGAAGAAGAAGAGTCCTATGCAAATACAAATCTGATTTTTTGGGTTGGGTTTTAATTATTCGGCCCATTCCAGCACCTGTTCATGGCCCTTATAATTAAGGGGGCTAATGTTGAGGTCCAAAAAATCCATGGATTGGGCCCGAACAATTATCAGCCCAATACAATATTTCATAAGGGAAAAGAAAAAAAGGATCTATCGCATGCAAAGTTATAAACCACACGCCACGCTAAATAAACAAATTATCATGCTATGATAAAATATAATCATGCTAAAAAATTAAAACAATCCTTCAAAAGGGCGATAAAGTAAAATATGCCGAGCAACATGCCGTGCCGTTATCTCGCACCCAACCACGCTACAAGCCTAAGTGGGCCCAAGCCACTCAAAAAGACCCGGGGCTTGCTTGAGTGGGTTGTGGCATGGATGGTAATAAATCAACATGAGGCCCATTGATGGACCAAGAAATGGAAAGTCTCGGGTTGCTTGGGAGCCTCGAGACTCAAGCCCATTTCTTAGGTCCAAACATGTGGGTAAGCACAAGAGAGAAAAATAGCCCAAAAACCCAAGCAAAATAACCTAGCCAAGAGATAACCCAACCAAAAATAATAATAAGCCCAAATCAAGCCCAATAAGCCCATTTGCTTAGAAAGCCATCTTGGCCCTTAGAAAAACCCAAAAAAAGGCCCACAAGAGCTTCAGCCTTTTTTGAAAAACAGAGAACACGTGAAGTAGATGGCAGGCTCCTTAAGTAAGCTGCTGGAAACCAGTCCCAAGCCAGAGACATCCAAAGAACCGATGAATACCATCCTGCATGCTGTCAGAAGCATCCCTTGGACCAGCATACATTTGCACCACCTTTCCTTCATCAGATTCAGCCAAGGAAGAGGAAAGAAAAGGAAGAAAAACAGCAAACTAAGAGTGGAAGCCCTCATTGCACAGCCGCGGGAAAGAGGGATGTTGAGCCCCCAAATCTCCCAAATTCATGAAGATAGACAGAAGCCATCTTTGCCAAGAAAGGGAAGTCAGAGAAGGGGAGGAGAAAGGAAGAAAATCTCAGCCAAAGTAAGAAGGAGCCATTAGGGTTTCTTGAAAAATGGTGATTTCCGGCAGCTATAAATTGAGCCTTCCCCTACCCAACAAACACAACTCACAACCTGCAGAGAGCAAGCTTTTCTCTCTATCTTGCAAAACTTAGATTCGTGCACTGTTCATCTTCTTCTCCAATTTGTTCTTCTGGTAGCTGCTGGAAGAACCCTGCCTCTCTCTTTTCTTTTCTCTAGTCAAAATCCCTCACAAAACACCCCATTCCTTACTTAAACACTTTCATTCTCATAAACCAAGCCTCATTTCTCTCTTAGTGCTAAACTCACGCTGGTTTTGCTCTCCATGCCTCATGCCACTCATGCTGAGTCTAAAAACCATCTGTAAGCATGCCAAAATTATCTGAAAGTCACTATTATTCTCATTGGTGAAGATCATCCAAAATATCTCCTAAGGTTTCGCTGCCCTTTCGAGGTACTTTGGGGCTTAATTTTCGAACCTAAACAAAAGGGGGCAATCTCCTCAGTCCACCTTTTGCAGCAGCCCAGCCCGTTAGCTGCAGGAAGAAAAAGACCCCTACAAATACTTATATAAAGCCAAAGAAAAAAAAAGATAGGTCATGCAAGAACTTTATAATAGAAGGATTTGATGGAGTTCTCCCTTTGAGTGATGTTGGACTAGTGCTCACATGCAATGAAAGTTGTTATACTCCACAGGAGAACTCCATCTTTGCCTCCTTGGTCATTAAATCCTATTTTTATTTCAACATAATGCCAAACGTTGTAGGTAGTTCAAACTTAATGTTGTTCAATATTCTGAATTTTTAGAATTTTAAGATATGCTCCAATTCTTCAATTTTTTTTTTTTTTTTTTTTTTTTTTTTTTTTCCTTTAGAATTTCATTTAAATTCAATTAAAACGGCAAAAATTTCGCAAAATCCAAACTTGAACCCGTTAAAACTGTAAAAGAAAAATTTCACAATTTTGGCGTATAGTAATTAAAAAACCGAACTTTAATCTAATTTTTTTTTAGTTATTAATACGAACAATTGATTTTATTTTGACTGGTTAGACTGTCATGTTATGACGATGGCATGGTAGGAGATTCTTTGCGGTATGAGAGTTTTGCACAAGTTTTATTCGATCTTCCAAAGCATACCAAATGTCACATTGTATCAACAAAGGAAGCTTCTCCCATACAATACTCAAAAGAGCAAAAAAGCTCTCTAAGGTAGACAATATTATGCACTATTTTAGAGAGGAGTCTAGGTGGCACATAATATTTGCACTAAATATTAAGATGATTAAAATTATTTGTGTAACGCAATATTGTAGGTAGTGAAGTACAATATTTGTGTACCATGTACAATATTATGAGCGTTACAATATTTGTAAACATGAGCAATGCATTCACTAAAAGAGGACTCTAGGTGTTAAATTGTCAAAATTTTAATTTAGGCGGTGTTTACGCACATCCTTAATATAGTCCATGTCCTGTTTAGTTTTTCTTTTTGTATTTCGTTTAAAGACTTAAGTTTACTTCCAAATAAATGTTCAATTCTTGTGTGACGATCCATCTAGAAATTCTCATAATCAGCATGCATGTTTTGAATTCTGTTACCAAGGTTAGTTTGAAGTCTCATCCGGTATTAATTAATTAATACTTTTTAATTCATAACACAATATCATCTTCCATGTTAATCTAACTACTTTTTATTTATTAATTTTAAAATTTTATTTTACTCCCACTTTTCTTTTAATATTTATTTATTATATTAGGTTTTCATGTGCTAAGATATATAACTACTGGGTTCGGTAAGTTATCTTCATGAAACAAAGATAATATAATTAATTATTAATGGCCTATCATGCAGCTAGGTCGACCAATTAAAATATATACATGGTTTCAAATAAAAAGATAAACAGCAATTAAAACAACTGATAATTATCATTAATTTTGAATATCATAAATTCAATTTCGGAAGCATATTCCAGCGCCCACCCGAAACCCTGATTTATCTCAAATAATTTCGGAGTCTGTTTATTTAAATTTGTTTTCAACTACAACTCTTCCACGCATTTTTTCAACAACAAAGAAAAGAGGAAGACTCAAGCTTGCGTCTCTGCCAGTGTCTTCTCCCTCAAAGAGTCCAACAATGGAGCCTGTTGAACAAAGTCATCCGCATAACAAGGCTTCTGTTACTTCCCAAGTGGCTTCTTATAGCCTCATCAACAAGCAATCTCATGCTCAAGCTCATCTCACTCATGAACTCACTCAACCAAACGAGCCTGGAAATTCTTTGATAACCAATGTGTCTGCGGGCGCAGAGCTTTCGGATGATGAGTCAAATAGCTTCAATAACAATCTGAAAAATGAGGAAGATAAGTTCTTCGATTCGTTCCCGCCCGGTTATCGGTTCAACCCTCTCGATGAGGAACTTGTTGTGCATTATCTGAAGAAGAAGGTCTTGGATCAGCCCTTGCCTCCCAACCGGATCATTGAAGTTAACCTATACCGCCACAATCCGGAATTTCTTGCTGGTACATGTCAATAAAGGGAAAATTGTGCATTACTAATTTTTGTATCAATATCCCTAGGGTTATGTACTTATTCTTCATTAGATTTTCATAATGATCTAACGTTGAGTGGATGTTTTTCTCATGTAGGATTGTTGGGTTTAGGATATTTTTCTTATTAACGTAGTTTCATATGTGCATCTCACAGAAATTTATATATATAGTGAAATAGTGCCATGCAGCAGAGATTAATACACTAATTAATGAAGTCTGTATAATGTATATGCATTATAATCACTAAGATTAAAGCTGCGTTTAAACATGTTCTTTTGCTATGTGTTTAGATATTTTTGACAGGATAGATGATGAGAAGTAGCTATAATATTGTAATGCTCTCTCTTTTTTTTTTTATGTTAATTAACAGAAAAATATAGGAAATATGGAGAAGCTGAATGGTACTTTTTTACTCCGAGGGACCGGAAGTATAAAAATGGTAGTCGGCCGAAGAGAGCAGCTGGTAATGGATACTGGAAGGCCACTGGAGCTGACAAAGCAGTTAGGTCTAATGGTGCTCTTGTTGGATTCAGAAAGGCTCTTGTGTTTTACAGAGGGAAACCTCCAAAGGGTGACAAGACCAACTGGATCATGCATGAGTTTCGAGTCAAGGATTCTCCCGTTCGAAGAAAGAGGGGAGAGAATGACATGAGGGTATGCATATTCTCCTTCTATATAATTGATAATGAAAATCTAACTATATATCCCACATCATGCTTACAAAAATAAGTTTTGCTGTTTGCAGTTGGATAATTGGGTACTCTGTAGAATTTATAAGAAAGTTGATAAGAACAGCAAAAGATGTGAAACTCGAAATCATGTTGAGGATCCTCTATCCCCGCAGCCCCAGATTATAAATGGGGAAGGCATGGAGATGGAGACGGAGATGAGCACCCTTTTTGATCCTATGGTGGGGTATGACAACAAATACTCAATCATGCAAAATGTTTATGGTGTATCACATAATGGCATGATTCATAGCCAACTACAAGCAGTCCCCATGAATGAAGTGCCCAGTTATCCAAATATTGGGCACCCACAAGCATTTGGTGCTAGAGCTTCATCCATGCCACTGTTGCCTGACAGTCTGCTCGAGTCTAGATACATTGATGAATCAACTATCCATCCAGACGACTTGTACAACTTGAAGGCATTTGAAAGAAGTCTCTACGACACTTACCAAAGGCAATTCCCACCTGTAGAGAATTTTTATCCCTATTTGGAGTAGCTTCCGTGGTTGATCGATGGCATTGACTAACTTTCGTTGATGCTAGGGTTTAGGATTTGGTTACGTAGTAAATCTTTATAATCTTTTTCTTAGTAGTTTTCTCAACTATCTAAACGAAGTTATATTATTTGAGAATTATAATTATGCCATGTACGTGTACATGGCAGTTGGATTTTCTTTTATAATGAGGACTTTAATTGGTTGCTCTTTTATTATATGAATTTACAATTATGTGAAAATTTATGAAAGCCTATTGATGTAGGCTTTTTGTGATTAAATAAATCATGCAATTAGTTTTTTTTTTCCTTTTAAATTGTTGATGTGACTTGGAGCTCAGCATTTTTTTCTTCCTCTTTTCAGAATCATGGAAACAAACTAAATCTATGTTCTTCTCGAACTCCCACATATACACAATTATCCAAGGATGGGAAGGCTTGATGAGAAAACCATATAAAAGTTGAAAGCCACAAAAATCCAAGGTCAAATAAGATAAGAGAGCCATTTGATGAAGATTAACCACTTCACTTACGGCACTTCCAGCAGTCAAACCCTTGTCATGGTAAGGGAGGGGGGCTAGGGCAGACAATATTCACACGAATAGTGTCTGCCTTTGCAAAAAGTAAATTGCACTTCCAGCAGTTGCCATGGCAAAGGGCAAGTACTATTCAATTTTTTGTTTTTTTCACAAATTTGTTTACCTAAACAATTAATTTGGACAATATTTTCAGATGAGATTTTCTGATAAAATATTCGAATAAGATTTTCGGTTTCAAATTTCAGATAAATTTTGGTTTCAAATTTCAGATAAATTTCAAATTTTCAATTTCATATAAATTTCATCTGAATTTAAAAAAGGAATTTTATTTAATAGTTTCTTTGATAGAGAAATTTTTATGCTTTGGTTGTGGTTTGTTTGTTTTTATATTTTTAATGCTTTGGTTGTGGTTAGTTTTTTTATGTATGGAATGTTTGAATAAAAGAATTTTATTTAATAGTTTCTTTGATAGAGAAAAATTAAACTTGAAAGTGAAAAAATTTTAGAGTAGAAAGTGAAAAAATTATTGAGTAGAAAGTGAATTTGTTGTTAAAAGTGAAGAGTAGGGATTGGTATTTATAGAAAAAATTCAGTATTTTTTTTAAAAATTTTACGATTTTTTTTCGTAATTTTTTGCCTTGAAAAATTCAAGGCCGTTGGATTGGATGAAAAAGCAGAAATCAGAGGATCAGATTGCGCCACGTGGCAGAGGACAGCTGACGCGCGCGCAGCGAATTTTTTTTACTGTTGGCGCATATTTTTTTCAACAATGCACGCGCCAACGGTAAAAAAATTTAAACCTGGCTGCTGACATTACGATGACGTTAGCCACGCTCAGGCCAGCACTCGGGCTCTCCCTGCCTTCGGGCCAGCCTAGGCTAGTGGACCCCACCCTGCGCAGGCCAGCCTCTATTGCTGGAACTTGACTTTGGGCTCTTGGCCCCTCCCAGCCCGAGCCCTAGGGGGCTGCTGGAAGTGGCCTTAATGAGGTACCACACTTGTTGCAAAAACGTCAAGCACATTCAAACAAAGAAAAATAAAGCAAAGAATCTGAATCTCTAAGTGATATTGAAATTAAGCTGTCAGGAAAAAGCTGAAAAGAAGAGATGGCATGCAGCTGCCTCTAGGGAACTAGGTGCGTAGAGATGCAGCATGTGATTCCCTAATCACTATTGAGTTTTGTAGTTAAATAACACAAAAAAAAAAAAAAAAAAAAAAAAAAAAAAAAGTATTGTCTTCCTTTTATGGCAGTTTGCAGAGATGCAGGTGCTGCATGTGATTCCCTAATTACTAGCTGAAGAATTAAAAGAGGAAAAAAGTAATAAAATAAAATAAAGTGACACACTCTCTCTATAAAACAGAAAGCCATATTCACAACATCAGTTTTCATCATCAACTTAGAACTCTCTAGCTCTTTGGTGATCTGTTTGGTCATAAAACTAGAAAGAAAATCGCACCTCAAGCTGCTAAACTCCAAACAAAACCCAAAAATCAGGTAACAAATTCATTCAAGTTAAATATTGCAATGCATGCGTTTTTCTTTAATTTTTGCATACTTTGATCGCAACATTTATTACCAAAAAGAAGAGAAAAGTATTGATATCACATTTGTTTCCTGGGTATCAATTTCAGTGAGTTAGAAGAGATTCGAGAGAGAATCATCATATTTGGAGGTGTGATTATGTTAATTATTTATAAGGGATTTGCTCTTATATATGTATGCAACCAAGAATCTCCAACTTCCGTTCATACAAGTATACTGTTACTTATGGCTGTGGAGTGACAAGCATTTTGGAATGGGCGGTTTCGGAAAAGAGGTATTATGTTTGAAACTTTAAAAGAATGTTGATTATTTTGTTTTCTGGTTTTTAGGAATAATAAATGATTTTTTCTATACTAATTTTTTAAGGGAATATTTGGATTTATTGTAGTTCATCGCTACCTTTTTTCAGTTCTCGATTAGGATCTGCAAATTAAATCTTATCAAATCACAAGATTAAGACCCGATGGGAATAAAATTGGTGACGATTGGTTTGCTCTATCATAGTTGTAAATGAGTGTTTTTTTGGTCGAATAGCTGTAAACAAATATACGAAATGTCAATCAAACAAACCCAAATTTTAGTATATGATGAAAGTAGAAAGGAATATCTTAAAATGCCACCCTTTTCATAATTTTAACTAAAAATACCACTCCTTCCCAATCTTTTTACAACTACCACATATAAATACATCTTTATTGTGGACTGATTGTACCCATATCAGTTTTTCAGAAATTGGGTTCTCTCTCAACTCTCTTGGCTCTATCTCTCTCTTCGGCCCGTCTCTCTCTGTCGCTCAGCTCTCTCCCTCGTGTAACTCTCTCTCTCTCCAACGCAATTGTCTTTCTCTCTCAGTGGTGGCTGTTCATCCAAGCTTAACTCCACAGTTGACATCCACGATGTACTGTTCATCTACCTTTTCTTTGAAATTTGGAGTTTTTGTGAATTTGGTTTATGGTGTATGGATTTGTAAGAAATTGGTTTAGGGGTTTCTTTGAAATTGGTTTAGGGTTTTAGGGTTTAGGGGTTGCTCAGAAATTGGTTTAGAGTTTATGGGTTTCTATGAAATTGGTTTAGGGGTTTCTCTAGGGTTGAGGGTTTATGGGTTTCTATGAACTGGGTAATAACTCACACCCACTCTCACTCGCTCGTAGGCACTCTTCACAAAAATCAAACTCTTCATTTTGTCACAGAACGTTTGGGGCTTCGTTCACCTTTGTCTGGGTAAGTCCCAACTATCTATATTTTTTGATGAGATCTTAAGCTCTGGGCTTTGTGATTTCTACAAGAATTATCCACAGTATTCTGATTTTACTTGTTCAAATCAAAGCAAAGGAAGGGACGTTGTTTATGGATGGGTAATTGTCAAAAATGACTTTTGGAATCTACATGCTTATAATCAAATTTTGCAAATTGTCAATGGTCCATAGTCCATATTTGAGACCGAGAACGCCTCAGTCACCACTGCCATCACTCTCCATCGCTCATTAGCTTGTTTCTTTAGAAGACAAAGCATTCTCTCAAGCTCTTTTCAGAATCGATCATCTGGTCAATTGATTCAGTTCTCTTATGAAAATTTATTTGAAGTCTTATACATAGTTTTTGCTCTAATTTTTCATTTTTCATTTTTCGTTAAAGTTTATTTATAATTTTGGAATTGATGAGATATCTGGTCTGGGCTTCAGATTACCCTAATTTATTGTTCTTTATTGTGATTGTGATTTTAGCTAAGGATTGGGTGATGGGTTTTTGTGGAGGTACACCATTGTATCATGCTTATTTTCTCTTCTGATGATATGGTTCTATAATGTATTTGTTTGGTCAGGCTGGTTTGATGAGTGCATGAGCTGTGCTGAAAAGTGGCAAAAAAAACTTAAAATGCAGAGCAATTGGCTCCTTAAATACACAATTTTGCAAAGAAAAATGTGCTTTTAGATATAAAAAATGCTCGTTTGAATACAATAGTGGGGTAATAGGTTCTTTGAATACAATGATATAATAATAGGCTCTTAATAAGTGTTGAGTTTGTTTTGTTTTTTTTAAAATATGTGAGCTTAATTATGAATTTGAATGCAATATTTTTGAACAATTGATTTATAATAGAAAAATGACATGCATACATTCTGAACAACGACTCTTTGATCATAGGATATTGGTATTGCTAGCAGCTAGTTATTAGTATTTGTGTCCAAGAAGACCCCATTGTGAGCACAACTTTGACCGAGTGGTTATAGAGATAAGAGGTGCTAAGAAATTAGATATTCTGATTTGTTTAATTACATTGCACCATCTTATTATAGTTACAGCTAACCTCAACTGGCTTACTGAACAGTTGTAACTGATAAAAGAGTTATAACCAGCACTATTAATTTGGATATGAAAATTTTCTAACTGGCTTTGAACCGTTGAATTAGTTGGTCAGTTGTAAATAGCTGGGGTTTTGTTTATGCTCTGTATTTTTTGGTTTATTTTTCTCTTAATATCCTATAATAGGTTGTTGATAAGTGCTGATTGTTTATTGCTTGTTATTGTCTAGATTGCAACGGACTGAAATTATTTTTATAATATTGGCGTGCATGGAAATATGGTTTCTCCAATTAAGTTGATGATTGCAGAGGAAGAAAAGTTCCAGGTAAAAGCATTGTCCTTATCCCATACAAAGACTGCAATCAGTATCATAAAGGACAAATTCAGTCCGCAACAGCTACGAAGGCTTGAAGAGAGTTGTTTTGGTCATCTCCTACTGATTGAGGACCTGAAATGGACTTCGCCAATTGTCCACGGCTTGTTGCTGAGGAAGGCTGATCCGAAGACAGTTTCCCAAGTGAACGGGATAAAATTCATCACTGAAAATAAGGTGATCCAATTCACGGCGCAACAATTTTGCGTCATCACAGGGCTAAGGTTTGGAAACCTTCCCTTCATTCCGATTGCCACTAATGAGAACTGCTCATTGAAAAGGAAGTCCTTTGGCAATGATAAAACTGTCAACCTTTTGGAATTAGAAAAAGCCTTCCTCGACTATGCTGATGCGGACGATGTATTCAAGCTTGGATTTTTATACTTTGTTGTTTTTGTGCTGTTGGGCAGTGAAAAACGTATCACATTGACATGCGGTATTTGAAGTTGGCGGAAGACTTTGAAGAGTTTGTGAAGTATCTATGGGGTGATGTGTCTTATGAACAAACTAAATCTATGTTCTTCATTCAGCATGTTTTTACCTCAAACTTCCACATATACATAATTATCCAAGGATGGGTAGGCTGGATGAGAAAACCATATAAAAGTTGAAAGCCACAAAAAATCCAAGGTCAAATAAAAAAAGAGAGCCATTTGATGAAGATTAACCACTTCACTTAATGAGGTACCACACTTGTTCCATAAACGTCAAGCACATTCAAACAAAGAAAATAAAGCAAAGCATCTGAATCTCTAAGAGATATTGAAATTAAATCTTGGAAGTTGAATATTTGTGATATTGCCCAAGCTTTAAAGTTGAAATCAGCAGGCTTTGGTATTTACTGAAAATCTAACAGAAGGGGTCACCAAGATCTTTATGTTTACAAGAAACTAATACAAATGGAGTGACCACCATATTTGACAAAGATCCTAAATCTTGGATTTCAGTAAAATCAGATACTCGGATACACTACATATACAGAAGAGATAGCTAACTGCCTAGCCACAAAAAAGGGGGGAAATCTGGCAGATTACAAGATCGTAGATTGATTGCAAAACAGAAAACTTCATCTCTGTCTTCGTACGAATCAAAATTATCAACCCCTGTCCATATAAACGTGTTCCTTTTTTTTATTTTTTTTTATTTTTAAACCTGGTCCAAAACGACATCGTTTTGGCCAGGCTTTGTTATAAACAAAAAAAGAAGCGCGCGCTCAGCGCAGCTTGCAGCACCAGCAGCACAACGCCCAGGCCATTTGCACATTTCATCGAACACCTTGCGTGTATCTATAGTCTGAGCAGAGGTGCAACTCCAGCATCTCTTATGGAGTTTTTCGGCGAGCGGAGGTGCAGGTGCATCTCCTTGCGCCTGCACAGATCCGCCACTGCGTGTACACATGGACGGAGTCAAGATTTCAAAATAAGGTGGGCTAAATTTATCTTACGTATAAACCTACTAACAAAAAATACACAGGGGGACATAATGAGCCCCTCAAAATGTATCTAATACGTACAACCCTAAATAAAAACAACATTCAACTAAAAGAAAAAAGCCGTTAATTTTTTTAATACAAGTGATAGTTTAAAGAGGGAGGAGGTTTCTCACACACACATATACTAATAAATAATGTATTCATAATGATGTGGAGAGATTAATAAAAAATACACAAGCAATTAATAAATAATTTTGTGAGTAAATGATTTTGGTGGTGTGAAAATTTTGAAGAAATAGGTGGGTTTTATCGAGAAAATTGAATAGTACAAAAACTTTATTAATTAAAAGAAAGAAAATTGAAGTTAGTAGTAAGTTTCAAAAATTTGTCATTGGTATGAATTGCACTAATAGTATTGAATCATGCTTGAGTAGTTGGAGCAGCTTCAATGAGTGTGAGTGTTACTTTTTAAAAACTAACCGTTGGATGAGCCAAGGTTGGTTGAGTGCATGGGCGCTAATGAGCGAATAGATATAGCAGCTGCATTGATGAGCAAGTGGATATAGCAATTGCACTGAGGGGAGTGAAGCAGCTCCTGAGAGGGGGTGGGTGAGGTGCGCTTGGGTGGGACGGGGTATTAATGTTGGGCTATAAAAAATCAAATCACCTAAGCTATAGCCCAAGTTAGCATGTGCATAGTTCCATCCCTGCATGTACATGAGGCCTTTAATTGGTTGCTCTTTTATTATATGAATTTACAATTGTATGAAAACTAATTTATGAAAGCCTATTAATGTAGCCTTTTTGTGATTAAATAAATCATGCAATTAGCATTTTTTTTTATCTTTTAAATTGTTGATGCTTGGACTTTTTTTTTTTTTTTTTCTCTCCCCTTTTTTTTCATGGAATCACAAACAAACGAAATCTATGCCTTCATTCGGCATTTTTCTCCTCAAACTCCCACATATACACAATTATCCAAGCATGGGCCGGCTGGATGAGAAAACCATATAAAAGTTGAGGCAACTTCTGTAGTGCACCTAGCGCATGGGTGCGCCATTTGTCCTTTACGAAGCATGTGCAGTGCACATGCTAATTGATTTGTAAAAAAAAATAGAAGAGAACCTGCTATAACAGGTCAAGGTAATAGGTTTTTTCTTGGGCCTTTCTACGCTATAGCATCTCTCCATCTCAACCCTAATCCCTCATCTCATTTGAGATTTTTTTCAGAAACAAAAAAACTCACTCTTTTATCACTTTGTCAATAGAGACCAACAAACAACCTATCTCACACGTTGACTCCTCTATTTCTTCACGGCAGTGACCGAGTCTTCCTCCCATATACATATTGATAAGCTCTCCTCTCTCTAGACAGTAACAAAGGTTTGATGCAAACTACGTGCGGCATCTTCAATCTCAACCCATGTATGATGTCTTACTGTTGTATATTCGAATCTTGAACCCCATCTCATCACAGATTTAAGATTTACTGAAAACCCCATCCCTCAACAACAATTATTTTCCTTGGTTTTGTGTCATATTTCATTTTTATTATCTTCCATTTCTTGTTTAGCCTAATATTTTTTGGGTTTTATGTTGTTCAAGTTTTTTGTTGAATTTTTTTGGCATTCCAAGTTTACTTTATTATTAGTTGGATTTCCTCTCAACATCTGCTTGGTATGCAATTTTATATTTAAATTCCATTTTTTGGCAGGCCAGTTTGAAGTTCTGGAACTTATTTCTTATCATTCATGTTATACGATTTATGCCTGGGAATAAATATTTTTCATAATTTTTGAAATTTCCATTGATATTATTTTTCTTTGTGTTGAATATGAATGGCGCTCCTCAAGTTCATATTGAATGTTGAAATTTCCATTCATATTTTTCATATCGTTAATAATAAGTTTGGTGGTGATTTTGGTGGCTTTTTTAATTTTAATAATGTACTTGTGTATGATATGGATAATGAGTGAATTTATTTGGGGCTGCTGCTTTTACTAGCACAAAACAAATGCTTGCATGTAGGATTTTGTTTGAGTTATTGTCTTCTTCCATGCGTGAACCAGAGCAGAAACATAGTGCAATTGTTTTAGAACACAAGTTTTTGATGTGTGGTGCATTATGTTATTAAGACCATAAATAGTGTCACTGACTAGCAAAAATAAGAGAAGAAATTGTGTTGTAGTTTGTGATGTATGTGTGTACTATCTAAATAATAACACAACTCATGCAATGCAGACAAATATTTCTAATTCTGGTAGTCTCAGAAAAAAGTGAAGCGATGCAATTTATGTTAGAAATCAATTAAAGGCCAAGTTTTGGCAAGTGATTGCATTTCTCGTGTTGAGTTTAGTTTATTTCTGTTTGTCAATTGCATTACTATTAAGTACTTGCATAAGTAACATTATGCAATTGCATGAGGACCAATATGCAATTGCTTATGTAATTCTTGTTGCTTTTTAATGTTTGATCACTTTTATTGTTTTTTTCATTGTTTTTTGTCTCTTACACTTTGCATGCTTCAGGTTTTTCTTGTTTATGTTTCCTGGCTTTTGTATAAGCCTTAGTTTTACAGGATGTCTAACCTCTTTGATATTCTTTCTATTTTGTGTAAGATCTCTAATTTGATGTCAAGAAATGATTTTTCATTCTCTATTTGACATAGAGGCTGGACCAAACTATTGGTTAAGGCTCTGTTTTAGGGTAGTTTAGTTCAATGGTCATACAAGGATATCTTTCCAATTTGAATATATTTTAGGGCAGTTTAGTTCAATAAATCTGTTTTATTGAAATATCTCTCTCGTTGAATTTGATTTTCAATGGATCATGACATAGTGTTGTTTTTCATAATAATCATATTCGTGTTATAATTATATCCATCAAATATGTTCTTGATGTTAGAGTAATACATATGATTGAATTTTTTATATTAGAGTAATACATAGGATTCACATTCTATATTGTATTTTGTAACACAACTGAGAATAATGACTTTATTTTATATTTTATGTAGGTGTTCAATGTGTTTCCCATTGGATGTGACTTGTTGAGACTGATCTTAATATTCTATATTTTACGTTGTAACCTATAATTTTTTGAAGATAATTTGGTTTAGACAACCCTTTTTTGTTGGATTTTGGTTATGTATTTAAAGTTATTTAATTTATGCTATTGTAAGTAAATGCAATTGTTGTGCCAGGATATACCAGTTACAGATGAAAAGTTACAAATTACCTGGTCTTGTTATTATGTAGTTATACATCATTTGAATTTAGAGTTCTCTAATAGAAAGCAAATTTTGCGCATATTTCATTCGTACTCATATTGGAGACAATCCAAGTATTGTTTCTTTTTTATAAAAATATATTTTGAATATATTAATAATACAAAATAATGGTCCATCATCAATTATGGCGCTATGAGGTTTGGCATTAAGTTGCAAAAGTTGTAATCACCTAAACTTAGAAACTAACTTGGATTGGCAATGACGATCCACAAAATACCATGACTTAAGAAATTTCCAAATAGGGAGCTACTAATTGCATAAATAAATGACATTGCAAACTAATAAATGAAATTATTCTATCTTCATTCGGTAATTTCAAATTACTTATAAAATCTCACTTGGAATAGGTAAACAAAATAAGATAATATGGGAGGAGTTAAAGAGTGGATTGGCAACATAATGAGCAATTCCCAAACCAGGAAACATAAATTGCATGTTTATTTCTGCCTGTTTGGCAAGTGCATTATAGTAAGCAATTATCATCGCCTGTTGGCAATTGCATAGTATGTGAAACATGTTCAAATTTCTCCCAAGGCCTTGGTACTTGGCTGTATAAATGTGGTCCTTATTTTTGTAAACACAAGGGTTTACAAATTAGGATACACGTTACAAGTTTATGGAACATGGAGTTCCAAAATATTGTAAAAGAGGTCTGTAATACTGTAAACCCTTGTGTTTACAAGAATAAGGACCACATTTACAACGTTAAAGTCTACCCTTACC